ATAGCATATTTTGCCAATAATGATATCATATATAGAAGTAGTACATATATATGGCACACGAATCATGCAGAAATAGAATATAAGTTTAAAGCAACAATATATTGAAATATATACACAGTGAACAGATGCATACAGAGAATGTGGTACAAAACATGCACTAATATTATTCATTGCGTGCTTTCTTAGTTGTCATGGCGTGGCCCCTGCTTTTCCTCTTATGGGGAATTTCCGTTGTGTGCTCATGGTGATTCATCCAGCAGTAGTCGCCCATCATCCGAACATCTCAAGTTCCCTGGTATCGTCGTTCCATGTCCTTGATATCCTGATGGGATCTTTCATCCTGTTCCTCACTTATAGCACCTACGTTTGGAGGAAAAAAGTCAAGGTGCGAATTTAAAAAATGTAACTTCAAACTCATTGAGCATCCGAGCATTTTGAATTTCATCAGCATGTTCTCAACTATGTCGATATATTCTGGGTTATGATTGTTTCCCAGAAAGTTTTGAACCACACACTTAAAGGCAGTCCAGGCTTCTCGCTCCATGGCATTCATTGAGTGAAGGAAATCTTCATCTAGCATTACTTTCCAAATATTGGGGCCAGTGAACACGCCCTCTTTCAACTTAGCATGTGACAGGTTGGGAAACTTGTAACATAGATATTTGAAACAGTTGCCATACTTATTTAATGCTTTGACAAACTGCTTCATTATGCCCAATTTGATGTGCAGAGATGGTAAGAGTATTCTGTCTCTTTCCACTAGAGGGTCACACTTAATATTTTTGTCCCCTGGAACCAATTCCAACCTTTGAGGCCACTGTTTTTGCTCCCAATGTTTGTCACGAGCTCGACTGTCCCATTCACAGATGAAACATGGGAACTTGGTATATCCTGATTGTTGTCCTAGAAGCATACTCAACACTTTGAAATCACCACACACCATCCAATTGTGATCCTCATAATGAATGATAGTAATTGTCATTAATGTTGCCTTAATGTTGTCATATGTTTCCTTCAGGTGTACAGAATGGCCGACAGGTATTGAGGCATTGAGGTGTTTTCGTGTATATTATCATTATTGCAAAATATGCGATTTATGCAAAAACTGTGGGTGATATTATGTTTTGAGTACCATTTTTGAATTCAGGAGGTCAAAATACATAAAGAATGCCTACATTTTCGAAAAAAGTTTTTATGACTCTGCAATTTGTTGCATTGTGTTATGAGATGTATATTAGCATTTTGAAAACATTTCTTATTCAAGCTGTTGAAGATTAGTTTGGAGATGAATAAATTATTTTTTAGATCAACAATACATCATATTACAGAATTGGATCAGTAAAACAATTTTTCAAGAAAACCAGCTAATAGTTCAAATTTTAAGATTTCATTTCATAGATATTAAATATCAAAAATGTAGAGTGAAAGATCAAACAAATCATAGTAATCAACAAATACAGATGAGTTAAAAGAAATCATCATAAATTCCTAGAATAAAATTGATATTAGTTCCAGCAGTGTACCCAGGATCTGAACTAGAGGAGGGGGCAACTCATAGTTTCTTTGAGTGCAAGAATAGCAGCAAACAGTGAAATAGTTCTAAGAATTCAAGACAGATGGCTCTAGGCTTTAGTCTAGTCACAATATTCATTATTCAAACTGATACTAAATTGATGTGTGTCTGTGTGTCAATTACTACACTTTAATTTTTCTTCTTGGGAGGGACCACTGTTCCTCGCTGGTATGCCCTTGATTAATACACTCATTGATAAAAAAAAAAGTTACATACTTATAGAAAGTAGTCCATCCTATTTGACGGGAGAATTTTGAGTTATGTTATAATGTGTATAATATATTATTGCATAAAATAAAAAGCAGTTTCAAAAGTATTTCATTTTGTTATTTTCAATGAGAGGCTTTCTTTTTCCCTTCACTATTCTCTGGGTTGGATGATGCAGAAAGATGGCAACTCTATTCTTAATTCCAATTTATCCTAAATTACTATTTAGTCTGATAATTTGACTGCAATTTTCAATATATTTCATTTATTTATTTGTTTTTAAGTGAAAAATATGAGTTAATGTTATATTAGATTACTTTCTACATTATTATATATAGTATCTAAGCTATAATTCTTATTTAGTAAGTTTAGAAAATAAGTTATTTTTCATATAATTAATATGGGTTATGCTTTCAAAATAATTCTTGTTCTGAGATTTTGTTTATAAATAATGATTAATTATGACATCATTAATTCTAAACTTAGTTATATTTCAGGATTATAATTACTAGAGTAACAGCAGACATATCATTGGCAAAGCGATCCCTCCTAAATAATCCAAGTAAACGTGCCATTATGGAAAGGTCCAATAGTCGATCATCATGTCTAGGTAAATTATAATTTTATAATAAAATAATTTTTATGTGAATGAAAGTCAGACTTTTATGCAAATTATATGAAAATCAAAAAATACTTAAGTATACTAGATTAAAAATGAGCTATATAATTTTGAAAGAATTTCTAATATGAATGAACTTAAATTAAAAAAACTACATACAGGTTGAGCATAAAAAAACAGTCCTTGATTTCCAACAGATATAGAATATAACTTTATTGGAATATTCTTATACATTGGTGACTAAACTTGCATCAACACACAAAGTTTCATGTGGTATTGGTTGGTATCTCACACAATCAATGTGCTCCCCACCATTACTCAGCATCGATGCATCTAATAATCTAGCTTGGACCAGACTCTCTGCAGCATATCTGGCATGTTTAAGTTTACAGTTTTAGCGAAGCATTCGTGCAGACCATCCAGGGTTGCAGATAGTGGAGATACAGTACATACACTCTATATCTCTGAAGAAAAAGATCGCAGTTAGGTCTGGTGATTTCAGGCCACTTGCAGAATACTTGGTCATTTTCTCCAGTGTGGCTAATCCATTTGTTTGGCAGGTGCTCATTGAGAAATTTGCAGACAGTGAGATGCCAATGTGATGGTGCCCCATTTTGCTAGAAGTAGTAGTTATCACCCTCAGCAGCTAGTTCTGGAATCAATCACTTGGTTAGAATTTCCAGGTAACTTTGGCCAGTAATAGTTTGTCCCTCAAAGATAAATGGATTGTACAAAATACAATCTGATAGAGCACAAAATATTCTGATAGAGCACAGAATATTAATTTTTGGAGAGTCATGTTCAACCTCCAGAATGGTCCGTAAATTCTCAGATTGTTCCTGTTGACCTTTCTACTTAAGTGGAAAGTCACCTCATCACTGAAAGTGATGTTTGACAACAGGTTATTATTATTTACTGTTAATGCTGGTGATTCCTGCAAAATTGAAGTTGCATTTCATTGTCTTGCAGGTGTAACTTTTGGACCAATTGCAGTTTGTAAGGGCTAGTACACATTAGGTGTTGGGCGTTGCATTAAATGCACATTAGCAGCGTACACACCGCACATTTAGCTCGGCATTCAACAACTGTTCGCTCTGGCTTAGTTTGGAAATGGACGTGAAAGTAATTGCTTGTGTGTGGCTCTTCTATCGTCGCTATAAAAGATGATGGCAGAGGCAAAGAGAATTTTGGGTGCACCCAATATTATGAGATAGACTGAGCATGGAATGTTTGTGATGTTGTATCCAAAACTAAGACAATATGAACCCAAGTTTTTTAATTATTTAGAATGTCTATAAAATCATTTGACGATGGCTGGTCTCTTTTGGATTTCATCAATAAATAGATCAGTATCGAAATGATCGTTCTCCATTTCGGCCAACATGTGTCCACTCTACCCGAAAGCACGCGATCGAATGTACAACAACATGGCAGCAGATGTATCTCAAATCATGCATTCTAACCAAAATCTATCAACACGCATTTGGCCAGAAGCATGCATTTGAATGTGTATATCTATGTGGAACTCTTGGTTCTTTAAAAGTGTGTGTTTCAAAATGCCTAATGTGTACACAGCCTAAGGATGAAACTAAAAGTGTGTAAAATCTTGCTTAACATGCTTTGCAGGATGTGTAATTCTCAGCTAGCTCTGCACATTGATTTTATTGGGGCTACTCAAAAAGACTTCTCTGACATGATCAACATGAACATGATACATGTTCTTTTCATCTGTGATTAGAGAAAACTGATCACAGATGCATCCTTTCTCAATGAAATTATTGTACCACTTCAAAATGGACAGTAGGTGAATCCATATTAAATTTGTATTTGAAAGCACACTGCATAGTCACAGCACTGTTTGTTTTAGTATATTCCATCACTCACCAGCTGCATTGCAATGGGGAAGTGTCATCTTAGGTTTCACAGCTCTCTGGTGGTGAGATGAGTGCACAGAGATTTTGTGAGAGAGAGAATAAATTTTTTGAGTTAATGTATCACTATATTTACAGTATAAACATATTCCAATAAATTATAACTATTTTAAATCAAGAAGTGTGTTTGTGCTTACCCTGAATTCACCCTGAAATGATAGAAACTCTTCACTACTAGAATATAAATACTGACTTTTGTTGTAATATTTACTGTATATTCGTTTATAAAATCATATTCTAAATTATAAATTTTTATTTAAAAGTAAGTAAGAAAAGAAGATATAAACAGTTCTTGTCACAGTTGACTTCATCTATGATTTGAAAAAATTAAGAATAGGAAAACTTTTTTAAATTAATCAAATCTAATATCTAAAACATGACTTGATTTCTCACTTTATAAGCTCCAGAATTGGTATAATTAAAATGTTCTAATAATTATAATTGAAGTTTAACTTATCATTAGAATTTAGGATACATTTGTAAAGTTGAATGAGTTAAACAAATTACTTATGAGTCTGTCATAAAGTACATTTCAAACAAAACACTAATGAAATTTATGAAGGAAAGTTAGTTTACATTATGAAGAAAATGGTGTATGGCAATATTGGTGTTTTTAAAAATATTTTTGAGTGTATAAATAGTGGACCAAAAGGTGAAATGATACAAATAACTGCTCATGTTAAGAAATCTAAAAAAATTATTTTGGATAAGAATACACCAGTAATTTTAATTTTAGAAATAGCCATTTTGTTGTAAACAAATTAGTCACAATGTCTAGTGAAAGAAAGAATAACAATGATAATCATTCTCATCTAACTTGTGTGGCTGCATGCCATATTGTCTGCTTTTGTCCTTCTGTTCAAATGCCATTTTCCTGTTTGTTCTTTTGAAAATTTTCTAATCTTCTTCATTTTTTCTTGGAGATGAGGGTAACTTTCTAGGATTTGCCAACATAAGGTGTATGAATTTACCTGAGGAGTATATGAGGCAAAGGGAAGTCACTTTTGAGTTGGCACTCAAAGAGAGAGGACGATGAAAGGAGAAACATTAGTGTCCAGTGCTCGAGTAGCTGGGTGAAGTCAGAACTTTGAGCAGGAACTTTGAAATATCCGTCTCAAAGTTAGCATGTTAGAGTCAGTGTTTCAGCTTGACAAGTCCAATTGTATGACTGGCTATCAAAATCAAATGTACAAAAATCTTCAAGAACTGAGGAAAAGGAAAACAGAAGCTAGAATTTTGTGTTTAAAAAGCTTTCCTGTGTCCCCTCACAGTAACTGAATGGCATTTGCATTACCTGGATATTCTTTCTTATCCTACTTTGCTACATTTGCACTACTTGCCATATTTGCTACTTCTCACTCCCTATATCCTATTTCCTTCTAGATATAAATTAGTATTAATTAAGGAAAAATTTTTGTAATTATTATTTTTGGTTCCTTTTTATACAGATCATGATAATTTTTATAATTATTCTACCAACAACTGGATTTGGATGACTGTTAATCAATATTCCCCTAGAGTTGGAACACCTTTGCACCTGTACTTTTTCGCATGTAATAAATTCATTTTTCCATCTACTTTATGCGTGTTTTTGCAGGGTGCATTTGTTGGTCAACGAAATCCTTTTTTAATTATCACACTTGTTTGACTTTACAAACTATCCTTACTTCTTTGCTGTAATAATTATTAAGTTTGAGTCATTAAATTTGTGTACTAATAGTGTTTCTCAGTAAAATCAAAATTTTGTTATTTTCAAATATAATATTTTAAAGTGATTTTTAGATTCATTAAATAAATAAATGCTATCAAATGTCATTGATTGATAAAACAGTTTTAAGCAATTAAATGATATGAAAAAATACTGAAAACACAGTTAGTAAACTATTTTAAAAATGAAATGTAATAAGTCATAATTAGGGCTAGGACATAAAGGACACACGTTTAGCTTGTGTCTTATTGGTTGAAGAAAGTCAGGTATCTGAAACTATTGACAAGCTAGTTCTGTTAAGGTATATCAAAAATGTTTTATTTATATCCAATATAGGTATAAACTGTACTTGCTGTGGTATTTTAAAATATCATACCGCCAATCAGTCTATTACTGTTACCTCTTTATCTCAAAACTGGTCTATCTCAAATTTTTTCCTTGAGATTTGAGATAGACAGGTTCAACTGTAGTTCAAAATTCTTGAATAATTTTATTTGGGTTTATCTTAAGAATAACTGAACAAAATAATAGTAATAACCAGAATAATTAATTTAATGTAAATTAGATTGCCAGATTATCAAAAAAAGAAGACTGCTACTAAATGAAGGATTTAAATATGCAATTATATGGAAAACTAATCCAATATTTTACCTTGTTTCTATTTTTCACAATATAAAATTATATTAAGTAGTATATCTTTTCATAATTTCAATTACTTGGATCTTTTTAAGGCAGTAACTAAATCAAAAGTCATTTATATTTCATCATTATCAATTGTTTATATAACATGTTATAAAAGCTACAAACTTCAAGTGTTGCTATCAATTAAATATTCAAAATTTGTCAACAACTATTAGCTTAAATTAAATTTGCTGGTACAATTTTGACTTAGTTCTTAGAAATTTGATAATTTGAATTTGGCAAAGTTGAAAGAAATCAAACAACAATTTGATTGTTTCCTAAGATAATTTCAAAAACTATAGTTTTATGAGAAGCAAACCTGACCGTGAAATCAGGTTTTATTCATGATTGAATATATTTGTGCATCAAAAAGTTACAAATACTACTATGATGGAAAAGTATTGGAAATGGTTCATTTAAACTGCATATGTACAAGAGGGCACTGCTATCATTTTTAAATGTTTCCTTTATGCATAAAGAATTTTTTCCTGTATCCTTGACTAAAATTTCTGCTTTGTGGTCACTGTTTTGAGTCGATTAATGTCATAAAGCAAAATTCGCTGAGACCCCTGAAGGGTTTCCACAAAAATGACTTTAAAGCATGTTTCAAGGATAGAAAAAATATTAGTATAAGTGGATTGCAGTGGGAGGAGATTACTTTGAAGGGGACAAAATAAATGTTTATGAATAAATTCAAATGTTGCATTTTATTGAATTCTCAATACTTTTTGATCACAGGGGTATTATAATCATATACAGTGGAAACTTTATGGGACCAGGGATATTTCAGATAATCCAGAAACTCGTTTTTGCATTTTGGGTTCATCAAGCTGTGCATTTAAAGTTTCATGAAAGTATAATTTACTTTCAAATGTAGTACTTGCATTACAGTATTTAATTTATTCAAAATCTATAATAATATAGTGTTACATATATTATCTAGTTTTGCAGCACTCCAGTTGACAGATGACAGTAATTTTCAGTTACATGAAGAATTTGGTCTGTGTATTACTGTCTATGGCATGTACAGTACAGTACAACGTTACTTTCTTTTTAACCACTTTGGAATATTCAGAGTTTTAGATAATCAAATTTCTACTGTATATGATGTAGAAATATTTCAAATCATAAAACAAATATAACTCATATAATTAATATTATGAGTCAATAATGCAGTGATAAAATATTATTAGAAATTATGTAAATCATTTATTTCATTTTAATAAAAACACTGACTATTATAATAGATACAGTAGTGATGTTTTTATATTTTAATATTAGATTATACAATTTTAAACTAAATATATTCTGAATTTACATATTATAGCTGAAGTTCAAGCTGAGATAGAAAGAATCTTTGAACTGGCTAGAACACTTCAGTTAGTAGTACTTGATTGTGATACAATCAATCATCCTTCTCAACTTGGAAAAACATCATTAGCACCAATTATAGTTTATGTCAAAATTTCTTCACCAAAGGTATTTATTTATTTTTGATTAAAATAGATTTTTTTGAATTTTAGTTAAGTTATATTTTTAAGAATATATTTAGATAAATATAGTTTTTCTGTTCACAAATAATTTGAGATATATAAAAAATTAATTGTATTAAAAGGTTTCTTTTTTGGGTCAAAAAACATTTTTTGTTCAGATACAGTTGACCCCCCATAACACCGTTGATAATTCCATTTTATATGAATTCCATGTTGTACGAGTCACTTAAATTTTACAAATACGTGTGCCGGGCTGTGAACGGCTCACATATTTGTAAAATTTAAGTGACTCATACAACATGGAATTCATATAAAATGGAATTATCAATGGTGTTAAAGGGAGGTCAACTGTATTTTGTTATTGGGCTTCAGTTTGAAAAAATTTTAGATCTATAAATTTCTACTGTCTATCTTTCCTTAATCTCAAGAACAGAGTTAGATAGATGAAAACCGAGACCAGATATGGAAAGATTAGGGGCAGGAGGCCCCTGATTAACTATGTACAAACTTTCAATGCAAACTGGAAATTACATTATTTCAATTAAAAAATTTTACCCTTAAAGGAGTTAGATAGATGACTGGCACGACTCTATTGCTAATAGGAAATGTATGAATTTGAGGTGGTGAGCATATATTTTAAATTAATATAATAATAAATAATAAAATATGATTAAAAATTGCTACCCAGCACAGCATTGTGACTATGTCGCAATAAATAATTGCTCATTACTTAACTTTTTAAAATAACATTTATTGTAATTCCATTAAATTATATTTAAAGATGAAATTATATATATATTATTAAGATCTATAGGGTGGGGCAGAAAGTTTTTGAAATGGCTAGAACTCATCACTGGGTAGAGTGACTGATTTTTGGCAGATAGCTTGAAAGTAGTAAGGTCTTAGCATTATTTTTTCAGGTGAAGACATGGAGCTGTGGATGATAGAACATTGTGTGTTTGCGTACAATTGAGGAAATAGTCATACACAAAGGAGATCATACACATCTGATGGGAATACGTTTTCTCATCCTTGCATACAATGGAAACATATTCCCATCAGACATGTGGCTTTAACAGGATGGAGCAACGGGCCATTGTCCATCCTGTTGAAACCACCTGTCTGATTCGTCTCTTCTCTGGTCACCTCATTTCTAGATTCAGTGACATTCATAGGCCTCCTTGTTAGCCCAACCTATCCATGTGCAATTATTTCTTGTGGGGACACCTCAAGGCACGTGTATATGAGCATAAGTCTGTTTGTTGCAAGAACTGAAGGAACTATTCATGTGGAAATTACCAAAATTGTTTTCAGAAATGCAACATTGATAACAGACACTGCATAGATGTTGTTTTATACACTTGATTCTGTAAAATGCTATTTCAATACGAACTCACATCTTCCAACAAATAACTTTTGTAGTAACAATTACAGATGTTGTGATTTTTAAAAACATCCATCCTTTCTGCCCCACCCTGTATATAAAAATTAAAAATAAAATTTTGCAAGCTGATTAACTGTTTCTTCTTAAATTATAATGTAAGAAAAATTTAATAAAAGATATGCATAATATACTCAACAGAAACACAAGCAAAAAAAAAATATATTTTTGAAATTCTTCATATTTTATTTAAATATATAGGAAACAGTACAAATTTGGATATTTTTACTTTCCCGGCTTTGTTATATATAACAGAGGAAAAGTATGGCAATTGGTCAAAAAATCACCCAAGATTTTACATCTTTGGACTCGGAATCTTGAAACATTGAGAAATGCAAAAAAATTAGAGGTTTTCTTTCTGTATATGTAAACGTTTGTGTGTAGGCACGATTTTGTTCACCTTGTTTGAAGCTTAATTAATAACTCTTGTGTGTTTTGTCAAAACTTTCTGAAATTTTGCAGGAAGGTTTGTGTATTTATTAGGGAGATTGATGTTATTAAATTTTGGTGGTTAAAGACTGACAGGGTGGGAGATAAAGGGGGGCCATGTGTCTTATCTCAAGTAGGATCAGACTTAATGATGATTTTACTCATTATTAGCATGTACAATTTCCTATAGAACCCATCCCTACTCTCAAAATTAAGCTTTTTGCCATTTTGTAATAATTAAAAATATAAAAAGTTTTTAATAAAATATCACAACAGATGGTGCCATACACGCAGTTTTAAATATTGTCGGAAAAGTTAAGCAACTCGTTGCTGGATTTTTTTATTTGAAAGTATATAAATTAATTCTTATTGAATAAATAAATAATTTAAAATGAAACAATTTGATTTCAAGCTATTTATTTTTTTCAATGTTAATATAATTTATACACTAATAAGGGAAAAGTTTTGTTTTTAATATTATTATTCTTAAAATTTACATTTCTTTTCTTATACAATAAGTATATCTTCATTTATTTCTTCTGTTAACGCTTTCAAAGTAAATTTTCCATTTTCAGAACTTTTCAACATTTCAAACAATGCATCTTTATTAGATTCTTTATATATATCTGACATCTGAGAAATAGTTTATTATTGATATAATTTATTATTTAATTTCTGTAGTATTTCCTGTTTATTTTGTCTCATTTATAATTTTTTTTTCATACATTTTTTTAATGTTTTTCTTTACTATTCTAGTTACGTAGAAGCATTTTTACCATAATAACTATTTTATTTTAAATAAAATATTAAAATTAGAAATTAAAAAATTTTAATGATCTGAATGAATTTTCATATGAAAGTCAGATGATATAATTTGGCCAAACAGTTACGTGACAAGGTCAGCTTATTATCACGGGAGATTGTAGTTTGAGACCATGATACAATCCCTAAAATTTATCAAGGTAGAGTAGGTTGGGCCTTATTTCTCTTCTTAACCCATGCTAGCTAACTCTGTTATAGATAAGGATTACTCATTATGAATTCTGTCTAGTCGTATAATCTAAGTATGTCAGTGTCTTGTGTAAATTTGCCAACATTAAGGGGAATCCAATTAATCCCGCATCAGAATGAGCCTAAGGGAAACCACGTATGTGGGCGGTGGTGAAGGAGGCAAATGTAGAACAAGTGTTTTACAAGAGAAAACCCATTTATTTGTTCGAATTCATGCTTACATCAATATTGGACAATTCCAAAATCTTGGTGTTCCTATGAAACGGTGAGAGTTCGGGTGATCGGTCGTAGCCCGGGCAGATGAGAAGGATCACTGGACGATGCAGATGTTCGGTATTAAGCTGCGGCGTCCTAGGTGATCGGCGGTGGCACAACACAATAGACAAAGCACAACTGTAGGCTTAATCCAGAGGAGACTTTTCTTCGACCTTGAAGTTCCGATTTTTATAGTTTTTCTTCCACTATTCGCATTTCGGATTGGTCCCTCGTCCCATTCCTCGCTTCCCTATTGGTCTCTCCTTTATCTCCCGGTGCAAGACGAAACCTTTTCGGGTTGCAGGAAAGGTCTGATTCGAGGTGTCCATCTGATACCTCTTTGTCGACTCTGCTCGGTGACTGTTCATAAAACAATAACACCTGCACTGATAACTCAGGCTGTTGTTTACCATTTTTTGACGTTTAAGAATTTAACGATCATTTTCATCTTTCATCTATCAAAAATTTCCCTGTTTTTTTGAAAAGGTTTATCTCGGCCAACATTTTATAGACACGCAAGTCGATGATCTACCTATTTATGAGCACTCGTGTTAGAGTTTGTCTTCCGCTAAGACCTTGACAGATAATTTGACACATACACGAACAGTTCAGAGTCTCATTGTTTACATCTTGTGTCGCGCAAGAATGTCACGGTTTACTCAAGTTTGAACCTCGTCTGGGAACCCACACTTGTGCTCACTGATAACTTAATCAGATGATATAAAAATATTTTCTAAGAAGAAAATGGCTATTTTAGTTGTATTTAAAAATACATTCTTTATATAAAAAGAAAAAGATATATTACAACTTATGCTTGTATATATATTTGTGCATACATGCATATGTCTCTTGCAATGTATTTTTGGTTAGAGATATCTAACTATGGTATAGGATGTAATATAAAATAATTAAGTCAAACTTTCTTTCATTTTTGACTTTTAAAAAATATATTGTTTCTTTATATTAAAAAACATGAAGAATTATTGTCAAAACTTTGTTGTAACTTAAGTTACTTTGAGAAATGCAATAATTAACTTTCTCTTATAATAATTGCATTCTTTAATTATTTTATTTTTACTTCAAGCTTACTTAAACATATCTCTATGACAATTTTCCTCCATTCATAATTTTCATGTGCTAAACCTAGACATAGAGACTTATAGTCATATCAAACAGCTAAGATTGTATGAATAATATAAAAACATTCCATATAAATTATTAATTTAATATTTTAATGCAATTAAAAATTTATTTTTTCTCTTTCCTTTTATTTCTTCTATTATAATTGAATAAAAGAGATAAATTCAAAATACAGTAGAGCATCGATTACCTGAAACAATTCAGGACAATTGGGGTTGTTCAGATAACTGATTTTTTGGATAATTGATCATTTACAAAACATATATTAAACACAAAACTGTACTGTATATAATTTGTATCACATGTCTTACAAATGCATACCTTACATAATGTAATACATTAAACTAAGCCTGCAGTTCAGTTTAGCAGGAAGGGGAAGAATGCTGCAATGCCACAGTCCTAGTGGAAATTTGAATTTGCCAACTGGAACACTTTCGGTTAACTGCTGTTTCGGTTGATCGGTATTCAGATAATCAAAGCTCTACTGTAATACTTACTATGAATCAATATTATTCTAGTCTAAATAATAGAATTTTAAAAAATCAATTATCTTTTGTTGTAATACTACAATACTATGTTAGGAAAGATTCTTTAAATTTTTTTATAGTAAAGTATATTTTTAATATTTGATATATACTTATATATATATTCAAGTAAAATAAAAGTATATATATATATTTTGATAGGTTTTACAAAGACTAATAAAATCTCGTGGAAAATCTCAAAGTCGAAACTTAAATGTGCAAATGGTTGCTGCTGAAAAACTAGCTCAATGTCCTCATGTAAGTTATTTTTATTCTAAACTTATATATAATAATAAAATATTTCAAATTAAAATATTATTCATTTTCCAATAAGTATATTTTTGTTTTGATGATTTTAATTTTAAAATATATTTTTAAAACATTTATTAAATTACATGTAATTAAAACAAAGCTTATTTAGAAGATCACGATTTATATGTGACTATATCATTCATTGAAACAAATTATTTTTGTCATGAGGATAATGCTTTTTGTATATTAACATCATTGTCTATTGGAATAGAATTGTGATATTATAATTACAGTACAGTGGGTGATTGGTTAATGAACATAATCCATTCCAAGACTTTGTTCGTTGACCGATTATTAATTTACCATAGGTTTCTATTGGAATTTGATTAATTCTTTCTGGAGATCCCAAAAAAATAAAAAATATATACTTTCTTACTACATTTATTTATATGTAATAATAAAAATACATATATATACGGTCTTGCATTTTTATTAGTCATGTTTTTTTCCGTTTGTGGGGGTTAAAGAATCTGTCCAATGTCGATTGCTTTTCTGTCTTCTTCATGATTTTTCAGAAGTAATTAATAGCATTGTAATTGTAGAGATCTCTAGGCCTATTAACCTCAACCTGGTTTGGATGCCATTTTAAGACCATTATTCTGACATCCTCCCACTTCTTCAAAAGATCTTTAATAGCAGATATTGGCATAAATCTGCTTTTTCAGAAGAAAACATAAAAGAATTGTTTCTGTCAGAAATATAAAAGGCTGGAATTACAAGGGAGAGTTTCAAAGTTCAGGGAAATTCTATCCAATCACTATGTACTGTGTTGAACATCGATGTCGACGTTTCCCACACTCCGAAAAGTTTCGAGTTGTTGCCTGAAGACAAAGGAAGATCAATCGGTATTCATTATTTTATGTCACTTCTTCTTGTGTTTGTTCAGCGAAGTGTTCATTATCCAAACATGTATTCGTTGTCTGATCATAAAAATCTTTTGTGAAAGTGTTTGTTATTTAATTTGTTTGTTAACTGATCACCCACTGTATTTGTTTCATACAACTGAAATAGAAAACTACATATTCCTGGAGTAAATGAAAAATACTGGTCATTCATCAGTAGGAACAATGTTCAAGGGCAGAAAAATTCCCCTAGAATTTCTTTTCTGAATGATGATGGGTGTTGGAACACCTTATGATTTAATGAAACTCAGTTTTATTTGAATAGAACTGTCAGATTTAATCTAACTTGTAAGGAATATCTCAAACTGTCTGGGCAAATTCACTTCAGTCACTCAAGATTGCTCTGTGCTGTGAATTTATAGCTGAACTTATCCTACATCTATATTCCTTTGAAGAAGTTTGATAATGTGCTTTGTAATTATAAAATGTTTTCCACAATTATGAAACAAATTATTAAAACAATTAAACAATATTTAAATAATTAAAAGTGCAAATTATTTAAATGAAAACATTTATGATAAAAAATTATAATTTTATTTTCTTATCTCAACACCAGTTATACAGTAAATTTCAATCTGTTTATAAACTTTTCAATAAATATTTTTATAAGTAATGTATTAAAAGATCAGCTAAAAATAATTATTAAAATATATATATACTGAATATATATTTTTAGGAACTATTTGATGTTATTTTGGATGAAAATCAATTAGAAGAGGCATGTGAACATATGGCAGAATTTTTAGAAGCCTACTGGAGAGCAACACATCCACCAGTCAAGACTCCTCCTCCTACAATTCAGCGTCCAATACCTTCACCTCATCCGTCACCTAGGATAGAAACTAGCTCAGGTGGATTAATGCGTCATAATACTACACCTTTTACAAAACATATATTAAACACAAAACTGTACTGTATATAATTTGTATCACATGTCTTACAAATGCATACCTTACATAATGTAATACATTAAACTAAGCCTGCAGTTCAGTTTAGCAGGAAGGGGAAGAATGCTGCAATGCCACAGTCCTAGTGGAAATTTGAATTTGCCAACTGGAACACTTTCGGTTAACTGCTGTTTCGGTTGATCGGTATTCAGATAATCAAAGCTCTACTGTAATACTTACTATGAATCAATATTATTCTAGTCTAAATAATAGAATTTTAAAAAATCAATTATCTTTTGTTGTAATACTACAATACTATGTTAGGAAAGATTCTTTAAATTTTTTTATAGTAAAGTATATTTTTAATATTTGATATATACTTATATATATATTCAAGTAAAATAAAAGTATATATATATATTTTGATAGGTTTTACAAAGACTAATAAAATCTCGTGGAAAATCTCAAAGTCGAAACTTAAATGTGCAAATGGTTGCTGCTGAAAAACTAGCTCAATGTCCTCATGTAAGTTATTTTTATTCTAAACTTATATATAATAATAAAATATTTCAAATTAAAATATTATTCATTTTCCAATAAGTATATTTTTGTTTTGATGATTTTAATTTTAAAATATATTTTTAAAACATTTATTAAATTACATGTAATTAAAACAAAGCTTATTTAGAAGATCACGATTTATATGTGACTATATCATTCATTGAAACAAATTATTTTTGTCATGAGGATAATGCTTTTTGTATATTAACATCATTGTCTATTGGAATAGAATTGTGATATTATAATTACAGTACAGTGGGTGATTGGTTAATGAACATAATCCATTCCAAGACTTTGTTCGTTGACCGATTATTAATTTACCATAGGTTTCTATTGGAATTTGATTAATTCTTTCTGGAGATCCCAAAAAAATAAAAAATATATACTTTCTTACTACATTTATTTATATGTAATAATAAAAATACATATATATACGGTCTTGCATTTTTATTAGTCATGTTTTTTTCCGTTTGTGGGGGTTAAAGAATCTGTCCAATGTCGATTGCTTTTCTGTCTTCTTCATGATTTTTCAGAAGTAATTAATAGCATTGTAATTGTAGAGATCTCTAGGCCTATTAACCTCAACCTGGTTTGGATGCCATTTTAAGACCGTTGTTCTGACATCCTCCCACTTCTTCAAAAGATCTTTAATAGCAGATATTGGCATAAATCTGCTTTTTCAGAAGAAAACATAAAAGAATTGTTTCTGTCAGAAATATAAAAGGCTGGAATTACAAGGGAGAGTTTCAAAGTTCAGGGAAATTCTATCCAATCACTATGTACTGTGTTGAACATCGATGTCGATGTTTCCCACACTCCGAAAAGTTTCGAGTTGTTGCCTGAAGACAAAGGAAGATCAATCGGTATTCATTATTTTATGTCACTTCTTCTTGTGTTTGTTCAGCGAAGTGTTCATTATCCAAACATGTATTCGTTGTCTGATCATAAAAATCTTTTGTGAAAGTGTTTGTTATTTAATTTGTTTGTTAACTGATCACCCACTGTATTTGTTTCATACAACTGAAATAGAAAACTACATATTCCTGGAGTAAATGAAAAATACTGGTCATTCATCAGTAGGAACAATGTTCAAGGGCAGAAAAATTCCCCTAGAATTTCTTTTCTGAATGATGATGGGTGTTGGAACACCTTATGATTTAATGAAACTCAGTTTTATTTGAATAGAACTGTCAGATTTAATCTAACTTGTAAGGAATATCTCAAACTGTCTGGGCAAATTCACTTCAGTCACTCAAGATTGCTCTGTGCTGTGAATTTATAGCTGAACTTATCCTACATCTATATTCCTTTGAAGAAGTTTGATAATGTGCTTTGTAATTATAAAATGTTTTCCACAATTATGAAACAAATTATTAAAACAATTAAACAATATTTAAATAATTAAAAGTGTAAATTATTTAAATGAAAACATTTATGATAAAAAATTATAATTTTATTTTCTTATCTCAGCACCAGTTATACAGTAAATTTCAAATGTGAACAAAGGTAGACATAATACTCGCTGACGTGTTGCGTTCCTATCTTACAATGGTAGTATTTTTCATACTACCATTGTAAGTTATACAGTAAATTTCAATCTGTTTATAAACTTTTCAATAAATATTTTTATAAGTAATGTATTAAAAGATCAGCTAAAAATAATTATTAAAATATATATATACTGAATATATATTTTTAGGAACTATTTGATGTTATTTTGGATGAAAATCAATTAGAAGAGGCATGTGAACATATGGCAGAATTTTTAGAAGCCTACTGGAGAGCAACACATCCACCAGTCAAGACTCCTCCTCCTACAATTCAGCGTCCAATACCTTCACCTCATCCGTCACCTAGGATAGAAACTAGCTCAGGTGGATTAATGCGTCATAATACTACACCTCCCACAATGCACTACAGATCACATAGTGAAAGGCATCCTCGAGAGGTGAGAAATAATAAAATACATATAAGCTTGAACATATTTTAAAATTTATATTTAAAAAATTCAATAAGAAAACAATATTTTTTCAATAACTGTTATTTTCATATTTCAGTAATATCGGGCTTATATTTAAATAAAATCATTTTAAAACTTAGAAAGCTAGTTTAAACTTAAAGATAGGAAGTTATATTATTCTTGATGATATTTTTAAAGTAAGATAAACTGAATTTGTAGTTTTCCTCATCAGTAAGACAGTGTTTTTCAAAATGCTGCAATGCACACATTTGTAGTTGACAAAAAATTCAATTTATATAACTGAGTTTTGGAAATCAAATTGGTTTTTAATAATACATATTTGTAGAATATTTATTATTATTAGAATATAAAAAATGATAATGGGTACTTTCTTCAACTAAAATTTAGATTGTTATGGCATGCAAATATGTCAATTATATTTAATTTGATACAATATATAATTTTCTGTTATATACACCCATGCTTAACATTTTCCTGAAGAACATCCATTGATTTATATAAGAAAACTTTATATTGTAAAAATTTAATACAATTGATTAGAATGTTAGAACCATACATTTTGAAAAGTACCCCAAGTTTCAAGAAGTGGAATTTGTATCTTGAATATAATTTGTACAGAAGAGGCATCATAGCATCATATTATTCCAATACTTTCAGTAGTCGAAAATCTAAAGATTCTTTTGTGATATTACTAAAAGTAATCGGTCACTTTCCAATTTACAGAAGTTTCAAAGACATTCTTAAAAATGTGTTGAAATTTATTTCCTGTTCTGAATAATAAATTTTTGTGTTCATTTTTCAAAATAAATCTCTCAATTGTTGTGTATTATTTGCCATGCCAAATTGTAAACATAATGTTTGCTGTACTTGCAGATTGTACATTTTACTGTATACAAAGCAACTTTTTTTTAATAACCATATTAACTGTTTGATGATCAGAAAGTGATGTATTAAGAATTTTATATCCCAATATGATAGGTAATAACTTTCTTATAAGCATTGTGTTGTGTTTTATTTCCAGTTTTGGAAATTAGTTGATCATTTTGAGTGAATATTGTAATGAATTAGAATTTTTCTCATTTAAAATAATGGGAGATGTTCAGAAAAAGTTAACCAGGATTTTCAAGAACTGATTACTAATGTTAACATGTTCACAATATACTGTACATTTTTTTCTTGTTTCTCTTGAAGCATATATACTATTTATTAGATTTGGTGTATTTAAAATTGATTTTAGAGTACTAAGATATAATTTATGGTGAATTAGATTATAATGGTAGCTTTTTGTGTGTCCACAGTGGTATGCAAGGTTAATTACTATACTCACTAAATTTCATCCATCAGATACATCATGGTTGAAACTAAAAGTATTTTTGAACTTGATCATGGAATAAGTATTGCAAATGTAATGGTTATTCATACCAAGATTAACAGATCAGAAATAAATATGCAGCAGCAGTTTTGAGAGAGAACAATTTCTGATTTTTAATTAATTAGAAATCAAAATTTGCATTTAAGGTCAATTTGTGTGTAGCAGTTATCAAAATCTTAGCATAAATTTAGCAAATATGAAAGTCCAACAATTTATTTTATAAAACACAAATAAACAGTCAAATTTTTATGCTTGCCTTTTATTTATTTTTTTCTCCCTTATTATTATTAAAGGTGTTTCAAAAAAGGATTACTTTGCCTTTAAAATAAATTTTTCATTAAAGAGAAATTATTTTTTTAAAGAATAGTAGTTTCAATTTTATTAGGAAATTTTTTATTTTATTTTTTGTTTAATGTCTTTTTTAATAAATTATTTTAATTTAATAAATTTTATTTTTACCAAAATAAATGAATTTAGTGCACTTTATATAGCATTTATGTCATCAAAAGAAGTGTTTACCATCGTGTACATTTTTAGAGCATAAAGATGTTTTGTGTACATCTACATTTCAATTTTTTAGTTGTTTATTATTTTAGTATACTTCTAGTAAAACCAATTAGTTTTTTAACCATAGCCTTTTCATTTGTTTTTACAATATACATAATTAATTATTATTGTGGAAACATTATTTTTAAAGCTTATATGGATACAAAATTATTTTTTAAATTATTCTGAAATAATTCACACAAATATTTTATTCTAATTTTAGATGTTATCACCTGAAATGGAACATCCTTCTGATTATATTAGTTCTCATGAATATAGAGATAATAGAGAAAGAAGAGAATTGCCTCCACTTGCAGATAGAAGAAAAGATCTACATGATCACTATCCCCACCATGATAGTCACCGTGATCTCAGGGATAGAGAGAGAGATATGGTGTATGAAATAGAACGAGAAAGAGAGAGAGAACATGAACGTTACCACGATGACTTTGATCCTCTCGACGGAATGTTGTTGCGAGAAAAGGAGAGAGATTTCTGTCATGGAGAAATAAGAGAAATGTGTGATTTACGTGATCATGAACATCGTCACCATTCTCATCACCATCATCACGAGAGAGATTATCATTCACCACATAGGGGGCAAAAATATGGACATTCTATGAATGCTATTTAAATAGCAAGACTTTGTTGTGTTATAATACATGGGTTGTTCTGCATTTTCCCAGTTTGCTTTTGTTCATTGGGACAATTATAGAGTCCTTCTTACAATATATTCTTCTTTTCTCTAGTTCATTGATTATAAGCAAAACTGGCAAATCAGTTAAAAAGCCAGATTATCCATCCTCAAATATACTGATACGGAAGACTCAGTCACTACAAGCCAAAACTTCTGGGTCCATTACCAAAGTCTCACTTTGTACATTCTTTAAAAATGATATGGCATCGTGATTTTGCATATTTCTTATTATTGAGCACAAATAAATCTATAATTTAAGTAAGAATTTCAATGAAATGTGTGATGATCCTGGGCAGATATTCACACATGCAAGAAAATGTGATTTAATTTAAATAGTGGTAATTAGTGTATCATAATATTTCAATAACAAAAATTATAAAATTACTTCCAATATAATTGGAAGTAATGAACCAGCTCAAAGAATTATGTAAAGAAATTAGTTGAGAATAATTTTGGACCACTCAAAATATTTGACCTCAGCTTAGCCAACTTTTGTCTTGTGAATATTTTTAACACGTAAAATTTTCAAAACCTGATACTGATTTATGTACAAAGATGTATTAGTCAATATTTCACACCTGCTGTATATTTGCAAAATGCCTATTCTGTGAAAAGATAGTCATTGATTATTATATATTTAAAGGAATGCATTTCTTTAAAAAAAAGTGCAAATATGAATAGAAAAAAGTCACTAAAAGATTTTTTTATAATTCAGGAATTATTGTAGATAGAATGTTCATTGTAAATGTTTCACAAAAATATCAGGTTGAGAGAGAAAAACATTTTTATTCATTGAAATATTTTAAAGTATGAAAGTTTAATAATTTGAATCATATTAAAATTCTAAAATAATGAAATTAGTATTGTAGCAATGTCTGAAAATTTAAAAGTATTACAGAGAATGAAATGAAAAGTTTTAGGGAATTTCACTATTTGGCTATTTAAGTTAATTCTTATCACAAAGACATTTTAGTTAAATTTTATATATCTTAAAAATATTTTTATTAATATTAACATTAGGGAAAAGAATTCAAGGACGCACAGTAATTTGATGTTATTAAGCTGAATTCTCTGATTTATTATTATTACTGTTTAGTTTCTACTAATCTATTTCAAATGTGTTAAAAATAGATAAGTTCCAGAAGATAAGTTGTAGAGTTGCAGATTTAGTACTGCAAATGTGTGTGCCTTTTTTCCCTAAGGCCAAGGCATTGCAAACTGTTGGGTTATTGAAACTGAAAATCCAACGAAAAGTGGAACCAAAGTGTATACATATGTATATATAATTGTACAGTTAATGATAATATGGCAGTAGCTGAATGTTAATGGTATCTTAATAGTAGTTTTTTGAAGTACAATATTTAATTGTATTTTACATTGGTTAAACTTTTCACCACAAAACATCTCATTTTCTCTCAACACTGCCAGCACTAATGTGATAAGCTGGGTTCCCTAACAGTTTGTAAAAAAATAAATAAACCATCAAATTTTGCGCCAAGTTTTTATTGCCTTGGTCTGAGGGCTAGGATGTTGTTACGGATACGGACATCATTATTATATAGGTCTGTTTGAAAATTCAGGCTAATATTGTATCAAAAATAATAGCTATGTTCCAAGGAATCTAGTCAAATTAAGTCATTTTTCAAATACCAATTATTACAATAATTAAATTAAAACGTTGTAATGAATTGGAGTATGAAGTGAAATAACTGTTGTATTTTTGAAAGGATGGGATTATTGTGAAATGCTTGTAAATATCGTTGTTCTAACGGAAAAATCACAAAACTATAAAATGACAGTTTGAATAATAAGGAAATTTAAAATGAGCTACTCCAACTTTTTCCAAACTATAGTGCAAATTTCAATGCAAATGTTTTGGAATATTAGAAAAGTTCAATTTTATCAGTAAGAATTATTTCCTTGTTCTTCAAAACATCATTAGTTTAGTGACTTTTCTATTATGGCAACAATATCATTTGGAGCTTTGATCATGCTGCCTTAATGTGCTGTATGAAATGCTCATATCTTGTAGTAATGATAATTTCTATAAAAGAAAAGTGATAAGTAGAATAGGCATGGAGAAAATGCTCCATTAATGAGATAGAAGTGGTAAGGTTTTGTTAATTTCCTTGTGTCCAAATATTTTTTGAATTTCTTTCAGGATTTATCACTGTATCACCATTACTAATTTTATAAAAACCGTAAACTTTTATAGCATTGAAATTAAATTTTTAAAAGAAAATATAATAGTTTGTTTATAAAATTCTTAATTAGTTGATTGTGCAGAAACCACATTTTTTTCTATTTTCAGTTTAAAATATGTGATCCATTGATTTATGTATCACGATATTTAGAAAATTTTACAGCATTTCATCTGTGTGATAAATTCTCAGTCAATGAGAAGATTTATTAAATGCTGCTCAAATCCATTGAAACTAATCTATTACACTTGGGAAGAGAAAGTTCCATTTGAATTTAGAAGAAGAAAGATTTCCCCATTTCTCAGTGTTTCATAATTTTTCCAAAGCTCATTGAATATTATAGAAAATATACTCACTGTATTCTTTGTGATTTTGTAATAATGCCACATTGAGCCATTTCTTCTCAGAACAAATATCCATTATTCTTCTTGAAAAGCTTCAATAATATCCCATTCACAAGAATTTAGTCAGTTATATACTGTAAATAGACATTATCAAATACAGTACATATTTGGCTATGCATTAACTGTTGTTAATTCTGTAAAATTTAATCAATATGCACAAAACATTAATTATACAAATTATTGATGCAGTTTCTGATGGTTATATTTTGCAAAGAAAAAAAAAACAAACATGGATTGACAAAGAAATATATTATTGACTGTATGTACAGTGCCTTGGTTTGTTCTATGGTTAAGATTGATGAAAATTGACTGTACAAATTCATAATATAATAATGTTGTTCCTACAATTTAAATACTGTGTCAAAAAACTAGTTAGAATAGCATATTGCAATTTAAATATATTTGATTATTCTGTTCTGTTTTTATTGCTATAAATAACAAATGAGTTTCCAGTTATCAATCTGAATGGTGTGATTAACGTTAAAGAAAATCTAATCAAATATTGCACGTATGTTCTTGCACACTGAGGCCTTACCATGGAGCATTTTCTCTTACAGATTTTGCAGATTACTTTCTCTGCAAAAAAAGAAAACATATATATATATATATATTATTGATGACAGCTTTCCACTCCCTCAAGCTTATTGCAAGCATAATTTATAAAAAAATAAAATAAAAAATTTCTGGCCAATCCGTGTGCTTCACTGTATTTTGTGCATGATGCCTTTTTACATATTGCTGCATAACTGAGAAGTCAGTTAACTCACTATATTCCCATAGATAGAAGTTTGTAAATAAAGGATTTTTAAGATTCATCCTCTTAATGTGTGTGTGTTTTGTCCTATTATTTTCTTCAATGATTTTTGGAATTATCCAATTAGTTTTTAAAAAATTTTAATAATCAAATTTATTCCATATGAAATATTTATTGATTCTATTTATTTACACCATGATTGTTATTTAATATCAACTCTCAAAACATGATAAGAGAGATATATTAGGCATGTTTGACATATGAATAAATACAAACTAATTATTAATTGTATTGAATTTATTTCTCAAATTTTTTAATCTTTTAATAATTTTACTAATGGATTATGAATAATAATAAACTTAAATTATATTATAGACTATTTTTAATTCTAAAGTTTAAGATGGAAAAAAATTAATTTTATTATTCTATCAAATCATTACATGAATATATGATAACAGATATAAAAATTTTTTATTTGCAACATATTCAATATTAGACTTTAAAAGATTTCAAATTTATAAATAAAAAAAAAGTGAATCCAACTAGTATGCTAATTTATAGTTTATAATATAATTCATACTTTTGTTTACTTTTTATTTTTTTTAAAAGTTGATTACATTAAGATTTGGAAAGCATTTTGAAAGATTTAAAATCTGATATATTTACGCATATTAGTAATTTTACATATTGAGATTTTACTTTGATATAACTATCATCACTTTTTATTTCATATATTTATGACTGTAGTAAAATATTAATTATTATAATTTAAGAATCATTATCACCACCCATTTTATTTTACAAAATTTTCAGACCAGACAGATAAAATTTGCAGAATATATAAATGCATTGTACAAATATAAACTTAAACATGAAATTCAGTTTGTATAAACAACAGATTTTTAAAAATTGATCTACATAAATCAGTTAACTTTGCTTTCATTTCAAATTTTAAAATATATACACAAAATATAGCAATACTTGCTAACCTTTTTATATGGTACCATTCCCATAAATCTACAAAAATTTTTTGACAACTTTTATGAAAAAACTTGACATTATATTTAATATTGAGATCAGTATTGTCACATTGAAAATAAAAATTATCATCTATTATTATTCATGAACTAAACATCTTTATTCTACATTTTGTTTTTATAGTTAGCTGTTTTGATTAATTCAAAAATGCAAAGATGTCATCAAAACTACTTTCAGTAATTTAATCCTATTAGAAAAAATAGTTAATGACTGGACTTTATTATTGTTATTAGAGAGGTTGCGGCTGAAGTTTTCATCTCTAAAACATGAACGTTGAGCACCGCCATCCTGTAAGCCTAAAAGTTTGACAATGGCATTTGGAACGTCACTGGAATCATGCTCGACATTCCAAACGTTACTGTCAAACTTCTAGGCTTAAAGGATGGGAGTGTTCGACGTTCACGTTTTAGAAGTGAAAACTTCGGCCGCAACCTCTCTATTGTGTTGATACTGTTTTGAAATATTAGACATACTGTGCATGGATAGTTTCAAATGAAGATCCTAAACCAAGTTTATTGGTTTTAATGTGAAAATCTAAAATAATTGTATTGATTTATAAACTAATTTTTATTTTAAAAAAGTGTGATAGAAATATTTGGATAACTAATAAAATTTAATTAATACCTTTTTTTTAGTCATTAGAAATTATTTCTTAAAGATGGTTTAATTTTATCAATTCTGTACTGCTTTGACTGTATGAACTCTGTTAACCATTACTTTGAATATGTTTAATTAGTAATTTTAGTAAATCTAAAAGTTAACTAAATTTAAATATATCAAATTGATAAATTTTTGTCAATTATGACAGTTTGTTTTCATCAATTTGTAAAACAAAATTAAAGTGAGTTCGCTTAAAGAATTCTTATGTTCAGCCACAATGTATGATAGAAATTTTAAAAGAGGACACTTAACTGTATTTGATATTAATGGTCCAAGTACATTTCTATACCTTAAATTTGTAAATAAGCTCTCCAATATCCAGATGAAGACTTGTATTTAGTCAATTGAGATGATTTGTTGTCAAAAATGTACATAAAATATTTATCAATAATGTTTCATACATGTTTATCTGATTTAATAAGTGAAGAACTAAGAAAATTGAAAATGGATCACTCAAATCCTGTATCTATCCTCTATACAATAATGGTTTCAAGATTTTAGGTAGATATTCCATTAAAAATGAAATGAATAAATAGCCTAGGCAAGGATGAATAACATTTACTTTGATATTAGAAAAGAGTGAAATACTTTGAATTGTTCTGTCTGATCATTATCATGGTTAGGGTTACCAACTCTCTTGTACAAAAGAAGAGGTACAGTACATGGCATAGGCATTGTCAATGGAGGCAGGAATGGTTGGCAATTCTAACGAGCAATTATTTATTGTGACATCGTCACAATGCCGGGCTGCAATTGTTAATCATATTTTTATTTAATTTAAAATATATGCTCCCCGCGTAAAATTAGTAGTGACTTGCCCCTGTATATCATACTTTTCCTTTAACAATAGAGTCGTGCCGGTCATTAACACTTTTCAGGGAAAATTTTTGAATTGAAATAACGTGACTTCTGTTTTGCATTGAAGTTCGTATATAGTTAAATCGGGACCTCCCGCCCCTAAGGTTTCCATGTCTGTTCTCGAGATCAAAGAAAGACGGACAACAGTGGGAATTTATAGGTCTACAATTTTTTCAAATTGCAGCTCAACAATAAAAAAAAAGCATTTATTCATTCGAATGGGACATACCGGTAAATTCTGCACAGATTGCTTAGCAATGCAGGGAATATTCAATGTGTTCTCCATTATTTGGGTGTAAAATTTGTTGACTGCAGTGTACTCAATGGCCGACCACAAACTGTTCCTCCGTGATACTTCGCACATGCAATGCAATACTGTCCTTTAAGTCTATCAGTGTTGCAACGTTATTTCAATATCGCATACTGTAATATTAGAGAGGTTGAGGCCGAAGTTTTCATCTGTAAAACGTGAACGTCGAACGTGGAGCGCCGCTATCTTGTAAGCGACGTTCGACGTTCACGCTAGATGAAAACTTCGGCCGCAACCGCGCTATTAAAAATACAAAAGTAAAGAAAAAAAAACCTATTTTAACTTCAAACTAAAATTAAATTACGTAACACCGTTTTTATACTTTTCAATTAAAATCCCATTCCCCGTAAGACTGTCGCATATAGCTGCTCCAAAAATTACGTAACGTACCGTATATCTATCAGCTGCAAAGAATAGAACGAAATCTCGTGTAACGTTTCTTCTTAATCAAAATTTAAAATAGATTGGAGACAAGAGACGACACATTTTCGGTAAGTTATTATTTTTGAAATATAATTTGTCTAGTAAAATTTTGAAACATGTATTTTATAGTCTAATTCAAATACAAACGAGATCAGAGGCTATCCATAAATTATGTAACGCAGAATGGGCGGGTAAATGGTTATACAAGTAATCGTTACGGTTGGTTATGAGTTGGGGGTTTTTGCAAAAATGTTACGTAATGCTAAGATCTTTAAATCCACTGTTGTTGTTTATTAAATATGTAGAAATTACGCTATCGGTAGTTTCAGGGAAAAAAAGGATGAATGAATTAATAAGGAACAAGTAGATACTGCACCACTGATATGACAGTTCCAGGTGATTGTAAAAAAGGCAATAGTGGAACTAGTGATACCATTCACAGATGCTCTTATCAACCTTGGGTTATTACAGAATGGTTTATTTTTGTCCTGAAGTGTTGTGTAGCCTATTCGTTAATTAATGCTTTGTGATATTAATAAAATAACGTAACGTTCGATCGGTGTTGTTTCATATTCTCTGCAGTGTATTATTTCTTAGTACAGTTGAAAGAGTACATCGAGGATATGTGTTAAGTAATTTTGGGAGTGAGTAAGTGCGACATCGTTATAGGAGTGAATGGTAATTGAAAAGCATAAAAATAATGTTACGTAATTTATGAACGCTCCTTCATTGTAAAATACGTCGAATTATTAGTCTGAATCAGAATAACTAGAAATAAAACATTTCAATTATTTCTACAGATAATTAATGATGATTTTTTGTGATAAATGCAATTTTCATTGGGCAGGACCCGTTTCTCATCTATAATGGGCGATGTAAAATCAAATCTCGTTTACATACATTATGATTCGGACCACATAGTCCATTGCGCTAACGTTTCAGGAATAAAATCTAATCCAAACCGGGGGCAGATCCATGGTGGGCTACGGGGACTTAAGACTCTCCATTGACACACACAAAAAAGATTAAAATGTAATTATTCGAACTTTGAAACGTGGTTTTTAAAAACATTTATGATGGAAAATATAGTTTATCCGACCATTCGCAACACAGTCGTCTTGCACGTGTTAGTTAATAAATATAATTATTCAAATATTTGTAATTTTCGAGTTAGCTTTCCTTTGGGTTCTTCTGATCCACCACCGATCCAAATTATTAGAAAAAATAATATTGTATTAATTAAATTTTTAATGTTTTTGACACTGTTCATTAAAAAAACATTTCGATTCTTATTAAAAGAATTCATTAAAATAGATTTTCTGAATCGCTTAATTTATAATAATCAACGATCATAGGGTTTTGAAGTAAAATCTTATTTTTTTTTTTTTTTCGTTTTTGTTGAAAAGGACGTATTCATCGAAGAAATAGACGAAGGACAAGCGTGCCTGGAATGCGAAAGTAAATGCCCGGGTTACAAACCTCACGCTTGGAGGTAAGATATTTCGGTTATAATAATTCGCTTAACTTTATCATAATAATCAATTTTACGTCACCGACAGAACTATTTGTGATAATTGTAAATGCTCGCGCGAATGTCACGACATTTGTCCCAAAGATACGATTAATATCCGTGATAGAATAGGGTCGAAAGGCCAAGGCCAACAAAATAGAATGCGGTCGAAACGGACTGCTTCAAAAGAAGGGTATTCCTGGGTGCCATCCGACTTGTCTCCAGATAAAGTAAGCAATTGTCTTAAGCATGTTTAATTCTGCGGATACTATATTAATGGCTTTACCACCGGATTCATTCTCATATTTTCAGATCCAATTATACTTCATGCAGATCCCTTCCCAACGAGTGCCTCGAATCGGAACGTCCGGTGAAAAATATCGGGAAAAACAGATTATTAAACAACTTCCGAAACAAGATTTGTCTGCAGATTTCTGTAAATTTTTAGGAAAAGAATATCAGCAGCAATACGCGGACTTTATACGCGAACGCCAGAAAACAGCGATGGATATTGCATACGTTAAAAGTGCTCCGGAGCAGACTTCGGCGAGAAAGAACTATTTATTGTTTCGTTCTTTGTCTTAGCTAAAATTTTAATTATTACAATATTGCCTAATTATAGGAGTGCCGCGGTTGTCGAGGAACCGTGTTACTGGGAGATTTAGTAGTAGTAAATTCGAAATTAGGAGAAGAGAATCCGTTTCACCCGGGCTGTTTCGTATGTTCGGTATGCGAAGAATTATTAGTGGATTTAGTTTGTTGTACCTTAGAGGGCAAAATTTACTGCGAACGTCATTACGCGGAACAAATAAGACCTCGATGCGCGGCCTGCGACGAGGTAAACGATTTTAGATTATTTTTAAAAAATAAAGGAACAAAAAATAACTTATGTTAAATGTTTAGCTTATTTTTGACGATCGATACACCAGAGCAATGTCAAAAGATTGGCACACGATTCATTTCTGCTGTTGGAAGTGCGACGAATCTCTTACGGGTCAGCGATATCTTATAAGAGACGATCGACCATTTTGCGTTGGTTGTTACGAAAAAACGTATTCCAATATTTGCGACGAATGTGGAAAATTAATAGGAGTTGATTCAAAAGTAAAAACAAATGCGGGGATACTACAGATTATAACCTATGGAATTTCGGGACTTTGAGTATATATTTGAACTGAGGGGACCGAGACGAGTTCAACAGTACCCTACTTTTGAACAGGAGACGAAAAATAAGAAAGTTATCATACTTTTTTCCGGCGATAGCGCGATGATCGGGAGTCGCGTCGCTCTCTCCGCTAAGCCTATCGCGTGTTTAACAGGCAGCCCGGCAAGGCGGCCGTATATACCTTCAACAGAGGCAGATGTTGATCCACGAGCACACTGATCGTCTGCAGTTGTGGTTAAGTCCTTCTCGCACGCCCTTTAAGCAGACGACACCGTAATTGGAAGCAACGCCACCTAGCGGTGAAAATGTGCAAATCAAACTAGTTAGTTAAATAACTTAAATAAATAACTTAGGTTAACTAACTTAAATAACATAACTTAATTAAATAAAATTAAATTAAAATATATAACTAACGTAAATAGAAAAAAAGAAAATTAAGCAGACGACACCGTAGTTGCTAGTACCGCCATCTTGCGGTAAAGTCTGCAAGCCATTAAAAAATGCACTGTGAAAGGTAAGAAATTGTAAATATGATAATTTTCTTATTTTTCGACTCCGGTCCAAAAGTAGGGTACCGTTGAACTCGTCTCGGTCCCCTCATGTTCAAATACATACTCAAAGTCCCGAAATTCCGTAGGGGGTAATCTATAGTACAGCCATAAAAATGCTAAGTTTTATTTATCAATATTTTTATACTTTCGCAAAGTTCTTGATTTTATTTTCATAAATTTTCCTCAGGATCTCTCCTACAAAGATAAACATTGGCATGAAACGTGCTTTTCGTGCAATAAATGTCACGCTCCGTTGGAAAATAAACTTTTCGGCTCGAAAGCAGACCGAGTTTACTGCGTCACCTGTTACGAATCGGATTTTGCCACCGAGTGCGACGTTTGCGGCGAAATAGTTAAAGCCGGTACGGAGAAACTCGAACGTTTCTTCAATTTAAAAGTACTTTTATTGCCTTAATTGTCGATTTCAAAATTTAACTTTAATTTTAGGTTCGAGTAAGATGGAGTATAAAGATAAACAGTGGCACGTCGAGTGTTTTCGCTGCGTTGTCTGTGCCGACTCCATAGGCACCAACAGCTTTATTCCGAAAGATAACTGCATATATTGCCCTAGCTGTTACGAACAGAAGTTTTCTACGCGTTGCATCAAATGCCATCGAGTAATCGATACTAATGGTATTACTTATTGCAACGAACCCTGGCATAGAGAGTGTTTTTCTTGCACCGGCTGTCAGATGTGTTTGGCGGGACAGCGCTTCACATCCGTAGACGAGAAACCCTATTGCGCCCAATGCTTCGGAGAATTGTTTGCAAAAAGATGCGACGCCTGCAACGGACCAATTACTGGTTAATTTTTATTTTATTTTTATATATGTAGGAAACACTTGTAACGAAATCATTATTCGGCAAAATCTATTTTGTCACAGGCATTGGCGGAACGCGTTTTATATCCTTCGAAGATCGGAATTGGCACAACCATTGCTTTGTGTGTGCCGCTTGCCAACGATCGCTGGTCGGAAAAGGATTTATGGCAGACGGAGCGGATGTCTTGTGTGTGGAATGTGCCAAGAACAGATTTATTAATTAAACGACGATTCGTCAAATTCGTCTCCCAAAATTTAAGACGATTATTTCGACAAAACAAAATTACAAAATTAAAGATGGAATTTTTCGCACGAACTTTATTCTGTTTCAATAAAATTTAATTCCGGTGTTATTAATCCAATATTGAAATTACTGTATTTGTTTATTATAAAACAGACTTATTAAGTTGTATTTTTTAGAATACATCCATAAATAGGTGCATTTGATGGTATAATAATGAGAACCGTATTCTGATGGCCGAGACAGGGGGTCAGTCTACCGCTGTCGGATCCAAAATCTAATCCGGACGAGTAATTCTAGGAATTATTTACGGATGGGCCCGTCGAACCCACCGTGGATATGATTAAATTCGGTGTCGTGTATAGTATTCCGGTATCTTGTATTCCTTAGTGCAATTAAGTGAATTGATGCGAGGATGTGCGTTATAGCAATTTTTTTTATATATGAGGGTCAATTGATAGTGACAACCATTTCTTATTTCAAAAACTATAATGTTTTATCATTCTCGTGCATCTTAATTTTAATCCTCATTATGTTACGAACAATTTGACTTATAGTTGAAACTTGTAGGCTACATTATATATAGTGGTAATAATGTAATGAAGAAACCCCACGCATCGTCCATTGTAACAACTCATTAATTAAGACGTCATCAACCTAAGCAACCTAAGACGCCATCAAACCCAGAAACGACATCTCGGGGGAACTTCTACAGGAAGTTAAAAGAATGAACTCTCACCCCAAATTGTCATCGGAAACACAATAAGAAAAATTACTAAATTGTAAGAGATGACATAAGACATTACAGTACTAGAATGAATGAAATGTTAACGATTAAATATGTAAATAGAGTCGAGTGGGCGTATGCACGTAACGTCACCCCAACCGCCTACAGAGAGGTTTTGAGTGGACATCACGAGTAACGTCACGAGCATGGCAATTGTCCGGCGCCATCTTTGTGGTTTTTTTACGTCTTATTTGTGTTTACGCGCGCTTTAGCTGGACCTCGTGTTATTTATTCGTCGCGAGTATGGCGAATTGTTGTGTAATTGGATGTAATTCTAGTCATAATATATCATCAGGGCCACCAAACCGAGGAGCTTTCACGACGTAGGCAATCTGCATGGCTCTGGAGAATTAACCGGAAAATTTTCAATACGGATAAAGAATATCAATACAAGAGTTTGCCAGAAACATTTCGTTTCAGGTAAGCAATAACATTTAATTATTAGTTATCAATAAATAATTAGATAAACTTTTGCACGGGTATCATAAAGTGTAAACAAGCCGGTTGCATAAATTCTTTCGTTAATACTTAATTTGAATAGATAATAATTATGTTCTAACTTTATTTTTCACCTTTCAATTTGTTTTCTTAGTCTCTTCTTGTAATAAATATACAGTAGAGTTTAATATTAAAGTGTTAAGCAAAGTTAACGGCTTAGCGGATGAAGAATTCGATTACTGTGTAGTAATCGAATACAGGAACTGACCATGGAGGCGTCATGACGTATGTGACGTATGTGACATGCGCAACTCGGCGCTTTTTCTGATCCAGAAATGGAACACCTTGTTTTCTTCTACCATATGAGTGACCACAACCTAACTGTATATCAGGAAAGTTATGAAAGAGCACGTAATTGGGAGAAACCAGTCACGTGTAAGATAGTTAAAGGCCTCTAAAGAATTGTAATCTTTCATTTGTAAGAGAGTAGTAATTTGTCGTCAAAACCAAATAGATCATGATGTCACCGAATTCTATTTTAAGCCACAACTCTCGATCTACAACTATGCTGCTGCTTCGTATGGACCGACACCTTGATATAATGAAACTTTCTCTTCATATAAAACATCTCGTCCTGTCGAACTGCGAGAATGGCCCGTCAAAAAGAATCTTTTTTCTAACTTTATCCGTGATATTAAAATGCAGTTCTATTATATTTAAATAGAAAANATGGGAGCCCTTAAGGGGGTGAAAGGTTACGTTACGTCCCTCGCTTTACCCGTGATCTGTCAGGATGACACGAGAAAGCCTTTTCCGTATGGGGGTCGCGGTTTGCTGGACGCAAAGACTCACACAGAGACCGTATTTACCAAATCAACGCGTTTATTGTACTCAAAACAAAACATGCTTACAGTTGCGTGAGCTACACAGACAGTCCCTCGTACTGTGTCGAATCGAACGTTGGAGAGTCCCTTTCTTGTCGTAGGAGGCGGTGATTTTTCGGTCCACACAGCACAATTTCTCGGGTTCCCGCAGTGGAAGGTGGATCCTCGGGTTAATCTTCGGTGAAGTACGTTCCCGGGATGGAAGGATAGGTTGATCCTCGAGTTGATCTTCTGTGAATACCTTGGGACGGAAAGTTCAGTCCTTATTTCGATCACTCGTCTCGGTGCTTAGTCCGATAGTTCCTCTACCCGCGCTGAGCTGACCTGACTGTTACCTCCGACCTCCTCGTGTCCTTGGGACCTCGGGCTTTTATATTCTTTACCCTCCCGAAATCCCGAAGTTTTGGTTGGTCCGAATGTTGGTCCCTCTGCGCTTCTATTGGTCCCGGGTCTGTTGCCAGGGACGCGATTCGGGCCGAGGGGTCGCCGAGATGACCCCCGTCCGGGCCGTTCTCCTCCGGAGTCGGGTCAAGCCCTCTCCCGGATGACGGTCTCGTAAATTGTCACCTAATGTCTATTTTTCGGTCCCGGAGAGGAGGAAGCTGTCCCAGCCGCCGCCCCCTCCACAGGAGTGTCAGCAGGATCTGCTTTGAACTCGATGTAAGGTGACCGTCCAAAGTTTCCCCGACGGTCGATCCCTCGATCGTTCTCACGATTGACGACCGTGAATGTGTCAATTAGGGCTGGAATGCGACAATTAAATCGTCTCGCACCCCGTTCCTTGGTCACACCGGTCCTATTTGCGTAATAAGTCACCGATATATTGACTTTAGCTCGACAGCCGGTTTCCGTCCGAGGGGGAGTGTGTGGTCCCGGCCTCACAATGGAAATGCAATTTCTTTCCTTTATTTCTATTTGATTGACTAAAACAACCGAATATCGCGCAAATAACCATTACCGAAATGTAAAAATCTTTTATTTTTTCTAATTTTATACTGTGTAGTAATCGAATACAGGAACTGACCATGGAGACGTCATGACGTATGTGACGTCATGAGCAACTCGGCGCTTTTTCTGATCCAGAAATGGAACACCTTGTTTTCTTCTACCATATGAGTGACCACAACCTAACTGTATATCAGGAACGTTATGAAAGAGCACGTAATTGGGAGAAACCAGTCACGTGTAAGATAGTTAAAGGCCTCTAAAGATTTGTAATCTTTCATTTGTAAGAGAGTAGTAATTTGTCGTCAAAACCAAATAGATCATGATGTCACCGAATTCTACTTTAAGCCACAACTCTCGATCTACAACTATGCTGCTGCTTCGTATGGATCCACACCTTGATATAATGAAACTTTCTCTTCATATAAAACATCTCGTCCTGTCGAACTGCGAGAATGGCCCGTCAAAAAGCATCTTTTTTCTAACTTTATCCGTGATATTAAAATGCAGTTCTATTATATTTAAATAGAAAAACACGCTGCCAACCTATCAAACAACAAACCATGTGCGAGCTAAGCAAGCGGAAGCTAGACCACAAACATGGCGTCTATAAAGTTGACTATAATCTCTTCGACCAGTTATTTAATGTTAATGGATGTAAACGCACTCTTTTGCCAGTGTTCTTTGACGAAAGATAATGCCATTTAACTAGAATGCAAAAGTATTTTAATGCTCGATTAAGCTCAACAAGAGTAGTCATCGAACAAGCGTCTAAATCAGGGGTGTCCAACAGTTTTTGCCCCCGGGCCGAACCGGAAGCTGCCCTAGGAAGATTTTGAGGTGATGCGAGATCTCATTGTGGTGTCACCCCGCCCGTAGAGACTAAATTGTACATAGAGATTACAGATACATACATTCTAAGCTGTACTTAAGAGATTTGTAATGGAAGGTTAAGGCCAAGACTGCACTAGCGTAAAAACGGAAGTAAAACCCCTCGACGTAAAAGCTTTTAATCACGTGACCCCGATATTTTACGCCTGAGCAGCTCGTAAAACCAGCGTAAAAGCGAGTTGAACACTGCTCAACTCGCTTTTACGGCCTTCTCAGTTGTAAAATATTTTACGGCGAGGGGTTTTACGCCGTTTTTAGGGTAGTGGAGTCTTGGCCTAGCTCTAAACGCACAGTGAGTTGTTGACTTGTTTTTTTTTTTTTTTTAGGGGTCAGAATTTTTCATCAAGCTATTCGGACTTGAGTAGCTAATATTGAAAGATTAATCGCTGGCCGCATAAATTCATTAGACGGGCCGGATCCGGCCCGCGGGCCGTATGTTGGCCATGCTTGATCTAAATTCTTATGTAAGATCGCCAAACCGCGAGTAACGGCAGGATGTCCAACAAACAGTGCAATAACCGTCCTGTTAAAGGACGGTTATTGCACTATTTGTTGGCACTCTAACTTCTTCCCTTTGTAAACAATTTAAACCAATAAGACCAGTGCCACCGAACAATAAGAAAGGGTATTTGCACTTTCTGCTTTTACGAATTCATAGTACTGACGTGCTGTTATTCCACACTTAGGCGCAATTTTTTACATAACATCTTTGCTCTGGCATGCAACTACATTGTACGATTCAAATAAGCTGTGGAAACGACTCTGTTGCACCGGAAATACTACGTGTACAATTATGGAACTAGTATCAAATTGTCCATAATTGAGGATTAAAATGAGCATAAATATTCCAAATGTGTTTTAGTTTATTTGGGGTAAAAAATAGTTGCGACTATTTATCGACTGTTGAATTTATATTCAGAGGAAGTTATGCTATAATTGTATAGTAACTCTGATAATTTTGACGTCAATGTGGGGAAACTTTTCTCTTGCACTACTGGTGACACTTGGTATGACAATCTGCACTTTCGGTCAACCATCAAAAGCTTGGTGCTTGGAGGACAGTAGATCCCTTTTTGCCCCTTAATTGGCTTTTTTGCCATTTTTTTTTACAACTGAAATACACAGAGAAGACTTATTAATAAATAAGTCTTATAAATTAATGTTATTTTTAGTAACAAAAAATAAAATCCTTAAGAGTCCGAACAACTACAGGCTGTTAAATTTTCTCTGCCCCAGCTTTCTCTCAACAGCCTTGCTATCAGCTCTCAACTTGCACCTCTCACTCTACAAGAGTTAGAACATAAACAAAACATAAAGTTAAAACCACATCACATTATTCCCTAAAATAAGCTCACTTCCTTTCAGGAATGAGGAACCAACAGTCTTGATCGTTCATTGTACTCCAAGATTCATTTCATATCACGCACGTATCACCTTAAAAACATGCTCCTTACAATGTAACTGTTCACAATGTCCGTGAAAAACCCCAACAGGCTTCTAATGTTTTAAAATAACTCTACTCCTATATGATCTTAACAGACTGTTTTTAAAACATTAACATTTACCCAACTTACCGACCTGGTAGACCCATATACTGGTAAATACTGATGTATCCAATATTAATTTGATTATAGACTATTTAGTAGCCTAATATCTTTTAATTTTATAATTAAATTTATTTCTAAAATCCCTAAAAATTAATGGATATTACATTTTTTTTTTTTTGCTATTTCTGAGAAACAAAATTCAATAACCAAAAACTATTTCTTTTAAAATGATGATTAAAATAAAATAAAACAGGTCACAAAATAATTGTAATTTTAATACTTTATTTACAGCGATATTTAGACCTCTTTTGACCAATATACAAACAATTTTTTTTATTAATCAGCAAAAGATAAGAATTTCATCCCAAAGATGAACAACAAAACAAACAAAAAAGAGATATGCAGCAATTCATTTGATACAGCCTTCTTAAATCGTAACAATACTCAAAACTACGGAAATAAAAAAAAAAATAAAACCTAAGTCATTTTTGACCGAACTGCCGAATAACATAATTAAAAATTAACAACATCAAAATTAACATCTGTTCTTTATATAATTACAATTTACTGGGAACAACAAACCCCATTAATCTAATAAAATGTTTATATATATTTCATATATATATATAATCTTTTTTATCTTACAATTTTCTTACATTTTTTTTAATTTTTTTTTTATATAGAAGTGATCTGTACAATGTTTAGCATCTAAATTTCTATATTAGATGAAATTACAATTTTTGAAACAATTTTTTATAATTAAAATCTGCAAGTAATATTGAAAAAACTCCAACAAATATGCTATAAAACAAAACTTCACCTGCATAATGTACTGCATATGTACTGTACCATACAAAAAAAATGTCACATAAATTTAAATTAAAAGGAACCAGAACGTTTTCATTTTGGCAGGAATTCATTTTCATATCACCAATGAATTTCGGATCCCAACTGGTCCAAAGAGATTCACTTGTGTATATAAATGATGGAATTACCTAAAATATTACTGGCAGGAAATATAATTTACAGTAGTGACTATATACAATTCACTGAAGTAATTATCTTTTTTTTTTTTTTCGAAGAATATATATATAGAGGCAATCGACTGCTTCGAATACTCGCACGTAAAATCGGACAGATGATGCCAAATAACTTTTCCTCTCGCCTTCTCCTCAGGAGATTAAATAAAATATCTTTTTCTTTTTTTACAAAGCAGCTATACTTTTTCTGACTAATATAAAATATCAAAGGCTATAAAAAATATACATATTTAAACATTGAGCAGATGCTATAACATGTTTATTATAAAAAGAATTACTCCAAATGATCAGAAATGCAAAAAAAAAAAAAGAAAAAAAAACAACTGTCATTTACTTAATTGTGTCAAAATAAAAAGAAAAACTAAGAGTAAAAGATTTATATATATGTAAATTTGAGCGTAATTTTTTTAAATATAAAATACTACTTAAAATCAATGTAAAATGTCCAATTAATTTTCCATTCGACGATTTTTAAAAACTATACTCGTTTCACCAAATGATTAGAAAAACGTCGAGGCCGGACCTTAAAAGCTTGCGTAGATCGGACGATCAATTTTATTTTAAATAACGAGAAAGATTTAAGCGGTTATCAGTTCAAGTTCTCTGAAATAATGGCGGCAGAAACTCGCACCCGGAGACAGAGGCCTGTCGTTTCTGTGCAGCAGAGAAATTTGCTTCTCCGTAAGTTTTCCAAATGCCCTGTTGTATTCTCGATCGAAGCAAACTAAACGAAAGAAAAATCAGAATTTTATTAATAACATGCAATAAATTATAATTTACACTAAAATGTGTTCAAAACTACCAGTAAACTTTATCAATGATGATCATTAAACAATAATTTTTATGAAATATTTGCTTTACAATTTCTAATATTAATGGTGAGAATGATAAGGCTATACTTGTACTGTATTACAGTACAGAACTGCAACAATCCTTACATAACATGGTATTCTTGAGCTTTTGTGAGAGGAAAATCTTGCTACTGGAAGTGTTAAAAGTTATATTTGTTCTTTTTTGTGAATCTCCATTATGCAAAAACTTATTAGGAAATTCACGTAGTAGATTTAGGTAATATTGAACTTAAGCTTCTTTAAGACCATTAAAAACTGACTTTGAAGTATGCAGTTCATGGCTTCATGGCTTTTAAAAATTTTGTATAGTTATTTTAGTTTTTATTTATCATTTATAAATTTTTTCCATATATACTAAACTTTGTTCTTAATCATAACATTAAATAAATGTGGAAGTGCCATGCAAAAACAAACACTCTAAACAATTGTTGGAAAAACTCAAACTGTTATTGAATTTATTTTACACCTCACATTTGTAAAAATTTTTTATTTCATTTTGTATCTAACATCAATATTTGAAGGCAGTTTTTGATAGGAATATAGTTAATATTAAATTATATGACATTAAAATTTAAAATATGGATGGTTTTTTTTCTTTTTTTGCATGAACTATATTATGTTATGTTTTCTTTTGCCTGGCCACTATATTCTTTTTCACTTTGTTATACTGGCTACTACTTTGACTTATCAAAAAAACATGGCATTTTACAAAATAGGGATGAACAATCACACAGGTTCCCATTATTTTCTTATTTTTCCGGGTCATCTGCTTCAAGCTTGGTTCCATTTCGTAACACTTGTTTATACCATGAAAAACTTTCATCATTTAAAAGTGATTCAATGTCTTTTTTTCTTGGCAGCTGACAGAGGATGCCCTACAGCTAGTTGCTCGATCGGCTCCTCAAATCTCATCCCAAAGGAGCACTGTATTTTAGTATTATTTTCTTTGCCCATACTCCAACAGTTTTAGGTTTCTTTCTAGATCCAACATTGCCTTCTTCTACACTTATCAAACCATCTTCATCCATTTTCACTCAATTATAACACTGAAATACAGATAACCCCTGTATAACACGGCACTTCACAGATTCACTCTAACACAGTTCAAGAAATGGGTAAAACCCTCGTACAACATGAAATGTAATAAATTTTCACATACTTAAGTATTAATAGTTTACAAAAATAATAATTTTTGTGAACTATTAGTACTTAAGTGTGTAAATTTTCTTTTCCTGCCTTCTGCCAATACACATGGTCCTTCTTGAAACTTATTTCAGTGTTGCCAGATCTTGATGCCTCTGATTTTGGTGTCACCAGATGTTTTTTCTTTATGAAGAATAAAGCAAGTATGGAAATTTCCTTATATAGAAGCTTAGCACCATATAAGGAAATTTATAAAGATCTTTTAACTAAAAGCAAGCAATCTAAAATAGCATATTTTTTGCAAAAGGTAGAGCATGGATCTGAAGATAATGCAGAAAAATGCTCAGAGGATAAGGATATCTTGCCAAAAAGAAAACGCCCTCAGTTAATAGTACTTAGTGATGATGAAGAAAACATTGTTTAAGTGATACATATTAATATAAATTAATTAAGATAAATATCTTTATTAAAATTTTCTTATGAAAATATAATAGCATGTTTTCTTTAATTTTTGGAACTTAGCCCCCCTTTTCATACTAGTTCTTTGTTATGTTATGCAAATCCATGTTATACGGGGGTTACCTGTACACTGTAATAAAATGTGTATTAATAAACATTTTAACATCAAAATCTCTGTTCCAACAAAACGAAAACAAAACCACCTGTTGCATTCTGGAAGTCACATGACTCAATCATAGCTCTTCTTTGGCTAAGGCAGACTGCAATGGATATGTTTTGTTCTGCTTGGAACACATGTAAAGAGATGTTCTTTTTTGCATAGAACGTCTATTTTCAAAGCTCAAAAAATGTTGGATGCATATTTTTTAAAATGAAACCGAAGAAAAAAAATCAATTATAAACTCAACTTTGATTTTTTTTGTGGATTTGTTTGCTTTTGCATGGCACCTCTACAAATGTTCAACTTTGATTTTTTTTGTGGATTTGTTTGCTTTTGCATGGCACCTCCACAAATGTAAATGATAATGTTAACACCTTTACTTTTTTAGTCAGAGGCACTTCATTCAGAAAATGTGCTCAAACAGGCAAAAAACAACAATCTGTTAATAATTATGAAAAAACAAACACCTTATTTTTCAGGTAAGGGTGAGTTTTTTAAAAAATTTGTAAAAATTTACTTGTTATCAGTATTTAAGTGTGGCTCAACTTAAGATACAATACATGATTCCCTCCTCTTGACCTTTTAATTATCAAAATTTAATAACATCAATGCCCCATATATAGAAGTAAACCTCCCAAGTTTCAAAAGTTTTGCTTTATCAAGTCCTGAGATATAATAGAAAATAGATACCAACACACATACATGCACAATTTTGTATGTTTTTTCTCCCTCTTCTGAAGCATCAAAATGCTGATAAATGAAAAAATCTGGGGGGGTCAAAATTTGACTGATCATCATACTTTGCCTATGTTATATTCTATAACAGCTGGGAAGTAAAATTTATATTGGTTATTACTACTATAGTTTCTTCTGTATCATCATCTATTTGTATGGAATAAAATTTGTATGGAATAAAATTTGTATTTGACAAATGAGATATTAAACCGTGACTCAAAATGTGGTCGTAGAGAATATATTAATAATAAAATAACTTTAACATATTCGTCTTATTTTAGTAATATTTATTCTTACCTATATCAATATTTTCTCTTCCTAATGCTACAAGAGATAAATATAACAATTCTCTGTAGATGCTATGATGTCTTCCTTTACCTAAATGGCATTTTCTTCTTTGATTGATAATTAAATTAATTGGTGATATTAGATCATCATTTTGAATTCTTGCTAGAATTTGTTTCATTACACTGTAATAATAATAAATAAAAATAGATGATTACAACTATTAACAAGTAACATATTCCAAATAACTGCAAAAATAAATTGTTATTAGTTTTAAAAAGATGTTTAGCAATTGTAATAAAAAACCCACAAATATCAAATATACTAACAGCAATAGAAAGAAATTATCGTGCTTACAAAGCAAAAACAAAGTGCAGTTAATTGAACATTAGGCATCCTTTCATTGGTCTTTTTAGTTGATGTGCATTTTACACGTTTTGGGCTTCACAACATCCCTCTTCAGTCAACTAATTTGAAATGTATATAGTTATAACAGACAAAATCTTTTGAATAATACACATAGTCTATTTTAATTGATGTGAAAACAGATGTAAAATACAGAATTGAAGGTATGTTTGTAAACTAACTCCTCAACATAAGTCCCTCAATGTTAAAATATTTGTTTAAATTGTCTCACAACAGAAAGGAACGAAAAAAGAAAATTTGTATCCACCCACACCATGTATTCCGGGAGTTAGTTGATTTTAATTGGTGCAAAAATAAATGTAAAATATGGAATTGGTGTTTTGTAAACTATGTATTAACTAAGTACATTTCAAATTGGTTGACTGAAGAGGGGTGTTGTGAAGTCCAAAACGTGTAAAATGCATATCAATTAAAAAAAACCGATGAAAGCATTCCTAGTGTTTGATTAGCTGCACTTTATCGTGCTTATAAAGCAAAAATGTAAGATGACACTGTTTCAAATCATATGCAACAATTTATTTTTTTGTAAATTCAGTGCACATATAAACATGAATGTGATCTGTCAATCACAGGAGTTGTGTGTGCAGTAGTTGATTTTCATAACATAGATAAAATAGCAATGGTTAAGTGGATAATAAAATTCTGAGCATAAGAAAAATAATTAATTTTTTGGACTCTAATAAAGTACAGATTGTGGGAGCTTTAACAGCTCCTGTAGTTAAAGTGTACTGGCATCAAATCATCGCGTCATTGTTTGACCATTGTTAGAAGTGATCACTGGGTTCAATGAATTTTTACACTTAAAACCATAGGCACGTTGCACTGTTGTAATAATTTTATCATCTCATCTGGGATGATAAAATTGGTTGCATTAAAAAGGCATTTTACACACAGGGATTAGTCAGCTTAGGATTCATTATTTTTAATCCTCCCTATGAAATAAAAATTCTGTACTAAGAAAATCTAGTCATCTGGAAAGATTTTTTTTTGTATACTGCATATACACTTTGCAAAAGTGAAATTTAGATATTTTGATTTTTTCTAGAAATGACTGAAAAAATGTTCTAGAATGTTCAATGTGGGATATATAAGTAGAGTAACCAAAGGATGTTTCATCACATATTTCATCAGCAATGTCTGATAACATGAAACTTTCAAAAGAATATGTCTGCATGCTGTTGCTCTATCACTTCTAAAGTGACTATAATGCAACAACACTCATGATCTCATTGCCAAAGCATTTATTAAAGTGTTCACAGGTTAACAAAGGTACCCAACTGTTGCAAATTGCAAAGGGCTGAGAGTACAGAAGGCAATGATCAGAGTTTGTCTTTGCCATAATGGAGCTGCTTCCAACCAACATCACTGTCATGAAAGACTAACTGGATTATTTGAACACCAAGATCAGTCTGATACAGCCATGACAACGCACCAGCCCAAAGAACAAAGATGACCTTAGAGAAGCTGGGCCAGTCTGGGTGGGGAGGTTCTTCCTCATGCAATCTTACAGTCCAAACTTGGGTACTGTCCTTGAATTGTATATTGGCACCGAAATTCAAGACTTTCTTTAAAGAAAAACCCGTCATTCTATACTCATTGGAATGAAAGTTCACAGCAAAGATGGTGATAATATTTACAGCTCAGCCTGGTAAGTAGAGTTAATTGTCAATAAAATTTTTTCAAAATGTCTAAATTTTGCCTTTGCAACCTGATGTGTACTACAAGGTGTGACAATTAAATTCCAGGACTGGGGTAATAAAAGGACACAAAGAACATATAATGAAAAAAACCTTTTAATATGATTCAAAGTAATCCCCCTAAAAGGCAACACACTTCTCGCAACACTTGTACAAGTTCTTGAAACATTTGGCAAAGTCACTTCTGCTGACAGCTCTCAATTCCTTGGTCACATTGCGCTGTATGTCCTCCAAGTCGTCGAATCTTCGTACGTTCAATGTGATTTTGATTTTCGGAAACAAAAAATAGTCGCAAGGCGACAAATCTGGTGAGTATGGAGGGTGGTTCAACTCCACAATGCCATGTTTGGCCAAAAACTCCTTGACAACAGTCACAGTGTGCAGGCAGGCATTATTATGCAGCAGTACCCAGCTTCCTCTTGCTGCAAACTGAGGCCTAACCCGACGAGTTGTCTCCAGATTGATACCAGTTGTCTCCGCTATCATCCAAACAGACATTCGACGGTCATATTACTGCAAGTCTTTGATTTTTTTCGATGTTTTTTGGTGTTCGAACTGATTGAGGTCATCCAGGGTGAGCATTGTCCTCAAAGTCTTCCCGACCATCCCTGAAACGTGCAAACCACTCGAAAACACGAGAGCGGGATAGGGCATCATTCCCATAAACTTGATTGATGAGGGCATATGTCTCTGTTGCACTTTTACCCAACTTGTAACAAAACTTAATGTTTGCTTTTTGTTCCATGACAAAACGTGACAGCACTTTCTCACAGCAATATGTGAATGGAGTACAGAAAAAGAACAAGTTACCAGACATGAACAAATCTTTGCAGACAAGTAGCCAGATGGTTGAACTATTATGACAAGCTTAGACAAGTTTATGCACACTGACACTGCAGTGCTACATGACCAGTCCTGGAATTAAATTGTCACACCTTGTATATAATACAGTATGTTATGGATAAAGCTAAGATTAACTTGTTAATGTTAACTTTAAGTCACAAGCAGATAAAGCTGACATTATCCAAAAACAGATGGGAATTAAAATTTGGAATCAATCTAGCTGTGATATTTTGGTAAAACAGCTGACGACAATTACTTTTTTTACCTCCTTTTTATTATTTTTCTACTGAATAAAAAAAAATTCTAGTTGATTTAAAAAACAAAATTCCTTCTTTATCTATCCAAACTGCATTGAAAAGATTATCTGGCTAAAGTGAAATTCTAAATTTTATCCTTGCTTTATCCAAAATGGGATGGATAAAGTTAGAATGTTAAGTTTTGTTCTTGAGTTGGATAGAGCATATTTTACACAAATACAGTTCAAAATTAATATATTATTGTTTAACTACTCTAATAAAAAGTCTTGAATAACCAGTTAATCCTTAGCTTTATCTGATTCACAGGCTATAGTTGTAACATAAAACACCCACACATACAAAATACAATATACTGGTGTGTGTGTGTATATATATACACACACACAATTATCTTCATAGAAATAAAGATGGCATTTGATATCAAAATGAAACAAAACAACAACTAAGTAAAAGAGATGCTTGGGATCATACATTAGACTAAAAAGTTAAATTCTAGAAAATTTTACATCTCTGAATACAAATCATTAATAAATTATATTTAGTTTAGTGTAACAACAACATTCTTACATTCCCTAAATTAACTGAATGAGACAACCAAACAAACCCAATTTACTGTTCATCATTTTAGAGAAAAACTGCATATAAATAAAATGATTAATAGATTTTAACAGCTTTAAATTTTTGACTTGTTAAACACTAACTTTATAGTGTATTTTGAAGACACATGGCAAATTTTCATCATTTATCTTCAACAATATGAAAAGGATATGGTTTCATAAAAAATACAAGCTTTAAATTTTTATATTTTTGATGTCATTATTTATTGCAAATAATATTTCAGATTACATTAGTAAATTATTTTATATTTAAAAGTAATTAATGATTTCTTTGGATAATTATAAAAAATAAAAGTAATTTAAATGAATTCAACCAACCTTTTGGAGGCTTGCCTTTCATCTGTAACAAGTGCATGAACTAAGGATGATTCTTGTGCTATGAAAATAAAAACTTAGTCTATAAGGATATGTTAAGATGTCAATAATTAAAACAATTTAGAAGAATTAATATTGTAACCTATTTAGTACATTGCTATCTGTTGTTTATAAAAATTATTGTTTAACTTATTTTAAATTAAAGAGAATATATATAGTGTGTTAAGAATAAACAAAACTCTTCTTTATAATATAAAAATATTTAACATACAATTGTTAAAAATGGAACACAATGGACCAGAATTTTCTGTTTTATAAAAGGTTATTTTTATTAATGCAGGGGAAAATGTTATATTTAAAACTGTTTTTCCTCCAGCATGAGTTGTGTAAGTATCATGTAACATCTCTAAAAAAAGTCAGTATCCACAATGTGTTCTAGTTGCTCTATTACCAAGCTTGCCAGATAAGTGCTCTATTTGTAATTTTTTTATGATCTGTTTGAATAGGCTTTAAGTAAAGAGTGAAAGTAGATTTGAAAAATATAATAATTAACAATAAATTTATTATTTATGAAATAAAATTTATTTATTTTTACACAATATAATTGAGATTGGAAATACTAATTAAATAAAATAATCATTATTTGATTATGTAAAGTAAATATTTACTTACTATTCTGAGTCCAAAGCAAATACATTGGCTGACCTATGTCTTCGTGCCACTTCACATTGTCCCAGAGACAACGAATAATGACATTTTTAAAATCATTGTTTCTTTCAGTCATCTGAAATAATGAAAATAGTTTCAATACATATTTATTTATTGAATAAAATTTTATTTTTCATGTAGAAAATATATTTGTAAAAATAAGCTTTATTACTGTATAGTTAATAAAATATTATCTCCGAAATATTCCTTGAGAAATCTGAAGAAATTACTAAAAATACAGTAGAGCGTTGATTATCCGAATGCTGCTCAACTGAAAGCATTCCAGTCAGACTGTCTTGCTGAATCAAACGTTTTTGATACTAGATTCTAAACATACAATAGTCACGATTATTATAACAAAAATTTTCGTTAAGCTTAGCGTCGAAGATTCAACGTAAAGCAACACGCAATGGAAAAAAACTTAAACATGGGATATACTAATATACTATATTAATAATGTCTTTTTTCGTACATAATAATTGGTTATCTGAACAACCCCAGTCTCCAATTGATTCAGATAATCGATGATGCTCCACTGTATATACGTGGTATATAATCACTTACATGAAATTTCTAAAGTAACATTAATAACATAACATAAAGTGATGCTATTTGATCAAAAATAAAAATGGTTTAAAGACATTACTGTCACATTTCTCAGATAACACAAATATACAATAGATTAGGTAAGCTGAAGAGATAATGAAAGGTTAAAAATAAAAGTAAACAGAATTAATAGAAAAGACAGTAAATATCAATAATTTTGAATAATTATAATCTAAGCAATAATTGAAGATTAGTTATAAGTTTCTTAAAATCAAAAAAAAATAATGTTGGCAATTTTTCCTTATTCTACTTTTTAAAATACAGAAAAGTATTTGTTTGCATGCTTTACTAACTATTTAAAAATAAAAGTAAACAGAATTAATAGAAAAGACAGTAAATATCAATAATTTTGAATAATTATAATCTAAGCAATAATTGAGGATTAGTTATAAGTTTCTTAAAATCAAAAAAAATAATGTTGGCAATTTTTCCTTATTCTACTTTTTAAAATACAGAAAAGTATTTGTTTGCATGCTTTACTAACTATTTATATTATAATATTGAAGTAACACACCAAATACCATAATTTTTTGAAGTATAATTTATTTCAATTATAAGCAGCAGGGAGTAAAATAGGTTATAAACTAATCGACGAAAAATTGACATACCTTTATATTTAATCAGTAACTAATTGTTTTTAATAATCATTTAAAAACAATGAAATGTGTTGACAACTTCAAAGATAATTAGCATTAGGCCATTAAATTAACTTCATAAATTCTGATAATTCCTAATATCAAATGTTGATAACAATATTAGCAAGTATTTGTTTTTCTAACTTCAATATTGGAAAATATTGATCATCACTAGTTCAATATTTTCCAATAGCTAAGTGGTGATGCCATCTGCAGAGTGATTCATAAATGATATGAAATTTTCCATGAATAATCCACATTTTTGTGTAAGCCCCATCTCCCTTTTTCAAAGTAAAAGCAAATATAAGCCATAGCTTATACTCAGACCAATTATACTATAATTTTTAATCTCTGTACAAAATTTTATTGAAAAAATAAAGAGAATGAAGTACTTTATTATCCAAAAATTTATCAATATGGCATTTGATGATATTTTCTTATACATATAAATGAATGTTGTATTGTTTAAACTATCCTTCGGTACAACACACTAGATAGAAATGATATTTTATTATACAGTGGAACCTGGTTAACACAATTGTGTTTACTCAGTCATTTTCTTTCCCCAATCATCTAGCAAGGGGATTTAATGTACATGTTAATTCAAACTGGTTAACTCAAAGTGATTTTGCTACAGTACTTTCATAAACACTCTGGTGTTTTACTTAAATTATATAATTAGTTTATTCAATAAATGAACACTAATCAGAAACCTTCTATAAAGTGCAGGAACCACATATGACTTAAAGTAAACATCATATCATGTGATGGTGGGCAGGGAAGATGGCTTCCAGACAGCATGTGTACGGTAACTACTATTCAAACCTGCCTTTCTTCAAACTTTTCCTTTTGGTTTTATTTGATTGCTGATAGATTTCTCCAACCGGCTGATGTAATAAATGAATGAATTTTTGATTAATTAATTTAAAGAATATAGTATGATTATTATACTTTTAAAATTTTTATATAAAATTATAGTGTTTTTTTTTGCGATAAAAAATAAACAGACACGAAATATCACAATTTAAAATTCTTAATAAACACAGAAATGAACAGATCAACCAAGTGTTTCTCAGTAGTAACCATTCAGTTAAGCGTTTTTTTCTGGACAAAACCAAGATGTTTCCATTGACACAACAATTCTATATAATAAAATATATGGAAATATTGTATGGATAGTTAATTATGGGTCATCAATAAACCAATGCACAAAATCTTTTTTTTTTCTGACCGATTGGAGTTTTTGAATTACTACTGAATATAGTGGAGTCTGGTAACTTTATTCTTTTAACTTTTTAATTCACTTTAATATGAGCTCACTTTTTGCATGGGCATTTTAGTATTCAAATTACTAGAAAGTATTACCACATACCAATCTTTCATAGACCAAAGAGATAGAACTATGAATTTATGTTCTATAATACAGTAGACCCCCCCTATAACAGGGTAGATAATTCCGTGTCGTATGAGTCACTTGTATTTGTAAAATCTAAGTGACTCGTACAACATGAAATTCATATAACATGGAATTATCTACTGTAACTTTTTCTCTTTTGTTAGTTTTACCATAGTTAATGAAACATTTATAACTAAAATTCTACAGGGAGAAAACACAAAGAGATCTCCAAAATATTAGATTTAAATTATTTCCTATAACACAAGAATTTTTCTTTATGCTAAGGTAATATATATTTTTTAATTGTTATAATCAAGCAAGTGTGAAAATAATAGGTAGGATATAGAAGAAGTTTTCTTATAAAATTATTTCAAGATCAATCCTTGTTTTAAAAATGAAATTCTCTGTAAATGCTTAATGTTGTTTTCTTTTGGTAAGATGTTAATATAAAATAAGTATATAAAAACATAACTTATAGTATATTATATTTAGAAAGCAGTTAACAAACTGAAAATTCTAATTTTAATAATATTTTTTAAAATTACCTGTTTATTTTTTGTAATAGAAGAAGCTTCAAGACATAAGTTTGGTAAATGACTTGGTACATTGATTCTCTTAAAAAACCAAACCTGAAAAAATTGATTCAATATTCAAAAATTAAAACATAAACAATCAGAAAGTCCAATTTACTTAATATTAAATCAAACATCTACTTTGCTGAATTTAACAGGCACATTTGGACTAGTAAATTAATTAATTATATAATTTGGTCTAAAGAAAGTAAGTTAGGCTGCCATCTTGTATCAATATTAATATTTAGAAATTAAAATATTTTTAAGATGTGGGTTCACCAATGCTCAAGGTCAATCTTTAAATAAATTAAATTTCAAATTAATAATAGCATATAGAGCAAAGTAATTCTTCAAGGTAATTGGGAGTTGTGGATTCAAGACCCATGCCAAACCAATTTTTGCTTCCAAAATATTCTAAATTTAATTTATTTATTTCTAATCATTAAATTTAACAAGAGATTAAAGCCTAACCACCTCTAGCCGTAAGTATCATGTAACATCTCTAAAAAAAGTCAGTATCCACAATGTGTTCTAGTTGCTCTATTACCAAGCTTGCCAGATAAGTGCTCTATTTGTAATTTTTTTATGATCTGTTTGAATAGGCTTTAAGTAAAGAGTGAAAGTAGATTTGAAAAATATAATAATTAACAATAAATNTAATTGGGAGTTGTGGATTCAAGACCCATGCCAAACCAATTTTTGCTTCCAAAATATTCTAAATTTAATTTATTTATTTCTAATCATTAAATTTAACAAGAGATTAAAGCCTAACCACCTCTAGCCATATCACTTAATAATAATAATTAGACTTAAATAGCCTGATAAAGGAATCCAGCTGTTCAATTTGCTAACTAACATAGACTGACAAATATATGTATTTGAATTAATTCAAGAAAAACAAAAATGTACTGATTAAATTTTAAAGTTATTACTGGATTTTAAACTGACTAAATGTTTTAATAAATTTAATATTTTCATTGAACATGATCTTAAATTCTAATTAAATCTACAAATGAAATTTTTCAATATTAACTTAAAAGTAACTGTTTAAAAATGTAAAAATTGTGGTTAATAGTTTAATTCAGTAAAAAATTATATAAGAACCATTTTTTCATGTTTTAAATTATATAGTTTCAACAATTACAACATAAAATATGTTGTTTATTTTATTTTATCATTACAGTTTATCTTTTCAACTAATTTTTGAATTTTTAGAGATCTGTGAGAATTCAAGGTTAAATTGATAAGCAATTAATTGGGGAAGTGGAAAAACCCCAGTTTTTCCCACCACCTCATAATTCCGTCACATATGGATAGGAGAAATAAACAGACAACAATGAATCAACAATTGTCACAATGTTTGGACTTATCGAAGAAACTTTGAACAAACATCCAGTTATTAATGAGGGAAGCTGTCAAAAATGATTACCGAATATGGGAATAAAAATCGTAGAATTAGCCAGTTTGTCAATGTGCTGTTGGCTGACTTCCACTGGACCCAGACACAGCTCGAACTTAGACCACATTAAATCAAAGTCACCCGAGTCAATTGTCATGTGCAACGCGTATAAAAAGGGCTCATACCCGATTGTCAATGCAATCACTGAAGGAGACCAACCTCCTGCTGGACTTCATACTCCTTGTCTCTACGTAAGGATCAATCAACCTTTACAAAGGTATCGTCATCAGATCAAATGCCTAACAAGATATTATGTTTGTCAATTTTATGTAAACTCTCTCTCTCTCTCTCTCTCTCTCGGTCGACTTAGAATTTAAGTTAGTCCTGGTGGATAGCTATTTGCTTAATGACTAAATCTATCAGTTTCAGGTCAATGTTAAATGGAACCAAGGTTAACACTATGGAACATTATAATATTTTGTCTGTTTTAATATAAACAACAAAAAAAAATTACATGTGTTAAGTTTATCTAAAAGTAGTAGTAACTCATGTATCACTACATGTATGACTTACCCTCCCCCACTCAAACTATGGAGTACCCTCCTATTTAAATTTATTTTAGCCGAAGATATTGGAATGTTCATGAGTTACGATGTGAACTATTACTATCCTAACTGGTGTCAGGAAAAAGTCCTCAAGATCTAACAATCTTGAGAACAAAATTATTTACAGCCATCCAGTGACAATTGAGCAGACTTTACCAGGCCAACGCTGACCAAAGGGGTTTAACTTGTATCCATCAACCCCCAGCTTCTCACAGATCTGTATTGAATAAAGATCAAAACTCCCAGAACAATGCAATAAACCTTTCTTCTTTTACTATTTTCTTAGCAAAATTTTTTTAAAAATATGTGGTTTTGTGACAATATTAATGAAAAATTCAAGACTCGCTTTCACTTTACTAGAAAATACTGTAAAAATAGAAAAAAGTGATTTCATCTCCTGTCTAGAAATTTCTATTCTTCAAAATCCAGATAGAAACATAAGCCCAGCTACTATCTGCAGAAAAACCTGTGATGGAAAACAGAATAGGAACACAGAAAATTTCTATTTTCTGAAAAAGCAGGATGTTAATTTGCAGAAAATAGGAACTCAAATAATATATATACTATTGGTTTTATCAAAATGATGTCAAAATTCTAAGATAGATACTTATATCGTCAATAACAAATTGTTTTCTGGTCATATAATATTTAACCTTCAGTTCTTTCAAAGCTTTTACAAAAGGGGTACAAAGAAGGTGTCCAATAATATCAAATATTGTGATCACATTTCATTAGAAATGATTTAAAATTAAATGTATTATGTCTGCCATGTTGACATATAAATGTCACAAATAATTTCTAAATGTAATAAGTTTTGAGAATTGTTTAACTTTCCTGTTATCTGCTTCTGTGGAGAGTATTAAACCTAAAAGTTAAAATATTTTCTACTGTATGCTTTAATCAATACCATTATGACATTGAATAGATTCATATTACTAAAAATACAAATTAGAATCCTTAGTTAATTTTATATTTCCTAGCCTCATCAAAATATAATTTCTTATTTATAATAAATCCAATAAAACCTAAATAGCAATATTCATAGCATGCAACTGACAAATAGCAGCAGTGATATTACTGTCAGTAATTCAATAGTCCAAGGATTAATAATAATGAAATATACTTTAGCATTGTGATGACCAGTTAAGTATAAAATCTACTTAGTTATCTGTGTATAATAAATCTGAATGAAAACATGTTGGGTAAAAACAGATATTTTTTAAAGGATGCATGAACAGGAAAAAAAATACTAAAAGTTGTAAAAATAGATCAATAAAATCTCAAAAAAAAAAGTTAGCATTACATGTTGATATATTTGATTGATACAAACTTTTACCCATATGATCTTTATCCACAAGGCTGAGTAAATTTAAAGTTACAATGAAATATATATTGGTTTTAATATATATGCATTAGTCTTCCCTAGTATTTTCTTTCAATATGCTTTAGTATTTAGTTATTCTGTTTTAACTTCTTTTATAAATACATATTATTTGTTATCAAAAGGAAACAATAACTCTAATCACACATCAATCTGATGTATTTAAGACTAATCGTGACCATCTAAAATATAACAAATTCAAGATTTCATCATTTTGTCTGAACTTTTGTTTTGCCTGTGTGTCTGGTATCCATTTACAAAGCAAGAAAAAAATCTGTTTTCTGCTGTAGTAGATAAAAACTGATTTTCTTTTCTGTTTGTTTCTAGTAGAATGGTTTAGAAACTTTATATTGAAATTTTTTTAAAATTTCAATATAAAGTTTCTAAAAAAAATCTACTAGAACAATTATAAGTTAACTTATATGTATAATACAGTAGAGCATCGATTATCCGAATGTCAATCAACCAAAACCTTTCCAGTCGGCAAATTTAAATTTCCACTAGTGCTGTGACGCTGCAATCTTTGGCTATGTCTTGGGTTACTCCAATATTATTTTTGTTGGTTAATAATATATTTTTTCGTACATAATCGGTTATCCAAAAAATCGATTTTCCAAACAACCCCAATCGATCAATGCTCTACTGTAGTTTATATTAAAAACATAAATAACAGAATTTTGTAAAAACAAAATTTACCAAGTTCCAATATATAATTGGATGTTGATCTACAAATTCTGATTTTGTAAGACAATTATCACCTTCATGCTCTAAAATATTTTCCATTTCTTTCCTCAATACAAGTGGACTTAAATATGGAACTGTTATAGGTTCCAATGCTTGAATATCACTTATACCTAAACGTCTTAAATCGGCTCCTGAAGATGTAGCCGAGAGTGGTTTCAACAAACGAGATGTAGATTTAATACTTGAAGGAAGCGATGCTGGAAGTTCGGTATCTTCTACGGGATTTCCAAGAAAATTCTGAGTAGAAGAATTCCAACTTTCTGCTTTTTTAACAATACTGACAGAATTGCTTGAATGTTGATTATCTATAGAACCGATACTATTCTACGAAGATTTTGGGAAAAAAATAAAACATTAATGTTATATAATGTACATTATATTAAAAAAATGGTAAAAAAAAATTTTTTAATTCTCACAGGATTAAAAAGTGGCAATGCTGCATCAGGACTATCTAATTTTATTAAATCGGCACCAGAAGGTCGCATAGGTTTGACGTCTTGAGGAAGAGAATGAGGTACACGAGATGAATAATTTTCAGAAATTTGCTTTGTCGGACTTCCCAGCGGAGTTCCACTATGAGAATCACTGGCAGGACTTCTACTTTCGGGACTTTCTTCAAATAACAGAAAAGCTTCATTACACGAATCAATGCTATTGTTTCTATTAAAATCCGTTTCACCCAATGGAATTTTATTTTGTGGTAAACTAGACTTTCTTTTATTTGATTCATTTATGGGTGCTGAATCTAACTGATTATTAAGAATATTTTCAGCCGAATGAGCAGGACTTAACAAAGATTCACTTGAACCTTCATTACGTAAATCCTAATTAAATAGATTAATAAAAGTTAGTAAAATATGTTTTAAAAGTAACTGCTTCAATAAATAAACCAATTTTAATTCTAAATTTGAAGATCTTACTATAGTTATACAATATTGTATTTTTCACATTTAAAAAAAGTAAATTAAGATATTTGTCAAAATGACAATCTTCATGTATAAAGATCATTCTTCTTTTTTTTTTTTTTTTTTGTAATTTTAGCACAGTAGATATATGTACTTTTTAAAATTCATTACATTGTAATTTTGAAAAAATTGATTCCAAACCTATTGAAGTGATGTAGACATATAAATATTTTTCAATAGTAGGCAGTATCAGAATCATAGCTTTAACCCTTTTGTCCTGAGTGGTACACATAGGTACTGCAAGTATTTTAAAGTACCTGAAACCTAGAAAATGCATTACAAACAAATGAATATTGTGCCATGCCGGGATTTTGCATTATCGCTAAAGAACTGGCAACTGTAGAGGGCGTTTGAGTCGTTCGCTTAATCCTCAAAGAAGCTTCTGTTTTTGAGTGTTAAATACGTACTGAAAAAATATATGTCTAGTCAGTTCATTTAGGAAATATGGTCAAATTGGTAGGACAGGAAAATTTTGATGACATAATACAGAAAACATTCAAGAATTACTGGCTGCCAAAGGAATTTGGTTGAAATGGATCAGAGTTAGTCAAACTGATTCAAAGAATAACAGCAAAGATGATAAAATTCCAAATTTTAACACTTTTACATGTTGTAATTGCTTGGTTTTTATGCCTTTCTATCTTATTTTTTAATGCACAAAGTCAACTGAAAAGAGCACAAAGTTCAAAAAGAAATTTCATACCATAAAATTTACTTTCAATTGATAGATCTTTGTGCTTTACTGATTTTTCTTTTTTAAAGCAAGATGACGCAGAAGGAAGTTTGGAAGCTGAAGATATTCTGCAACACAGAAAATGTCCTTATTTCATTGTAGTGAAGAGAGAAAAAAATTAAATGAACATACATTATCTGGCATATACAGGCATGTTTCACAGTTAGTAAGTTAATAGCAATTTTTAATAAAAATTAAACTTTCAATGGTTATAAAAATGTAATAGTGTATTTTTGTTAACTTTTAGAATATAACCTCCTTTTGGTTCTAATTTCTTAATTATTAAGTCATCAAGGATGAAATTTGTAGGTAATAATATTGCCAACCGTTGAGTCTGACCCATCTCAGAGTGCCTATGAATTATCGTTGAAGTTTGGTGTTAGCAAACAAACAATATTAACTCATTTAGCTGAAATCGGTAAAGTGAAAAAGTTGGATAAGTGGGTTCTACATGAACTGAATGAAAAACAGAAACAAAAGCATTTGGAATCTTGCTTGATGTTGCTTTCTTGTTACAAATCTGATCCATTTTTTAATCAAATTGTCACTTGTGATGAGAAATGAATCCAATATGAAAAATGACAATTGCCAATGTTCAGCACAGTGGTTGGACAAGGATGAATAACCAAAACACACTCCAAAGTGCAATATTCATCAAAAGAAGCTGATGGTGAGTTTTGGTGGTCTAGCACAGGTGTGATCCATTATGATTCATGAAGCTTGGCTCATCGATCACAGCAGAAATATATTGCAACCAACTGGACAAAATGATGCAAAAACTTAAGCCTAGATTGGTCAACAGATCGACTCCTATCTTATTGCATGATAATGCTAGACCACACACTGCACAAATGACTGTGGCAAAACTACAGGTATTGGAGTTGGAACTTCATCATCATCCATACTCACCAGATCTAGCCCCCATTGACTACCACTTCTTCTGCAATTTGGACAACTTTTTAATAGGAAAACAATTTTAATTCCAACAATGCTGTAAAACTGGCCTTCCAGGAATTCATTGACTCTCATCCACCAGGGTTTCATACCACCGGCCTGAACAACCTGCTGCTTAAACAACAAAAGTATATAGACAATATGGGTGCATACTTTGATAACTTACAAATATAAGGAATTATTTTATTCATCAACCAACTTTGCCTTTTTTTCCACAAATTTCATCCTCGAAGACCCGATATATTATATACCATGGTTTTGCACCACATAAGATTTTGGCAGGCAATATTCATTATTTTATAATTATAAAATACTGAATAATCCAACATACTTAGAACACCTGCTTTAATTTCCTTGACTTTTTTTTCTATCTGTGTTTGTGATAAATTTTGAAACAATATTTTCATACTGTAATAAAGTTTTTACTATTTAATTCAATATATGTAACAACAAACTTATTTTTTAAAAAGATTCGAATATTGTAAGAAAATTAAAATGGTTAATAGGTTAAATCAAGTATTTTTCAATTGTTTTAATATGAGGGCTATTTTTTAAATAAGGTCCATTTGTGAATGAGAGTGAGAATGACGCGCGATTGCAGCAGTGTGCATGAGCATCTGCTTTCAGCATGTTTTGCACATGTTTAGATGCCATTTGCAGCCGTATCGTCTGTCTGTGTGCTGAACTGTAGAAGTTTATAATGTTTAAGAAAATTGAGTCGCCCGCCGACTGTAAGATACGATCTGTTATTCGATTTCAGCATGAAAGATCATAGTAACTGTCTTTTGGGACAGGAAAGGATCTTTGTTAGTAGATTTTATGCCAAGAGGCACAACAATCAATTCTCATGCTTATTGTGACCTTGAGAAAACTCTGCCATGCAAGTCAAGCAGCATGGCCTAACGTCTTCCGGCAGCAGATGGCAGATTTCTTTGAAGTTGGAATTAAAAGAATTTTTGAGAGGTATGACAAATGTTTGAACAAAAATGGAAATTATGTAGAAAAGTAGGTAAAAGTATGTAGAATATAGGAAAAAATATATTTTAATGATATTTACAGTATTTTTCTTCTTATTAGAAAACGGATCTTATTTAAAAGATAGCCCTCATATTTAAAATGCTTACTCCGTAATTTAATTATCATAAATGACTGATAACATAATAAAAGTACTTACCCTAATAATTATAGTCAGAAGAGGAACTAGTTTTGCTTTACAAAAAGCACATCTAGAGGAAAAAAATTTACTTTAAATTTCACTTTTTGCATCTAAATCTAACATTTTGCTTATATTTATTCTTTTAAAAAGAGAAGAATCCATTTTGAAATCCTGATTATAAAAAAATTTACCTCATTTCCTAGAATGTAAATAAAATATTTTGTTTTATTATAGCATACTTTTAAAAATAAAAAAAGTAATATTTCTCTAAATAGAATGCTAAAAATATGAACTTTTTCTTCAATATGCTGTAAAATAAATTTTAAGAAAAAATTTATGAGATGATAAACTTTTTTTAAACATATTCAAGTTGCACATTTAAAATCATTAAAGATGATTTAAATTGGATTTTCATCAGATTATAATAAGGCTATGTAATTTATTATAATTATTAAATTTAGTAAGAGATGGCAGCATAACTGCCTATTTCTAAGACAAATTATTTAGTATTCAATTAATTATATAGCTATATTATAGCCCAATAATTTGGCAGTTTGTTTGGCTTTGATAATGATACACATTTCAAGAAAATTAGAAAAGTTTATATAATAGGATCACCCAAAATTCATAGAAGAATTGTGCGTTTTAACTGAATTTTATTTAACAGGTTGTTAACTTCTCACAATTATAGTATAGAGTACAGTACATCTTTTATAACTTGTAATACCTCAACTGTATTTTAATTCCTCGGTAAAGATTTAAAATATCACAGAATATTTTTTCTGTACATTTTGAAAATTTTCAATATTTTGACACGTTAAAATTTAAAATTCTATAAAAATCTTTTGTACTCATTACAAGTCTTAATTTCCTCATTTTTATTGGGAAATTCTTTTGTTATCTTGAAAGTTGCTTCTATTGTCAAAAGACATTGGTCTTGAAAGTTTTATATAATAAATAAATTATTAATCTGAATACTTATTTATTTTCAAATTACAGTCAAACCTTGGGTTTTGAACACTATGGTTTATGAAAAAATTTCATACTCATTTTTGCACCTGGTTGCTGAAAAGCTATTCGGCAGAACAAGCCCCCGACAATCAACTTCCTATGTTAAAGAAAGACAATGGCCCGACAAATCAATGACACCGAAATCACCTTGTGTCACAATACGAATCATTGATGATGTTGCTATTTAAATTACATTTCAGTGCACATGTGGGAAAGATACAATCAATATTTCATTTTTCAGTGCCACAGTCGGATTTAAATCAAATTAATTAATAAAACTGCATTAATTGAAATTTACATAGGTCAAATTAAATGACAAATTTAAAAATAATAATTAAAACTGAAATTATCCACATTTCCCTGAAATATGTTTTAAAGTACTTGTTAATTTGATTGGTTTAGTTACATTTCATTCAGGCAGTTAAATTGAGTCTATTTATAAAACTTTTTGTAAAGTGTTTGGTTTCAGTTGGCAGAACATTTTGCTTTTAATATACCATATTTACTTCGCATATAAGATGAGGCTTTTATTCATTTATCATAGCTTCAAATTCCTAGGTCCTATATGTGCAAGCGTAAGATTCTTTGTGTTTTTGCAAACCATGTATTTGCATATTTTACCAGATGCTTACCCTCCTGTATTTAAAAACATAAGTATTTTATCTGGATTGTTCTTGTATATTGTCAGGAGTAAAGAGGAATTGAATTCCAGATTGAAATTCCAAAATCACACGGGAGCCTGATATAAGTTTTAATCCATTCCCATGTGAAAACAGATGATTATTCGGAAATCAGAATTTGGAGAAACTGATAAGTATAATTGATGGAGAGTGGATTCGACTGTTGAGAGTTGTCAAAAAAAAGTTCCCAATTGTCCAGCTTTACACAAACAAATTATGTTGTTGATTTTACGAGATTTTATTTTATGTTTAAAATGCCAGTAATTTTTGCAGGACAATGTGTGTGTTTACATTCATTTGATATTTTACTTGTGATTAAACAAAATACATTTATTAATACAATTCTAATTTTAATTTTCTTTACTTTGATCTTTAAAGTCACAGCTCGTCCTATAAGTGAGGTCGTCTTATATGTAAGTAAATACAGTGTGTGTGTGTGTGTGTGTATATATATATATAATCCTTTATAGGAATTTTTATGCAGAAAATACAACTAAAAAGGTAAAAAAAGGTTTAGTTTTGGTGGTCAGGAATGAATTAATCCATTTTATATTGTTTCCGTTTTAGAACAAATTAAGCTCAAAACCCCAAGGTTTGACTATATAGAATAAAATTTTTTAAATCTGAATTTCATATTACAATTTTCATTCATTTTAATTGTTTATACAGAATGTTCTTAGATAATATATCAAAGTTTTTCTAGGATAATTTTAAATTTTTTGAAGCTACTATTTATTATTTGAAAATTTAAAATTTAGTTTATTTTCAATGTATTATACTAAACATAGAAATTACAACTTTATTATATTAAAATTACCTATTCAACCTCCTTTTTTTCATAATAGAGAGGTTGCAGCCGAAGTTCAAACATTAAACTTGTAAAGCAAGCAGAAGTACACATTTGACATTTGAACTCCAAGTACACATTGTGCACTGACTCATGGGATAGCATTTAAAAATGGTAGAAATGTTTAACAATGATGAATGTTACAGGTAAATAAACAAATTAAACTACTTTAATGTTATTAAACATTTTATAAATACTTTAAATAATTATTTTTAATTATCATTGTCTCTCCTACCATACAATAGGACAATACAACTACCTTGTACTTTTGTTGAGGGAAGTAGTGGCTTATGTAAATTCCAAAAGCAGCTCGGGAAATTATTTTTAGAAAATTTACAAACATATTATGCTGTTGATGGTAGAAGATGCAGTGAAAGAACAAACCTACTCCTACAGAATTATGATAAGCTATTATGAACAGAAATACAGTAGAGCATCGATTATCCGACCTCCGATTAACCGTCACATCGGTTAACCGACCATTCTAGTCGGCAAATTTCAAATGTCCGCTAGTGATGTGGCGCTACAATATTTGGCTGTCTTGGCTACTTTAATATTATTTTTGTTAAATTTTTGCGTGTTTTAGCTGGCAACACTGGCTTGACCATGAAAGGGAGGCCAGTATTTAAACGAGACTTAATTGTCTAATTATGAGTGGTTGTTTGTTTTGTGAGCAATAAAATAATTTAAAAATAATTTTTAACGATACAATAGCGACGATTATTATTTAAAAAAACAAAATTTGTTAGGCTTAACATCGATGAAAATTTAACGCGAAATAGGTTAACGATATACTAATTACATGGGATATACTAATATACTATACTAATAATGTATTTTTTTCATTCTTTTCGGTTATCCGACCAACCTGAGTCCCCAATTGAGTCGGATAATCGATGCTCTACTGTATATGTAAATTCTAGAGGCACTTCACATCACTTGGAAAAAGAATTAGACGATTTTATTCCAGAAATTATTCATAAATGCTTAAATGATCATTATTTTAACCCCAAACACAAAAAAAGTTTAAGTTGAACTTCTACTCGCCATGCTAGACATAGCAAATGCCATTGTCAACCTTCTAGAATTGCCAGATGGTGGCACTCGATGTCCAACGTTCACGTTTTGGGCTGAAAATGTCAGCCACAACCTCTCTAATAATTGTTTAATTAATAATCATATCCTAAAATAGTTAAAAAAAAAAAACCAAATGAGCTACATGATGTCTACTTGGAAAGTTTCTTTCTATTAATTACATTTATTTATTTGCATCAGTATTGCATCCTACTGTGGCTAACTGCCCCATAAATTACATAACAATGTTCTAAACAAACAAAACCTTACTCATGTTTAATATCTATTAACATGTATTTTACAAATCAAAGTTTTTGTTTTAATACAAAATAGATAATGATAAAACTTTCTAATTAAAAACTTAGTTTGATTTATAATGATAAAAGTAAAAGAAAATTACATATTTGAAATCTTTGACAATGAAATTCTACAGATCTAAAATTATAAGCAAACATATGATTAATTGCCTAATAACATCCTGCATAGGTTTAGAAAACTGAATCAAAAAATTAATATTTTAATTTGAGTTAGCTTTAATTTATTTAATAATAGCATATGCTTTTTTAAAATTAGTTCACTTCAACAATAATTTTATATTTAAAAAAAAAAAAAAGAAAGCTTAAAACATACTGTGTATTTAGATTTGAATCGTCTGCAGACCATCCTTCCATAATTTCTTCGTCGTAGAGAATAGAATAACACGTGTAACATCGAGAACAAGATGTCATTGTTATGTCGAGAGCAACTTTCACGGAAGATATTTTTTCTGAGGAACTTTCATAATGGCTTTCCATCATTTCAAAAACTTGAGATGAATATGCTGGTGCACTTCCTAATTAAATATTTATTTTCTAATGAAATCAAAAGCTACTTTAGCTATTTGTAAAATTTTGCTCAAAATAAACATTCATTAAATTTTATATTTACACTTAATTATTTGGCTGGCTTTACATAAACATTTATAATTAAATTATTCTGATGTGTTACTTTGTAAATAATAATCTTGTGTGAAACAATCTATTTCAAAATTCATAATCATCAATACTAGTGACTAAAATCAACATTTGACTATCAGATAATTTCTTAGATAAATTTTAAGAAAATTTAATTACTTTTAGAATAGATTGATAGTATTTGCATCTCCATATAATAAAGACTGATCAAGTTCTCTAAAACATTTTGGAGACATTATGTTTTAAAAAACTAGAAATCTATTAAAATTCAAAGATGACCTTGATTAATAAAATTTTAAAATTATTAAAACAAATGTTGATCTTCATACAAAAGAAAATTTATAAAACAGTAACTAAACTTTGAAAGATTTATTTCTAAATCAATAGAAGTATATAAATGTATCAAACTTACAAATCAAATTAAAACCCAAAACTACTTGAAAACTATATAGTTAATTTGCTATTAATGTTATTTCTAATATTTTTGTAAGGTAAAATAGCTCATAAATAGCGAGGTTAAGGCCGAAGTTTTAAACGTGAAAACGTGTACGTTGGATGTTCAGCACAGCTTTCCTATAAGCCTAGAAGTTTGACAATGGTGTTTGGATAGTCAGTGGAATCATGCTCGACATTCAAACACCATTGTCAAACTTCTAGGCTTATAGGAAAGCGATGCTTAATGTCTGAAGTATATGTTCTTGTGTTTAATACTTTGGCTTCGACCTCACTAATATAAAAATAAAGGCCTTCAAAAATCCAGGCTTAAAAAATGATTAATCCAGAATACCATACATAAATGATGAAAATCAACTAGTCTTTTGACCATTTTAGCAAAAATATTTTAATATCTTATGTTAAATAATTAAGTACACATATTCATTCTTTAGTTAACCCAGTGTTTTCCAATCTTTGGGGCATGAGACTATTGCAAGGAGGTGCACAGCTTTTACCAAATTATCATTTTTTAATACAAACAAAAAAAAAATCAATATTGAAAAAATAAATCAGCAAAACAGTTACGCCTAATTCACAACCCTCATCCAAATGATTCAGGTACGAATGCTATTCCATCCACACTCTTGCCAAAACGTCTTGCCCCAGCAAGCAATATACTTTATTTTATAAAGGTATATTATTATTATTATATCGTTTTGTAAACCATTAAATAAATTATAAGGACAGTATTTATGAAATTAGATGATTACGAAAATTGTGAGGGGCACAACAATTTTATTCTAAAAAAACAGGAGCAAAGGTACAGAAAGTTTTGAAACCACTAAGTTAACGAAAATGTTGTTATTAAATGCAAAATGTACTTTTGCTAAAATGGTAATACAAGATGAATATTTTACTAAAGATTATGCAAGTATATGAAAGTTTGAACCTATCTTTTATGCTGAAATTCTTGCATATATCATATTCACGAGGCATTTTAAAATCAGAGTAAATATACTTGGAATTTTTACTTACACTATTTAGATGATTTTTAATATCATGCTTCGAAGATTTCTTATAGTTTAAGAAATATGGATTTAATATATGATGTAGATTTCAATATTTTAAGATAGTAATGAAAACAATTTTTTAGAAAAATTATTTCATACTAATTGTATATTCTATACATTTTGAATATAGGATAGGCAATAAATTAATAAAAATATAAAAATTTAATGAGTTTCCACAAGTTAAATAAGTGAGCTTTTTTTATCAAAAAAAACATTAAGCTCTAATATAAATAAATCATTTTGTAGATGGAAGTTGTTAATTAATTATAAAATGTTTTGTTAAATAAATAAACATTTGTGCTAAAGTCAACATAAGTATGATTCTCAACTACCCATACTGATGACAGAAGGGCATGTATGATTCAAATTTCATGACAAATAGAAACTTATAACAAAAAAAACAAAGTAAATTACTAATAATTCATACATTTCTATTATGACTAGCCAAAAGAAAAAATTTTAAAAATTACAAACTCGTTTGATAATATGAAAAATCTATGGCAAGAAGTCTTGTTTTGTATGGATTCTGTGTATTAATATTAATAAATATACTCAGGAACTTTGATTAAATCTTATTTTAGAACGATTATTGTCTTTAATTATCAATTTCCAATCAGATTTTTGACTAAAACAAAAACATTGTCTATGGAATACTTTTTAGATCTCAGATATACTTGCCTTGAGATGTTTCTTCATTATTTATTAATGCAATAACAAAGTCTTCTATCACATAATTCTAATAAAGACAGAAATGAAGATGAAAAAATAAATTAATACATACCAACATGATGTATATTACTATCTCCTTTACTCCATAAAGTATCTCTGAAATATTCAGATTTAGGACTACTGAACACGTCGTCACTCCTACTTGCACGACTGACATAATCTACACTTGCACGTCTGTTTTCAGATAGAGAACACGACTGATCGTCGTCGTCATATAATAAAAGCTTCTCCATTTCATATGGTTTTGGTAATGAATTATATACACCTAATAAAATTGTAAAAATTGTTAATTAATCAAAACTTTATTTTAGTTTATAAAATAATCTTATGACAAATATGACTTTAAAAAAAAAATAAAAATCATATTTGCTGAGGATTTGCTACTAATTTCAATGTTAAACTACATGATTTTTTAATAAATGAAGTGAGATCAATCTAGATTTGAAATTATTGATCCTTCTTGTTGTTGTTTTTTTAAACGAATCCAATAAAATTCTTGTATGATTATATTCTTTAGTATTTATTTCTCTAACGATTTTACATTTAAAAAAATAAAAGATTCATTCTTTTTATGGGTCAATTTTATGTTAAACTTTTATCAAGCTGAAATGTCTGATACTTGGAAATATAATATGATTACTTTGATCTCCAGATATTTTTTGAAAGCCAATTTTTTTTTATATGACAATAGTTAGTCATCCAAATTACTATACCATAATTATTGGAGATTATACTATATATCAGTGGTTCTCATTCTTTTCAAATTGTGTGTCCAGGTATAATGTTGCATCCCAAGAGATGGATAAATGCAGTACGAAATTTATAAAAGCATATTTTAAAAAATGAGAAGAAACTAATTTGTATAAAAATTTATTACCTTCATGATAAAGTAATGGCTAGGTTAGACCTACAGAGGAACAGTTATACAGTAGAGCGTCGATTATTCGAATCAATTGGGGACGGGAGTTGTTCGGAAAATTGATTTTTCGGATAACCGATTATGTATGAAAAAATACATTATTAATATAGTATATTAGTACATCCCAATAACAGTATATTAATATATCCCACATTTAAATTTTTCTCCATTGCGTGTCGCTTCGCGTTGAATTTTCGTCTATGTTAAGCCTAACAAAAATTTTTATAATAATAGTCGTGGCTATTGTATCGTTAAAACTTATTCTGTACAAGCAAAATAAATATATTGAAAAATATAAAAACAAAAAAATTATACTTTAGAAGTTAATCTAGTATCAAAAATGTTCAATTTGGCACAACACAGTCCGACTGGTTAACCGACGCTCTACTGTATTAATATATTTTTACAGCACATAGCTATTAATATTTTAAATTAATTTTGTACACAAAGTGTTTGTTTTACTGTGTGCCAAAGACCAAAAAAGTTGGAAAAGCATTGCCATACATATTTGCAATGTCTTTATAGAAATACTTGCTGGTTAACTCATTATGCAGTGTATTTCTCACAGCATCAAACACATTCAAGAATATCTAGATGCTAAAAGAGCATATTTTTGTTCTATTTTTGAGAAGAAATTCTAAAATTTATATAAAATTTTATTTTCCTGTTTGAATAATTAATTAATAAATATAAAAATACTTAATGTACTTTCATAACATGGAATTTAAAAATCTTACTAAGAGTTAAATGATATTTTCATATTTGTGATGATAATGTAGGTAAAAAAAAATTTGAATATATATTTCTTTATAGCATTAGAATATTTGTGAACAAAACATTATTTTGAAAAATTTCATAACTTCAGTGGAATGTTGAATTTAAAATGCTTTAAAAGATAATTAGTTTATTAGAAATTTAAATAAGATTTTATCAATAGTAGTAAATATGCTAATATTAGTTGCAGACTATACATTTACTTAATGTTAGAAAATAATTTATCAATAAAGAAATATTTATTAAATAATTTATTTTTATGATTTTTTGATTATTTTAGTTAACAGAAAAACATACCTTTTGTAGGTGTATTGGAAGCAGACAATGATTGTCGGAATTCACTGAATTTATTAGCCACAGAACTAGCAGCTGATTTAAGACTATCAAATAGTATTTCTGAATGCCTTGAAGTAAAACGAGATAATCCAGAAGGTGTACCACCTGAATATGAATTTCTTCCTCCTATTACTTTTGGACTATTTTGAGTTTTTTGTGTGACAGGAAGTGTAGATGACCTTGATAAAGGTTTTTTTGAATATTCTAAATCCAACAAATCATCTGTTTTATCAATCTTAGAAAAAACTGGTCTTGCTCCTATGTTATCTGAGGCACCATGGAATGTTGAGCTGCGTGTCACTTTAGAATTTTTTAGAGGTGACATTCCCTTGACTTCACCATTTGCACTATTAGCTAAGCCTAAACTATAAGTTAAACTCGATGCCATTTTTGGTAAGTTACCGCCTGCAAAAAAATCCCAATTGAACCAAGCTTCTTTTAATGGACTCAAAGTTGTCGAGAAAAAATCTCTCTCTCTAGGAATACTTTCTTCAATGTTATTAAGAGAATAATTGCCATAACAAATATCATTACTATTTAACATTCCTAATGAATCATCTGGCTTTTTAAAATCAGATGTACTATTTCTTCTTTTGATAGGAATATTCGGAGATTTTGGTCTTGGTAAAACTGTATATGATGATAAATTTGAATTTTCTGCTTCTAATTCTTCCTCACATTCTTCATCACATCGACTAAGTCCAAAAGCACCAGTGTTTATTGTAAGCTCATCTTGTTTCCTTAACCCATCGACTTTATTCATACATTTATCGTCTAATTTACCAACAGAATCTTGAAGTTCACAATTTACTTCAGTTCCATTCCTAATTTTCCTAATAATTTGTACATCATTTCCAAAACTGTTTGATCGAAAAAACTGTCTTGGATGTTCACCTTCACCAATTCCTTGCATTAATGAACAACTGCAGTGTCGAAGTCTATATGCTCTACCTGCCCTATAATTAGGATCACTCTTATGCCTTTTGCGAAGACGTTCACTTTGAACATTTTGGCCTTCTTCAAACATGGAATCTTCAATTAATGTAGCATGACTTGTCATTAAAACTCCAGCTGAACTATCAACTAGAATAAATAAAAAACATATTGATAAATAATTGTGAATTTAAATTAATTCAGTTGATAGAACTAATATAAATAAACTTTTCTGTGTTTTGTTTAACAATTTATTATTTATTCATTAAAATTTATCAATAGAAAATTATAATTTTAATTAGATATGAGAGTTTATCAAGTTTTAAAGTCATGCGCAAAATTTTCTCATAATGCTATACTGTCTTCATTGACAGACATATGCATATTTTGATAATGTAATAATAAGACATTTAGGTTCAAATGTAGCTAAATGTGATAAACAATATTTAAAATTATATTTAGTCCGATAGAATATAAAAATCTTTATTTGACAAATTGTAATTTATTGTACAGGGTGTAGAATAATGATGGAACACATTTTAAAATTAAATATCTCCAGAATGTATGATAAAAAAAATATTGAAACTGACGTAAATTTATAGCCTATAGTTGAGTTTTTAATGAGTATTGAAAATGATGGTGTGCAAGCCAAAATGGCACAACGTAACAACATGCAGATCAAATTGGTTGTGGAACAATTTTTCAGCAACAGATGCAGTGTGATTATGGCAAAAAACCTTTCAATGTTATTTTCAAACACAAGATGCACCATCACACTGATGCTGATAGTATGTAATAAATATAACAAACTCAATAATTACTTCAATTATGAAATGAACAGCCAGATCGCTTTATCAGGCTATTAAGGTTAATTAAATAATTATTAAGTAATATGGCAGGATGTAGGTAGTTTGATGCCATCTCTTGTTTATCTAAATTAATTTATAATTATTAAATTTATTTCATACTTCTATTATATTATAGTATTTGATTTACATAACTACAAAGGTTATCTTAAGTAGGGGTTTATCACACCAAATGACCAATTTTATTTCTATTTCCTTTCAATTATAATACATGATAAATATTATAATCGAAAGGAAATACAAATAAAAAGTTTTAAGCCTTAAAAAGTGACAAATAAAATATGTACTCAAGAATCTATTTTAGACTTAATAATTTTATTGTCTATTATTACACATTATTATTATATTAAGTTCTTACAGTTAAGAAATTTTAAAAAAAGTAAATATTACAAACCAGTTGGCGATTGTCTGTGTATGTATATGTATATGTATATATATATATATATATGCAGACAAATTATATTATAAATTTTAAAGATAAAGATATATATCCACAAACTGTTAAAGATTGACACTATTCTAATTGACATGATTAACTGTAGACCAATGGAAATTTGTGCTTTGGACAGACAAGTCCAGATACTTAATCTACCAATCTAACAGTTATTCTTGGATATGGCAACTGCTGAGAGAAAGGTATCTTTTGGATTGTATCATTCCAACAATAGTGTGTGATGGAAAGAATTGGCTGGTTGGGCTGTTTTCCACAATTTGGTTTTAATCTGTTTGTCATTTTGGACAAAACTATGAATTCCAGTTCTACCTATATAATTAAGCATTACCAATGGTGTTACAATACTTTGAGGAAAAAACACTTCTGTCAGAAAGACAATGCATTGTCTGGTACTAGTCACACTGTTGCAAATTGTAATGTCTAGTAAGTGCAGGGAGAGTTTGTCCAAAAAGCAGAGCTCAACTGGTCACTGTTTTTAAGGTCAAATAGCATATCACCTGATATTTTCCACTTCAGCACATAGTATAATATTGTATGGTAATAGAAATTATTTATCAAAATGCAAACATATGGATATTAATTGTATGATAACATATTTTTTTAAATCCTGTAGTATATTAAAATAGCTTATTGTTGAAATATTAGTATTAAATACATTATAGTGATTAGATTAAAATATCAACAAAAATTATCAAATCTAATATTTTATGAATTCAAGCTCATTATATTCACACACATTTTCCTTATATCAAAAATTAAAATAATGTGCTTATAATAATTAAAATACTTATAAAGTTAATATATTAAAAATTATTCTGGAAGTCTTTTATAATTAGCTTACCAATTGTATCATGTAATTTTGATAAATTACTTAAACTACTAGCTGAACTTCGAACAATGCTTCCAACTCTACTTCTAAATGCATCCGAAGCAGAAAAATCTAATTCTTCAAATTTTAAACTTTTAGCTGCATTGCATTCTTTATTCACTATTCAAAAAACAAATAATAATTAAACAATATTACTACCATTTATTCCAGAAAATTATTAATTACATTTCTATCTAAATAATTTACCTTTATCATCATCTTTACAGTGAATTTTTCCATTCACTGCTTGAAATTCTGATGATTGTGCAGCTGCCAAATGGGAAGCAATCTTCTGTGCTTCTTCAGGATTCATGGAACTATATCCTCCATCAGACTGACCTCCTGATTCAATAAAATATAAAAAAAAATTAACTTTTTAATTTTAAATTCAACTACACAAATACAGAAATCAGTAATTAATAAAAATAATGACATATAATTTTTAAATGTCCTTATTAACATAAAATAATATTTCGGGATGAGAACAAAACAGCAAAGATTGCATAATGAGAAACTTAACAAAAATTATATGTATATTTTCACTACATTAAAACATGAAATCAGGTCTTATTCAGATGATATGATTTAATTTTCAAAGTTACATGACAAGATTATTCTTTAAATAACACTGAAAAGGATCCTGAAATAAGGTAATCAAAGTTGTAAACAGCACTAGTAATTTTCATTGGAAAATGATGCTATTCAGACTCCATAATATCAGGACAAAGTTTTAATATTGTGAAAGGTTTCAGGATACACTGAAATGCAGTGATATTTCTCAGACATAAGAAAATAATTTTAGTAGTATGCACAAATATATTAAAAAATTACAATCTAGCTATAAATAAAAGAGTCAGTTAAATAAAATAACTTAAAATAACTAGAGTTCATTGAAGAAAAAATATTTTTGACTTCACTAGAATTAATGACTATTGCAATTGTTTCTACTACAGATGAAACAATTTTCCATTTGAAATAGTTAGTTAAAATATAATCAGATTTCCTTAGTTCCTAGGATAATACATATGAAGTTTAGTACTCTGTGAGGAACAAAGCTAGGACCTTTCTTTATCCAAGTTGATAAGTTAACAATACCAAGATATGTCACCAACATATTATCATTATATACATATATTACAGCCAAAGCCTGAAATCAGAAAATGGCAAATGTCAATGATCTTTCCTTGATTTTGGAATTTGGCTGGCCAGTTTGTGAAATGGCATGGAGCAATTGGCCAAAGTTGGAAGAAAAAAGTCATGGTGGATCTGTATAATTTCATACTTTACATTGACTATTAATTATGTGTTAAGCTTATTAATCATAGTAAATTATCAATCTCTATCATCACTTGTTACAAGATGAACTTTTATGACACTTCGAATTACACAACAGTTTGTTATTCTATATTTGTAGAACACTTAGTAGTGCAATTACATAGAGTGTAGCTTTGGCTGCCTGTCATTGATTGGGAAGACACAGCAGTTTGTAGTGACTTTTCTTCTGCGTTCACAGATTCCAGTGTGAGCAGTTTCTTATGCAGAATGGAAAACTCACTTCCGAAATACAGTTGTTTTCACAAATTGAATAAATTGGAGACTTTCCGCCCAATGTACTGATTTGTCATCATCATATTCTGAACATCCTAGCTGGCATGTTCAACGAAACCTTGGCTTTGGCCATGCTTCAGCTTTCTGTGCACCGGTTTCAGTTCATGCCATATGTTCTTTAGTTCATTTATAACTTGGTTTGAAAATTCTCTCCCATTACTTGATTAAAGCACACTTGGAGCACCTATAGTGGTGTAGATATCAAGTAGCTGGTAAGCAACTTCTTCTGCTTTTCTGTTTTTCAGAGGTCGCAATAATATAAATTTGGTTAAACGATCCTGATAATTGAGTATAAACTTGTACTTTCTGTCAGAGTTACTTTGTATGTCTATAAGATCTACCTAGCATCTTGGGTTAAATTCTTTAAACATCAAAGGTTTATAAATTAGACCTTTCTTGGAATTTGACAATTTGGTTTGACATGGCTTGCATAAGTGGAGATACAATGTAATAATGTCTTTAGTGACATATTTTTATTTAGTTTGTAGCTCCTTTTCCATCTGTATGTAACCTCCAAGTCCAATTTTCAAGTGGGTATCATGCAATATGTCGAATAATTCTTCTGTATGCATATAGTACAAAATATCACTATTGTGTCCTGTTATTGGCACAATAAGTTTTTCTTTGCTGTCAACTTCAATAACATCATATTTTCTTAGTCGACAATAGTAGTCAACACTTCTTTTTTCTGCTTTGCTTTTGCATGTTTAACGTCCTCTATAAAAGTGCTGTATTTGTCTTTGGCGAGGATCCCACTATTATTTGCTTTTTCTTGCAGCAATATATTCAAAGTATCCAAGAACCTGATTTTCATATCAAATGTTGGTTCCACATTTACATGTAGCCCAACTTCACCCAGCATATATTTCCTGTCAGAAGTAGCCGTAGGACAACCTATGGAATAACAATTATGAATATTTGAAACTGTAATATCGTTACATGGAATACAGCCCCAGTAAATTGTGTTCTGTTGCTAATTTAATACGTTCCTTTAAATGAAAACATGTCATAGCAAACAATCCTTTATTAACCTCAGCAATGTGTGTCATCACACATACCCCACAACACACATTATATGTGCCTAAGACTTAACTTTTTAACTGAAAGCATTCATATAGAATACTATAGAAATAAAAGGAATACACTACTCACAATGAAATTGTTATGTCAGAATAATAAGAACAAGTCAAAGAGGCAGGACTGTCTCCAAAAAGCAGCAGACATATGGAATATTATCGCCACAATGTAGCACCTTCCTTGCTGGCATGTACACACCATCATCACATCAGAAGCAAAAGATGTGCTGCCTACCTGACAGTCTTGCATCAGCACACCGAATTTTGGCCACAGATTTCCTGCCAAGACTCCATAATATCAGGACAAAGTTTTAATATTGTGAAAGGTTTCAGGATACACTGAAATGCAGTGATATTTCTCAGACATAAGAAAATAATTTTAGTAGTATGCACAAATATATTAAAAAATTACAATCTAGCTATAAATAAAAGAGTCAGTTAAATAAAATAACTTAAAATAACTAGAGTTCATTGAAGAAAAAATATTTTTGACTTCACTAGAATTAATGACTATTGCAATTGTTTCTACTACAGATGAAACAATTTTCCATTTGAAATAGTTAGTTAAAATATAATCAGATTTCCTTAGTTCCTAGGATAATACATATGAAGTTTAGTACTCTGTGAGGAACAAAGCTAGGACCTTTCTTTATCCAAGTTGATAAGTTAACAATACCAAGATATGTCACCAACATATTATCATTATATACATATATTACAGCCAAAGCCTGAAATCAGAAAATGGCAAATGTCAATGATCTTTCCTTGATTTTGGAATTTGGCTGGCCAGTTTGTGAAATGGCATGGAGCAATTGGCCAAAGTTGGAAGAAAAAAGTCATGGTGGATCTGTATAATTTCATACTTTACATTGACTATTAATTATGTGTTAAGCTTATTAATCATAGTAAATTATCAATCTCTATCATCACTTGTTACAAGATGAACTTTTATGACACTTCGAATTACACAACAGTTTGTTATTCTATATTTGTAGAACACTTAGTAGTGCAATTACATAGAGTGTAGCTTTGGCTGCCTGTCATTGATTGGGAAGACACAGCAGTTTGTAGTGACTTTTCTTCTGCGTTCACAGATTCCAGTGTGAGCAGTTTCTTATGCAGAATGGAAAACTCACTTCCGAAATACAGTTGTTTTCACAAATTGAATAAATTGGAGACTTTCCGCCCAATGTACTGATTTGTCATCATCATATTCTGAACATCCTAGCTGGCATGTTCAACGAAACCTTGGCTTTGGCCATGCTTCAGCTTTCTGTGCACCGGTTTCAGTTCATGCCATATGTTCTTTAGTTCATTTATAACTTGGTTTGAAAATTCTCTCCCATTACTTGATTAAAGCACACTTGGAGCACCTATAGTGGTGTAGATATCAAGTAGCTGGTAAGCAACTTCTTCTGCTTTTCTGTTTTTCAGAGGTCGCAATAATATAAATTTGGTTAAACGATCCTGATAATTGAGTATAAACTTGTACTTTCTGTCAGAGTTACTTTGTATGTCTATAAGATCTACCTAGCATCTTGGGTTAAATTCTTTAAACATCAAAGGTTTATAAATTAGACCTTTCTTGGAATTTGACAATTTGGTTTGACATGGCTTGCATAAGTGGAGATACAATGTAATAATGTCTTTAGTGACATATTTTTATTTAGTTTGTAGCTCCTTTTCCATCTGTATGTAACCTCCATGTCCAATTTTCAAGTGGGTATCATGCAATATGTCGAATAATTCTTCTGTATGCATATAGTACAAAATATCACTATTGTGTCCTGTTATTGGCACAATAAGTTTTTCTTTGCTGTCAACTTCAATAACATCATATTTTCTTAGTCGACAATAGTAGTCAACACTTCTTTTTTCTGCTTTGCTTTTGCATGTTTAACGTCCTCTATAAAAGTGCTGTATTTGTCTTTGGCGAGGATCCCACTATTATTTGCTTTTTCTTGCAGCAATATATTCAAAGTATCCAAGAACCTGATTTTCATATCAAATGTTGGTTCCACATTTACATGTAGCCCAACTTCACCCAGCATATATTTCCTGTCAGAAGTAGCCGTAGGACAACCTATGGAATAACAATTATGAATATTTGAAACTGTAATATCGTTACATGGAATACAGCCCCAGTAAATTGTGTTCTGTTGCTAATTTAATACGTTCCTTTAAATGAAAACATGTCATAGCAAACAATCCTTTATTAACCTCAGCAATGTGTGTCATCACACATACCCCACAACACACATTATATGTGCCTAAGACTTAACTTTTTAACTGAAAGCATTCATATAGAATACTATAGAAATAAAAGGAATACACTACTCACAATGAAATTGTTATGTCAGAATAATAAGAACAAGTCAAAGAGGCAGGACTGTCTCCAAAAAGCAGCAGACATATGGAATATTATCGCCACAATGTAGCACCTTCCTTGCTGGCATGTACACACCATCATCACATCAGAAGCAAAAGATGTGCTGCCTACCTGACAGTCTTGCATCAGCACACCGAATTTTGGCCACAGATTTCCTGCCACTTCACAAAATGGCCAGCCAAAGTAGCACATACACTGGTCATTTCAAGTACATCGGACCATGGCCACTCTTCTCAGCCAAAGTGCAGAGTGGCCAGACAATTTGGGAACTGGTCAAACTTCAGGCTTTAGCCACAACATATATATAAATAATACATAGCAAACTAGTAGGTAGTGTAATAATGGAAGAAACATCAATTATATGTTTAGACAAGACTATGTATGAACTTTATATTTGTCCATGCCATATGACATTGCATCATCCAAAGACTATACAGTTTTTGCCATTATAGATAATTTTTCTTTTTCATTTGTTCTTATATATCAAATTTTATTGTCTGTTCATAAAAAAACTATAAATTAAAACCATAGATCTAAATAACTTCAGTTTAAAATTAATTTTTGAATAAAGATACCAATGACAAATATCTAATTAAGATGTGCCAAAAGCAATAAAATGGAAATTATAAAAAGAAACGAAATATTATTATTAGTGTTGCAACGAATAGTATATTTGGCCAAACTATTCGGCTTGATTAACACACGTACGAAAATTGGCGCGCAAACTGCATTATGTCAAGGACCTGCTCTCTATTGGCCCACTGTCACCATGCTTTGCCAATCGTGTTAATTCTTGACAGTTGTAGCAGACAGACAAGAGCATCGTGGCAGTATGTGATAAGTGATGATATCAAATATAGATAACAATGAAATGACCTACATGTGTAAATAACGGAAAAAGAACAGAGAAAGATTGCAAAAATGTGAAAATAAATATGAAATTGAGTTGATAACATAATCGAACAAGTCGAGGCAGCTTATTGGCCCGAAATTCGTGGCCATCAATGCCAAACAATTGTTGTCATAGACTTTAGAAAGCTAAATGCTTGTAATGACAGTCACTTAGCGTGCACAGGCGAAAGCCTGGGGTCGTTTGGGCTACCAAGCTGTTTCGAATCTGTGAAATCATAACTGTGACTTATACCAATGTCCTATCTGTCTCTTTTCTCCGTTATCACCAGGCTATGAGTCACATAATTGTAAAATGAGAAATCTACGACGGAAAAGTGACGGATCCAAAGTATCGTGAGGGCGTATTATGATAGAGGAAAGAGAATGGGAAGAGCAAAGACGAGCGCTTAGAAAGAAGGATAGGCAGGGTCAGACCCTCAGATGTGCGAGGATTCTCCAATGGTAGACGTGTACGTGTGCTGATCTTTGTAATTATAAATTGTGAATGCAAGTGACTAATATTATGTTCTTTTTTATTTTGTGCATGTTATGAGTTATAAATAAATATAAACAAACTACACTAATAATATCAAATCTAAATACCAAAATAATTAATTTAATGTGTTTTTGTTATTTCTTACTCCTGTTTTTAGGTATTCGGCCGAATAGTGATTAAATATTCGGTATTCGGCCGAATAGCGAAAAATAGGCCGAACAGGCCGAATACTGAATAGTAACCGAATATTCGTTACATCACTAATTATTGTTTATATTACTTATACTGTAATTTTAAAAGCAATAGATTGTTGAAAAATTTTTCAACTTTTCACAATTTCAGCTAACTTTAAGCAAATGAAACAATTTTAAATTAAAAACAATTTGTGATAACTAACTTATAACTGAAATAAAACTGCACAGATACATATAACTAAAAGCATACAAAAATGAAATTTAGAGCAACAATTAAGAATTATAATTTGAACATTTTGTATTTAAATCCAATTTTAATGCAAAAATATACAAATGCTTATTCGTAATATTAATTCAAGAACATTATAATGTTTGTAGTATAAAGATTTATTTTAATAATTATAGATATAGCAGATGAACCTCTTTCTATATTATTTATACAGGAATGTTTTTTTTAATTTAAAAATACAATACAATCTAATTATTGTTAAAATGCACTTAAAAAGTTCAGTTATTTTAATCAGTTTCAGTTATAGTTATCACTAACGACAGTTTATCTGAATGTGCAAATACTTTCAGATGATACCATCAGCTTCAACATTTTGCTTAAAGTATGCCACACTATCAGTTTTAATAAGTGTTTAAATATTTAAACATTTTAATGTTTAAGTGTTGGTTTGGTAATGAAAATAATTTTATTTGAATTACTATTAATAAACATTCAAGTTATATATTTTATAATTTTTTTTACCATGTCCTTTTAATGCCAGCATCAATAAAACCAGAATTTCTTACAATTATTGTTTCGTCTATTTGTCCTATTTAAGGTTTTTAATCAGTTATCATCATCATCATCATCAATATAAGACCAAAATGGTTACAATAAGCAGATTCTACAGTATATATTTGTTTTATCTAAAGGTCTTATAAATTAATATTAATTAAAACTGCTAACTATATTTAAAATAAATTTTTGGTTTAGCCTTTTTTCTTAAAAAGTTATCTTATATTACATATTAAGTATTATACATTTTTAAACCATATACCTGAACTTTGATCATCCACTTTTATCAAGTCATAAACAAATTCAGTTGGATGAATTTTTATCATCGCAATTTCTTCTGGATTACTACTTTCGGTGCTAGTTCTACTGATACGATCATAATCTAATTCCGAACAAAGAGACAATGATCTACGAGCTTTCTTTTTCACTCCTTGACGAAACTGTGCTACTCCAAGAACAACATTCCTTAATTTATTCCACATTAAGGTAGCACTGGAATCAGCTGATGGCCATGTACTCTCTAAAACTGCCTAAAAAATTAAATTATCAAATAAATTAACTTTTATTCTTAGGTCATTTTTTTTTATAGTTTGTAGGCTGTACTTAAAAATGTTTTGCAAATGTAATAATACCATTATTTTGAAACCAATTGAAAAATTAAAACACTTGAATGCAATGTGCCTCATATTTTTTATTTAAGTATTCAACAAATATGCAAATTTAAGAACTAAAATTTAATAAAAATGCAAAAGAAAAAATTTACATTCAAATGTTTAGACTTCAAACTATTTCAAATGAGTTTCAAGTTTTAATGGATTTTTAAAATATTTCTTTCAATATTAATTTCNGAAATAAATATATTTAAACATTAGGAAATAATAAAATATATGTTAAGAAAAATTCAAAACTTATTTATTATGATTTTTACAGAAATTTTTACTTTAACATTAAAAATCTAAAAATTTTCTATACCAAAACATAATTAATTTATTCAAATCATGTCTAAAAAGTTTACTCTCATTGAGTTCACTTTGATTTTTAAGACAACTTCTATGATATGGAATTTCATAACATAATTTCTGTTTTAAATTTATCATAATTTTGAAAAAATTAATACTATGAAGCTATTGGCAACTAACTAAACTATGTTAATATATAATTAATTTTTAAAATATATTTATAAATCAAGATCAAGATGAACATTTTTTAGTTATACACTTAAATAGATTATTTATTTACATGGAATGAAAAATTTACAAATATAAAACTTTTTCATAAAATCAGTATACTCATTATTATAATATTTTTTAAAACTTTGTATATGTTTTTCTTAAATATTATTTAATTATATATATCAGATTTGTTTATTACCTTATTGTAATATCCGTAAGTAATAGCATTAGGTTGTACTCCATTGCGTTTCATTTCAAACAGAACTCTAACTGCTAGCACAGGCTGACTATACAGGCCACATAAAAGCATTAGCACTCGATAACATACCTAGTATTTATAAATACCACCTTTTAGAAATGACATAATTAATTAATTCAATCAAAAAAAACATCTTATTTTAATTTATGATAATGCTTTTAAGTTACCATATTTACAAACACATACTCCATTGGAAATCTGTAAAAAAGCCAATTTGAAAGCACATGCAGGTTTCTCCTCCTAATTTTGAAACTTACAATTTATTATGGGTAAAACAAAAGCCTTACCCAAAATAAATTGCACAGAAAATGAACAAGAGAAGACTAAAGACATGTGCTGTCATTAATTCTTTCCTGTTCACTTTCTGTGCATCAATCTGTGCTTTAATTGGTGCTATTGAGTATAATTTTCAGATGTGAAAAAAATTGCATCAGAAATAAAAAGATATTCTGTTTACATAACTATTCCATTTTTTGAAGATATACAAGAAGTGGCAGAAAAGTAATGAGATTGACATCACTGAGAGCGATTTAGCAACACTGCAGACTTCCCTTTCGCATAGCTTGTACATCAGTCTCTCCTAGATGCTCAGTAACAGTTTCAACCTTGTACGGTAACTACATGATCCTAAAGAGCGTGATAAGCAAAGTATTGTTTTTGTATTGCGTTATGGAAAATGGAATAGCAAAATTTAGAGCAATGGTGTGCCATCAAATTTTGTGTTAAGCTTGGTGAACCTGTGAGTTTGGCCTACGAAAAGTTACAACGAGCCTATGGGGAACATTCCCTTATCATGAGCACAAGTTTTTCGATGGCACAAAACATTTTTTGGAGGGTCTAGAAGCAGTAGAAGACAAACCTCACTCAGGGAAGGCATTCAACATTGAGAACTGCAGAAAGTGTGGAACAAATGAGAGCTCCTTGAAAGGCTCAGAAAAAGGATGCTTCAAGTCAAACAGGACTTTGCAGACACTTGGATACTCCATCATGATAACAACTCCTGTCACATGGCCATCTCCATCAACTGGTTTTTGACAGAAAAAGAAATTTCTGTGGTTCCTGTGCCTGTAACATACCATATTTTGTTGAGTATAAGTCACTGTCAAGTATAAGACACACCCCTATTTTGAGACAAAAAATTTAGAAAAAAACGTTTTTAATGGGATTGCCTAAAGATGCATTTTATTTTAATCATAGTGCCCAAGAAATTCTTCAACTGAATCACTGCTATCTACTGGTAAATTATACCCATTAGGAAACATATCTATGACATCATTAATGACTGATTCACCATTCCTTTTTTCTTGAATTCCCGAAGTATTGACTGAATCATCATCATCAGAATCTTCATAGATTGCCTCATCTTCTGTACCACCCAGAGCATTAGATATTCTGGTTTTCTTGAACGACATAATAATGATCTCTGTTTTAATACCTTCCCAAGCATGTAACACCCAATCGCACACTTGTGCAATGCTGGCTCATTTTATTCTCCTTGTTGGTGTTAAACTTTTATTTGCAACAGTCATCATCCACTTGTTCCATTCATCACAAATTATTTCAGTTTAATAAAGGTATCAATTCATCCATCTGTCATATTCTTGAATAAAAAAATGAATAAAATGCTTTATTAAACTGAAATAATCGTAATTTCTTAATGTAAACTCAGAGGTCACGTGATGACAATCGACAGAACATGGCGGCAATGACTCGTGTGTCGCTACTCTAATAATCTAGCCATTCAGTTGAGAGACCATCTGCTTAACGGACCACTGCATAGGTTGGTCCCTAGAGTGGACCACTACTGTAGATATTTTCACTGTAAAAATGGTTACCTATCAAGTATAAGATGCACCATGATTTTGAGCCCCAAAAAGTAGTAAAAAAAGTGCAACTTATACTCGTCAAAATATAGTAATTTGCTTGCAAGCATGATATCTGCAAGGAAGATGGCAATTGGAAGTGCCACTGTTGGGTTCTACATTTGGAGGCAAATATCTCGCAAAAATCTTCTCCTGAAAGAAATTAATGACCAGCATGACTCCATTACTAATTGAAAAGTATGATGTACAGGAGCAATCCATTACAGTACTTACTAATTTGAGGTTAAAAGCATATATTTTGAATTAAATAAATTAAAAATGTGATTAAAAATTGCAGTGATGATGTCACAATAAATAATTGTTTGTTTCTAATAAAATCTTTAATGCATTTGAAAAATGCATGGAATATTAACATGGATAGATTGAAATTTATTTCTATATACAGTTTAAAGATTATTTAAACAATAAAATATAAAGTTTGATGATTATTCTTATTTGTTTTGAATTTTTGGAATTTCTGAATGTTTTAAAATTATTATATATTATCAAAATATAAACATAATATAATACATATAAAAACTATTTGTGAGAGTTAGCCTGGGGTACAGGGTAGGTTTTTACGCCTGTATCACTTACTAGGCAGCTAGTCGGTAAGACTAGTTCTCTACGATGCAGATCACTAGATCTGATCTCAAATATTTCATAGGAGAGCGATAACCGCTAGTTCATCCGAACCGCGAAGTTCAGATGCTCGTCAGGACTGACACCAGTTTGTCAATTAAATTCCGCAGACAAACACGCTTGTGAGATCTGATTCGAACACAAAATCAAAGGACATTTAATTATAAACGAAATAATCAATTTAATAAAACAAGAAAATAAATCATACAAAGATCTCAATGAACGAGAGATAGAATTACCACAAATAACATACACATCGAGAGATAGCTATACTTATCTTCTACACTATTCGCGATCGAGAGAGAGCTCACAAAATCTTTATAAAACATACAACCTGTTTCAGTGGTCGTTCGTCTTCTTCTCTGTAGGCAAGGGACACTTTGGAGATAAAGTTCATTTGCTTCTTCATATGGGAGATCGATATGTGCACAAAAACAAAGTATATTTTCTAAGTTCAGACTCTGGACTTATTCTAAGTGACTCGTCTAAGGGCGTTGGTCATCAGGAGGAAAACTGTGTGGAGTTTGGACGCTTCGGATCTGTCGCTGAACTCCTCGAATTCGGACAAATTTCCCTTATATCTCCTGAATTTCGACCAATCATCGGCCAGTAACTCTATCATGAGAACGGATGAAAGGGGAATGAATGAGGGGTAACCATTTCCCATCTGAGCGGGATTTTAACCAGATAAGGGAAAGTCAGAGGATGTTCTCTTCTGTGAAAGGAAGTAACATCTGTTATCTGGGTTTTTCCCAACCTAAAACAGTATTTTCCTCACCAAAAGTGAAGTAATATTTGGTGACAATATTTTAACATTATTAATAAAAATTATTAAATTAGAACCCAGGGCCTTTCGGGTCTCACATATTTAAAAGAATCTATATTCTATGATTTTGACTTTGATGTTCAATTGAAGATGCACTAGTACATTAAAAAATGTTTCTAATGGAGTAGAGTTTTAAATTCTTATAAATGATCATAAAAAACAAACATATATCATATATCAGTTTATTTTACACTACAAATATTAATGTGTAATATTTTTACTTAGCTAAGAAAAATACTATACAATAAAACGTGATTCTATCAATATTATGTACACATTCTCTCTTATTTGGAAAAAAGTTAATACTTACTTCATCAGGTGGATGTAATTTTAAGGACTGCAGTTTTACTAAAATATCATAAGCAGTTCTCAATGCTTTTGATTTTGAAGAGGATGTTTTAGTGAAGGCAGGCAAATGAATAAACCATAAACTGTAACAATATCCCACAAGGCACCTATTACAAAGAAATGAAAACAATAATCAACTAATAAATTTGAAATTTTTTCTCATTTAATTAAAGATATATTTATGTTCTATCAACACCTACTTCTTTCAATATATTTATCCATTTATTAATGTATACTTTAATAATAATAAAGTATTTATAATATTAAATAAAACAAATACAAAACAACATTATAAATAATAATATACCAATGTGCATAAAAATAAGGAAGTTCTATCGTTTTTTTTTTTTTTTTTGGTGTTTCTTTTTCTGTAATGTAATTTTTACTTTATTAAGTTGTAATTCTGCCAGCTCTTTTTACAAAGAAATATTATATTTTTAATTGTGTTGGGATTGTCACCTGTGGACATTTTAGACTGTTTTACATATTTGTGCAGAGGCATAGCCTCTAAAGAAAGGTTCTCTCTGCAATGGAAAGTAGTTGTTCCTGGTGATTGCTTGCCATGTCCAATAAAGAAAGGATTAGTATCCATCTGTAATGTAATTTTTACTTTATTAAATAAGGAAGTTATGTTTCAGTGGTCTTATGAAAATGAAGCTGATTTTTTTCAATCAAATTAGTATGCATTTATTTAATAATTCATTGACTAATAAAACCCTATGCAAATATTCTAATGTAAAACTACTTATGCCAATTAAAGACAATTTTTAGAAACATCACTCCAAGCATTCCTTTTAATTTATGATTTAGTCACACTATAATTGCATGTTTTTATTTCAAATGTCTTCACAAAGCCATTTGAGTCCTGCAAAGATGAAAAATTGTTGGCAGGATTAAGCTGGTAAAAACTAAGCAGAGATTGTCAAATTTATGAATGTATTCAAAGATGTAATTTTAATATGTAAGGATATGTAACTGTTTCAAGAGAAAAAAACATATATTAGACAAATATTGAAAAATCAAACAGTGAACATCTGCTGAGAATGACAAGTATGTAGTTTTAACTGCAAAATGCAAAAAATCTCTTTGAAACTTTCCTTAGCAATAGGAAAATCAATATCAAAGTAAATTACAGAAGAAGATTTAATTTGTATTTATAATATTCACTACCACAAAAGTCTTAAAAATAATTTAGAAAAATAGATGAAATATTGTTAACCATTTTATTAAAAAATATTACTACCAATTATTCATTTTTCAAAATATAAACTATATATTATACTTTATCTAGCAGAACTATTTTAATAATATATGAAAATGTAAACAATAAAATATTTTTCATATAATGGAATTTTGAATTCTAAATAATACAGAATAAAATCACTGCAATAAAAATAAATATTAAAATATTCTATTATATTTGAATGTAATGTTAATTTAAACTTACTTTGCCCACATTGGTGGTATTTCTGCTTGTTTCTTTGCCACCTACAATTAAGAAATAAAATTATGATTCATTCAATTCATATATGTGCATCTTAATTATATTGTAAACATGTTATTAGATATTATAAAAATTATAATCTGCAATTTAAAGTCAGCCTACAACTCATCTCATTGCAAAACCTGTGCATGAAAATTGATAATTTTAAGTTTATATACAATTTAATTATAATAATGCATATCAACCTACAGTTCAGCTCAGTTTAATTCAAAATATACCACCAATCTGACAATCATCTGATAGAAAAAATCTGATATAAATATAATAAAGTATTTAAGTAAATCAATCTTCCTTTGATGAAGTAAAAATTATCAATGCTATACTATTTAAAATTAACATAATTTATAAAAATATTGTCATTCACTAGAAATTGATTTCAAAATTATATTATGATGACCTATAACATTCAGAGTTTATAAAATTATAATTATTTTTAACTTAATAACTAATATAACAATTTATATTAAAGTATATACCTTCTGAGCTAATTTAATTTCTTGCTTTGTTCTTCTAGCTAGTGGACTATTAGGCGTTGAATTCTCTTGAGCAATCACACTGAGCAATGTTTTTTCAGGATGTCGATGAAATAACTGTGGATTTAAAACACCAAATTCGTGATATGTGTAAGTTATTCCAGACAATAATCCATATGGTTCAGGTGGTGCAATAAAAACTGTTCTATCACTTTGCTGAGATTCAAATTCCAGAAGACGTACTGCTCCTGTTTCATCGACCTTTTCAGTACATTCATCAAAAAATGCCAAACAAGCATCTTTATCAGATACAAATGAACGCTCTTCAATGAAACGAATAAACATTTGTGTTTTCATCATCATGACAAAAAATCGATGATATGCTTTATCTCTACTTCTAAGAAATCCTGAAATAAAATAATGTAATACAAATAAGTATATAAGCATTATTTTAATTTTATCTTCATTTCTATATAATATATGCCTAATAACAGAAAATAATTTACAAAATATAAAATTAAGATGGCAGTATAAGAATTTTACTATTGATCATCTTTTTTTTATTAGGCTAAATTGTAAATATGAATATGTCATTTCTATGTATATATTTATCCTACAAATTTATAAAAAATTTTAATTTCTTTTCTTAATTAATCAAGTTCATCTTATCTTTCTATATATTATTTAAATGAGAGAGAGAGAACATTATTCAACTAATTCCAATTTTTTTAGCCCTCAGATTTTCAACTAAAAGTGGTACATATACTGTATCAAAAGCTTTGTTTATATCTATGAAAGCCATGAATAATTTCCTATGCTTTTTTTTCCAAATGAAGTTGAATTAATAATAATAACAGAAAAAAGCCAATCCCTAGCTCCTATTTCTTACACCTGCATATTGAAATTTAGATTCTAAGCCCATTTCTTTAGTCCACTGTTAAAGTATTTTAGCTAAAATTGCCATAAAACATTTTCTTATAGTTGAGAGGAGGGCTATTGGTCTGTAATTTTTGGGAGAGGATTTATCTCCATTTTTAAATATCATATAAAGCCAAACAAATTCCATAAAGCTGGATAAGAAAGTGCATCTTATTAATTGAGTCATCTAATTCCTACGTTGTAAATTTTGAGTTCAGATATTTGTTGTTGTCTGACCTGAAAGTTAAAGATGATTGAAATGATGAAATTCTAGAAAAACAATCATAAACATTTAACAGTATATCAAAATTTATTTCTGGAAAATTACTGCTAGAATCAATATTGAAATGAAATTTTGTGAATTGTTGACCGAAAGAAATTATTTCTGTCATTAATCAAAGTAGTTTCCAAATTTGTGAAATATATTTTTTCTTAGCTTTAAGTAAATTATTGTAAGGTTTTTAAAACATTTTTATAATTAATAAGATCTTGATTATTTGAGTTTTTCCTAAATAATTTTAGATTTTGCTGTTTTGTTAACTTCCTGTTATAACAATTGAAATTAAACCAAGGTTTCTTGAATTTATATTGAATAGTTTGTTTTTTCCAGTATTTAATATATACATACTTCAAGTTATTTGTTATTTGAATTATATATTTCTCTTTTGGTAACTGTTATTAAGTTTATTTGTCTTTTTTTCCAATATGATCAAGAATTTAGCAACAGAAAGAAAATGATATGAAGCATCATAAGTTATATTAAAATCTATGTATAAATCCAATAGGAATTCAGAACAGATAGTAAAATCAATTATAGATTTTTCCTTTATGCATGATAGAGGTAAATTCTGCTGGATAATCTGATTTGATATGACTACTTAATATTTGACATATATGTTACATCCTTCACAATAATGTATATTTAATAATTGTATTTCCTAACTTCCCATAATAAATTGTTCATCATTTAAAATTCTTACATAATCATTTCCAACATTAAATAATGTTTCTACATGTTTTGTATTTAATATTGTTATTCTGTTGATGAATATGATCATACTCTACTGTGCCTAAACTATTCTCAGAATACAATGTCAATATCATCCAGAGAAATGTTATACCTGTCTCATTTATGTCATCACAAAAAATTCATTAAGGCAATTAGCTTTCTCTCTATTTATTTAATTTTTATCTAAATAATATTGACCAACTTTATCAAAACTCTATTCCCATTATATTTTATTTGCAGATGACCTTTTCATCATGGCACTAACAAAACTCTCTCAGCAGAGGAAAATCAATCAACTTAATTTTTATCTCAAATCATTGTACTTAACAAAAAATGTGATAATACTAAAATAATTGTTTTCCAAAACAATAGCAAAATTTCAAAAAAAAAAAAAAAAACCAAGTTATATCTTGATAATTTATCTCTTCAAATAGTAAAGAAAACTGACCTATACCTTGGGAGTGATTTTTGATTGAAATGCAGCTTTAGATCACATGTTTCCTAAATTGACTAGCAAGATGAAGATAACAAATGATAACTTGTCATATTTGTGCACAGCTCTAAAAATTTCAAATGTGGACTTGCATACAAAATTATATAATTCATTAATAAACTGAATGATTTATTATGTGGGTGATCAGTTAACGAACAGTTCAGACTGCGAACAAATCTGACAACAAATACTTTCGCGAATGATTTTTATATTCAGACAACAAACACAAGAATCAACGCTGCATTTAAGATTTTTAAAACTATATTTTAATGGCATCTACACATGGTTTATAGAATAAGACTTTCACAGTTGTATACATAAATTTTTTTTTTTGTGCTAGTTAATTTCTGTTTTCTGAATTTTTGTAAGTGCTTTTCTGAACTTTTTATTTAAAAAACTGATATTATTATGGGGACTAAAAAGGATCAAGAACTGTGTTCACTACAGAAACTAAGTAAGAGATAATAGCCAGGTAGAGAGTGGGCAGAAGATGTCTGATATTGTAGGCAGATGATTTCAACAGATCTACAGTAGATATATCTTAGCTAAGAAAGATATAATCAAAAAGACTTGAGCTGATAAAGGAGTAACGAAAATCGCATCTGAGAAACAAAGATATGCAATCTATGAAAAAATGGAGAGTGCGCTTTTAGTTTATTACATATAAATAAGCATAGTAAAAGAAGTATATAATTTTTTATTTATTTCTGTGGTTCTCCAGAACAAATTAATCAAATTTTCATAAAAATCTATAATAAATCAATAATTGATTAACGAACAATTTGGATAGTGAACATAGTCTTGGAATGGATTATGTTCATTAACGCACTGTATATGTGGATATGGTATCACCACAAGACTAACCATATTTGGATATTTCCATTCTTCATACAATGAATAATAAAATATTATTACTAGTTGAAATTTTAGAGTGATGAAAACATAATTTTTTTACATCAAGAAATGATAAAGCAAAACAGGAGATTATACATCAATCAATTATGACAGACTAAATTCAATAAAACACTGCAATCATTTGGTGTAGCTGTTTAAAATGTTATACACAATTTGAAACACAATTATATATTGTTGCTTGACTCAGCAACGTCATATTCTGTAACTACTGATCAAGATGGTATATGTCAATCTACCATCCTTGGTTCTAAAAATTATGGATATAACTTTATCTCAACTATATATAAAGAAAACTACAAGAATCAATGCAACAAGATTAATTGCTCAATTGTGATTGAACAAAAGTTATTACTTATTGAAAACATATGTATTAACTTCTTAACTAAGATTATAAAGAACTTGAAAAAATACAAGTGTGATTTAAACTATCACAAATAATTCAGCAAAGCCCAATGATTTTGGATAAAACCTAAATAAGTTGTCAAGGATTGGAACTATATAATTTATATAATTATGTTATTAAAATTATTAAAGGAAAATTGTAATTGGAAAATTACTAACTTATATTCTAACAAATCCTTAAATTTATTGATTAAAAAAAAAAAATGTTAAAATTAACAAACTAACATTTTTACAATAAATTATTTACTACAATAATTGTAGTTGCTTTTGCCCTTGGAAAACAGCTTACATCCCTTTTTGCTAATATTGATGATGATTATTTATTATTATTTTCATTTTCAGCATCACTGCCTATTTACTAAGAGTTACCTGTTTGTACAAATAAAATAGATACATAACTTAATCAAAATTACGATAAAAACATCAGATTTAATTTTGCATAGAAAATGCCATTTGATCAATATTACAGACATGAATAGAAGTAATTATCACGACTTTTGTTTTATTCTGTAATGCCCGATTTAATGGACATTATAACTGAAAGGACAGAGAAGTATTTTAATCACATTTTTATTATTAATAACTTATATTATTGTGCTAAAGTCAAACATTTTCAACCTTTGTGAAATATGCATTATAAACAAATTTCATAGTTTAAAAAAGTTTAACATCTAACAGATTTTAAAATAATTTTCTTTACCTTGAAGATCAAATAACGAACTAGGATCAGTAGTTCCAACAGTAGGTGCTTTTGTTATTGGTAAGAGATATGATCGAAATCCTTTTAGTATAGATGCCATAAAATGCAAAAATGCTTCTTGTATTTCCAATTCAAGTTGATGCTAAATATATGAATGTATGTATAAACATTGTCAAAATTAATAATTATTCCAACAAATGAATAATTAAATGCTATTACTATATAATTTATCAATATTAAACATAATAAAAATCATCATTAATCCCAGTTACTGTTAATATCAAATAGTTAATTTTTTTGCTAATATAATTATATATTAATCTAAAATTAATGTATGTCAAGAAAATCTGATATGGATAGTGTAAGAAGAAACACACTTCTACAGTTTGATACGAATTATGAATTCAAATCCTACATTAAGCTATCATTTTTTAGTTTCCTAGAGTAAGGATAAATTCATAAAATCATTAAATAACTTAATATCCAGTAATAATTTTGCTAAAATAGCCAATGTTAACTATCTATATTAATAAAATTCTTCATAGTGTCATATCATGTTAAATAATGCTAAATTTCATTACCATTCTCATATTTTCATGCATATAACTTGTGGTAACGTACAGTATATCCTGCAGAAAATTGCCAGAATAAAAAGAATTCTTGTATAAACCACTTGATTATATACCCTGCACCTATGAAGCAACGGATGATAGTTTGTGAAACAATTTAAAATTGGTGCATAACCAGCCTCATCAAATAATCTATACTCCCTTTCAAATTGTCTTTTAAACAGATACCATGAGTTATAAACACACCAAAAGAAAAACACACACACACAGTATATAGCAATTAGCTAATTTAGAGATTATATGATATTCTAAATGATAAGATAATGATTTTCAAATTGAAAAATATAAATATTTAAATATTTTTAACTTATAATTGATAAAATTTTCAAATACAATAAACTCTTTTTTACATCCATAAACACGAAACCTGATAAATTTGTAAAGCCAAACAGCTACTAGATTACATCAGGCTACTTTTCTGTTATTATATTTAATTAATTACTAAATAATTTGTCACTAGGGAGAGACATTAGGTGCCACCTCATATTAAATTTAATAATTATAATTAAATTAAATTAATATTTATTAAATAATTTAGAATATTTTGGAAGAAAAGAATCAGCCCTGAGCGGGACTAGAACCTGCAACTCCCACTTACTGTGCAGATGCATTGATAGTTATGCTACCTGAGCCTCCAGTCTGATCTCCTCTTCCAGACATATTTAAATATGATATAACCATCCTTGGTATTATTATTGCTGGCAATGCATCTGCACAATAAGCAGGAGTTGCAGGTTTGAGTCCCACTCTGGGCAAATTCTTTTCTTCCAGAATATTCTAAATTATTTAATTATTAAATTTAATATGAGATGGCACCTTATGCCTTCTAGTGACAAATTGTTTAGTAATTAATTAAATATAATTACACCAAGCTACTTTTCTGTTATCTGGTGGTTGTTTGACTCTTTTTTTACATTCAATGAATTCATAGAAAACTATTATTAAGTGAACAATCATAATTTTCTATAGACTCAGTGTCATAAACTGTTCCTAGAAGTTCAGAATTTAATATCACAAACAAAAGAATGTTGCATTTAAAAGAGACATTTCATTCAGCTGTAATATAAAAAGAGGAATTGTAAAGCAACTTAGTCATAATGCAAAAGTTTACTGTAAGATATATGTATAAAATAATAAATATAAATAAGAAAACATGCAATAATAAATATTATAATTCAACAACCTTTAAAATTCTCTAAAGTTATCCATTAGCTGCTACTATTGTGATTAAACTTCAATTTGTGAAATAAATCATCATCATACTGCAATCAGGAAAATACAAAGAACATTCTAGTAGTTCCCATCTTAATGTCAAATATTCTTAAAAATGTCATACTACTGAATATTAAAGCTGAATTCTATTTTCCAACATTTCTACTCATCTTGTAACAATCAAATAAGACCAAGCATGATTTCTCAGTGTTTCTATTACCTCTGAATAATATTATGACATTACTGACACAAAGAATCACCTTTTTTATATACAAATACTATTATACTCATCTAACATTAATCATAATTATCGGAAAAATTATAAAAATATTACCTCTTTTTTTTTAATTTTAAAATCATGATCAAGTGGTGTTATTTCAGATGATCCTTTAATTCCTGCTGGTTCAGATTTTAATGTATGTGTTTTCTCCCACAAAACTTGAAGAGAGTTTCTAAGAACTCTTGTAGGTCTCTAAAAATAAAATTTTTTAAACTAAAAACTCTAATATTTAACAAGATTCATCAAAAATATACATTTAAAAAAAATTAATGAAAATTTTAACTTGCGTTTAAAAAACATAAGTGATCTTTTTCAAAAATTATATATGCTATGTTTTTATTCTTAATCTCTTATTTTAAAATATAAAAATAATAAAAAAATTCTTTTGTGTACAGAACAGATTCAATATTAAGGTCATGAAAATTTGTTTATATTCAAATATGGTTATGGAAAAATCAGCTGAGAAAAACTGTTCTATTGTACATTTATCCTTTACCTATTTTATCTTTAATACTTTTGAGATTATTTATGTTGTTATATTTTCTTGTGTTTAAATTATGACTGCAATAATTTAATTTAGTTTCATGATTTTAATTACTTATTTAATTTATCTCATTCTTTCTTTTTTTTCTATCAATTTTGTTATACTTTATACATTAGTTATTACATTCCATTTCAAAAATATATTTTAGAATAAAGTAACTATAATTCTTTAATTATTTGTAATAACTTTTTTGTATTTATTGACAATAATATTTTAAAAAGTTAACTTTATTCTGTACTTTTTTAAATATGATTATTGTCAATAAATATTTGTATTTGTATTGAATTTGAAACTGTATTTTCATGTCATTAGACAGCATTCAATTTGATTATATTTTTTATTTCACCTTATTTTTAAGTAGATATGGCAGAACAATATAAGATACAAATTGATAAATCAGTTTGTTTACATAGAATTCTGCTATTATGACATAAAAATAGACTTCTTGTAAATTTATTATTCTTAAATTTCAAAATTAAACTTATTTTTAAAATGTCAATTCATAATAAATGAATGATCATAAGATTTATCTTATTTGTGGTTTTAAGTTTAAATGTTAGCTTTAAAATTTTAATTTTATTTCCTTAACAGACATTCTCTCTCTGACTTTTTAATTAATTTTCTGTAAACAAATTATAGTGTTCTGTTTTTATTATACATGGAGTGATTGTAATTAAAGTACTGCTATTCAATGCTGTATACAGAGATATTTAGCATCCAATTGCAATCAAATTTGGTATTTTTCATGGAAGACATTTCCATAAAAAAAGCACCAAAACTCACCAATACATCACTTTTGGCACTGCAAGCAACAAAGCTTGCAGTGCCAAAAGTGATGTATTGGTGAGTTTATTTATACAAGGCATTCATGCAGGTGATACTGGATACTTGGTGATGCAGGAGATACTGCTCAATATGGTCCACATTCTGAAGGCATTTTACATCTTCAGAATGAGGTATTGTCATAACTAATCCTCAGTGATGCTTCTCACATGTAGTGTGATACTGCCATTCAAGGCTTCCAAATTGCAACATGTTCTTGATGAACCATACTTTTTAAGTGTCACCACAACAACAAAAGCAAAATCACATAGATTATGACCTGGAGAACAATGTGGCAAGTAGAAAATGCACAGCTAATCATTCTGTTATTATCAATAGTATAATGTTGCTGCTGAAATTGCTATATGCAGCATCTAACATGTGGTGATGATTCATTTTACGTAATATTGGTTGATTTGAAGCATTGTCACTGTTCCAGTTAAAGTACAAGTATTGAGCATCTCTAGGTATTTGGACCATCTCAGAGCATGTCACAAGCCCATTTGGACTAGCTTCTTCAAAAAAATAATAATAATAATTCAAGGATAAATGTAGCTGTGAATTCACAGAAAATTCTAACTTTAAGTGAGTGAAATCTGCTGGAAAATATGAGGATTTTTATGGCTGGAGAAGGGTGAATGGGGAAGCAATGCCCTCCATGCTTATTTGCTATGTCATCATCCCAATTTTAAGATATTCAGAAACTATCTTAATTTTGTTCTACAATAAGTTGAAATGTTTTCAAATTATCTTCTGAAACAAATTATAAAATTACATTGTTACTAGGAGATTGTGTCTCTCTGCTTACTTCACTCACTCACCACTTGTTAAAATGTTTCATGACAATTCATCAATTTTCCATGCAGTCATTATTATCATTATTTTTTCTTTTGTGACAGAAAAACATGCCATAATGATTTTAAGCTAAGTATTTTATATATATAAAAATAAAATATAATTTATAATAGATCTATAATAAATTTAAATTCAATTTCTCTTTCAATAAAATAAAATTTGTGTAATTGACAGACTTCACCATTTTGTCTACATGATGCACTATGGAATTTTCACTTGTACTTTTCCAATGCACCCAATTGTGATGTCATAAAAGCATGTGTCATTTTTAGATGCAAGTATGACTCATATTTTGATAGGTTTTTACACGGTTATGAAACTTGGTCATGTACAGAAACAACTTTTAGACATATCCTTAGTTATCCACTTGCAAACTGGTAACACTCACAGTATATACTAACCACATTATTGATATAAATAGACTGATTGGTTTGAGATTCAGGATGATAGCAATTCTGTATGGACAAGCACTAAGTAGCAAGTACATGTATTGTTGCATTAGTACACTTGTTTGAAAGTATAAAAGACCATTCCATAATTTTTAAAGAGTTATCTGAGAGTCTGTAATTTTCATGTAACTTTTGTAAAACTACAGAAAATTTATAGTAGTTGGCATCTCTGATTTATAATATATATTATTTTAAATAGTACTAACAAAGAATAAAAATTTAATGGATTTTATAAATGAAAGCATTTTTAATCTTAGATACCTTTGGTAAAATCTTTATATTTAGACNGTCATCAACACAAGAGCTAAGAAAGCATTTTCATCAACTTTTTCCATAATACAAATACCAAAACAAAATAGATTTTATTAACTGGAGAATATTTAGTAAAAATATATTTAAAAAAATGACTAAAATCTTAAGACATCTTCAAACTCTGTTATAACCATACAAACAGGATATTTTTTAAATAACTGTTTCTGTCTCATGTATGTGTGCATATATATGTATATAAATATACTGTAAATATAAGACAAAATGATGGTTTGCAACTGCAAACTTTCATACTCAATATTATACTATCTGCATACATGAGGACAAAAGAAAATGTTGATGCACAAACACACTATTTTATATTATAGTAAAGTAATGCATTTTAAATGGGAAATAAACATGATCTTTTTTGGGGGCTTACAAAAACCCCCATTTTTGAAATATTTAATAAAAAACAAAGGTTTAATATAGTCTGTACTATTTTCAAATTATTTCAGTTAATCTAGATAAATCAGCTTTCAATTAAGCCAGATTAACAAGATTATTAGTATGTCCAGTATGTTGTTGAAGTTCTTAAATATGTCTAACATGATTATTTTAAATGTCTGGAATCTCCAATATACTAATTTGTATAAAGAAACAACCTAAAAAATAAACTGATGAGGGCATGATGCCAAAATGCATATTTTAAGAGGCTGTAAATCTGAATAAGAGTTTTATTGTAAAAATAGTTAAGCACTGTATTTAATGTTAAATAAAAACTAAAATCTGAAAATTGGTCTCCACCTATGATAAGCAAAAAAAAAAAAAAAAAAAAAACTGGTCCTAAAAGAATAACTGGGTAAGATTTTACCTATATGCATCGTCATGGCAGCACTTCCGGTCATGACTGTTCATGCTCCCAAGATTCCTCCTGGAGAGGATCTGCTGATTGTTTAACATCACTAGTTATTGATACATACTAGTTATTGATTCATGTATTCATGAACTACCATGAATCAATATGTTTGCTTTTTGTTTGTTTGCGGCCTGCCGGCAGCTCCCCCAGAAGTCCGTCGGGAGCATGAACAGTTGTGACCGATAGAATTCTTAAAATTACTAACAGTGCCACCTACATTGAAATTCAAAAGATGCTTGATGTCGAGATTACAGAAGTGCAGCCATGATGGCGCACATAGGTAAAATCTTACTGATAATTATAACAAAATAATTAATATTTGTAAACAGAAGGGCTAGAAGTATGCAATTTAATGCTATTATATTTTGGTAACCCTTGTATAACATGGTTTTGATACAACACTGTTCACAAATTGTAGCAATCTTTGTGTAACACAGTAATTATATAACACAATTTTGATATGAGTTCATATGAAATAATTTCTTCATCTTATTCTAATAGATATTCTTTCAGTTATTGAACATAGTTCACCAGTGTAGATTGTATTTTCCCCCATATGGTAAAAGCTTTTCTCTGTAATGATGTAAGCTTTTTACTTTTCATGGCAATCTTGTTAGAAAATTTAAAAAATTATTCTGTTCTAACAAATATGTAATTTATCTGAAATCACAAACCATATAACAAACTTCGACAACAATTGCAACAAAGCACTCAATAGACTCTCATAACTGATTATTGTACAATAAAAAAATAAAAATTATTTATTTATTCTGGCATCAAGCTTTACATACACACAAACATTGGTTTTTGTATTTTCCTTTATAGCAAATTTACACAAATTAATTTATATCAAATTAGGTTGGTTTAGTATTTTTAACATTTAGCCCTAAACATCAATGGTTTTCACATGTATATCACATAATAATTCTATGTACTACCACTGTACTGGAATAAACTTAATCATATAATAACAAAATTATTTGTTTTTGTATCGCACCAAAGTTTTAATTTTTTTTCTTTGCCTTATGGAAATAAATGTATGATTTTGTTTCATTGAAAGCAGTAAAATGGGTATTTTAACTTTTTATTATACGCTTGCATTAAAATAGAATACATAATATTATATATGTTATAATAATTAGTGACTTTCCACTCATATGTTGAGCAATTAATTGCTGGTACTTACATTACTGTTTGTCAAGATATGTTAATTTAATAGAATACAGACTCACTTATAATGTAAACTGACATTCTGTACTCCAGATTTACATTTTATCAGGTCCTAAGTTTTTTAATGAAAAATTGCTAAAGAATGTCCTTGTTAAGGTTATAAAAAAAATCAATTAATTTAATCTACTAGTATTTCATAAATTAATAAGTAAATTATTAATAAATAAAAATACCATTACAATTATATGTAAATTAATAATAATTCATTCTTCAATTTATACATATTGCATAAATCATACATATTAATAACAACATATAATATTTGCTTGTCATTAATAATTAGAATTTCTCAGTGAAGACTTTCATATTATATAATTTCAGTGAATAATTTANTTGCTTGTCATTAATAATTAGAATTTCTCAGTGAAGACTTTCATATTATATAATTTCAGTGAATAATTTAATATGAAAGATAAATGAATATTTTAATTTATATAAAAAATATGAATTATAGGTTATACTCCTTTATTTACAGTTATTATAAAAATAAATAAATAATACATATAAATTTTGTAAAATTACTAGAAAAGCAGAGTTGATAAAAATTATAAAAACAATTTAACACTACAAAACTCACAGATATATTGAATTTGTATCCAGATCAACACAGGCAACATCATGTGGTGGTTCATAAAGATCAAAATATCTAGAATCAACACCTAAAAACATTTAATATGTTAGAAAAAAATTAAGAAATTTATTTAATAAAAATTTAAAGCAAAATAAAAGTTACAATAATCATCTTACCTACAATAAATGGCACAGGGGCATTTAATACATCTGAGAGACCAAGAGGACAAAGTGGTATGTAAGGACATTGCCAATGAAAAGGAAATATTAGCTAAATAAAAAATTAATTTAAAAGTATAAAGATTTAATACAATCAAATTTTAATATTCTGAAGTTAGCTATAGTGAAATAAAATATTATCAATGCAATACTTGTATTTTTATTTTTATAATTGATAATGTTCTTATTCTTATCACCAATTAAAAAATAATAATTTATATTTTTCCTTCCATTAAAAACCAATAATAAAAATCCAAAATGAAATTTGTATTTAATTCTCATATCTAACAATTAATTTTATTGTATTTAAAATTAAAATATTTACAAGAGAAGATTTTATTTTTGTAAAAATTTACTGAGCTAATTTAATTACCGATACAACTGCTTCAGCAACACTAGTTAAAACATCTGGACGAAGTGAATGAAATAAAATTTTTTGTTCTGTCAAAGCAAATAGAAGAACATTTAAGCAATTATCTGATCCAAGATTCTTCAGCAGTTGAATAAATGAGGCACCACTAAAAAAAGATTACTATTAATATATGTAATTTCCATAATTGTAAAATTTAATAATTTAAATCTGAAAATTGTAATTTTCAAACTTTAAAGTAATTTACGTTTCTATTTAAACAATTTTATTGCATTATTTTTATCATCATGTGTTATAAAAAAAACATAAAAGTAAAATCCTGACTACACTGACCTAAATAAATTAGATCTTGGAAAATTTTAATTTAAATAGCTAACAGTACTTTAGATGTTTGGCAGCACTGTTAAGCTTGTTTGATTAGTTTCAAAGATGAATATTTCATTATAAGAACAGCCTGCTGTCATTAGATGTTTAAATAATGAAAATGTCAGTACCATAAAAATTTATAGAAAGTTGTCTATTGAATTCAAGATAAGCTGTACAAACCAATGAAATGCTTACATCATTTGATCCCTGTATGCAGATAAAAATATGAAAGTAAAAATGAATTACCAGATGCTCATCACTCAGAACAGCCAGTCGAGGTCTCTACTGACATACATTGGAAAAATTAAATTTTGTAACTACAGCAAATAATAATACACCATACAGAGTATAAACATCAGCAAAGATACAATGCATTCTACATTCCATGACAAGCTTAATTTTCATAATTGCTCTGGATGACTAAATGCTGACATAAGAGATTAAAGAAAGAAAAGTTTGGTTGATGGTCTGATTTTCTCTTTTTTTTTTTTTTGATACAATAATGATTTTGGTTATGCTGCACTACAAGTTTCAGAAAGTTGATAAGCTATTATGACAAAGAAGGAAAGAAATATCACAAATGTGACTTGTAATTAACTTAAAATTATTAATATAAACTTCAGTCTAAGAGACAGTCTATGAAATAGAAATGCTCAAAATTACTAATAAAGAAGTTGAAGATGCAGTCATCAGCTTAAAAAATAATGCTTTCTTTGTTTAAAAAAAAAATGAAGAGTCTATTTCCACACATTACAAGAAATCAAGTATTTCAGTGATGATTAATATTAATAAAAATATTAATAAGTGAAATAGTAGTATATCAAGTTTATTTTATATAAACAATGCAATTTTTCAAATATGAATGATGGGATTTTGAATGGTCATCTTAGATTTGAAAGTGCATGAAATTACATTGCAATTGCACTGTTTATTTAAAATTAATATGGTATATTACTGTTTTACTTATTAATGTTTTTATTAATATTAATGTCATTTTAACATAATACTATAAATTTAAATTTTCTGTTGCTAATGGAAAATATATATATAATGAAAAAAGAGCATAAGGATCTGTGACTCTATATTAGCATAACAACTTAGATATTTAAATCAAAATTTTAGCATCTTACATCCTCCTTTAACCAATAAATATTGTTTAAATATTAATATGTAAATTTAAAAAAAAACCAATAAAATAAAATCAGAAATTTATTTTCACTTATAATCATAAATTTTAAACTTACCTCAATGGAAGTGGACTGTCTTCTGGTTGTGCCAGAGAAATTGTGTCATCAGCCAACTAAAAACCATTTTAATAAATATTTTAAATTTTGAAATAATTTGCATATTTGAACTTGATAATTATAGTAACAATTTTCTAATTGCTTTCTTAAACAATTACTTAAACTCTAAACAATAATAAAAAGTTTGTCTAGATGCAATATAATCAAAGTTCTCATACCTGAATGAGTATCCTTGGCCTCTGTGGGGACGGAAATGGAACATCCAACATAAAATGTGATATATATCTAAATTTAAAAAATTTATTTTAAGATCTCCATAAAATAACAATAATTAAAAAGAAATATAAATTTCTGAAAATTACTCTTATAGAGTTAAATAAATTCATAAAAGATTTATATGTAATTAATATGTAAAACCTCATACAAATTTTAAAATTGTAAATAACTTATTCTTTAAACTATTTCTCTGCTTGATAGTTTTCTTACAAGATTAATTATAAATTAGCAATACATCTGTAGAAATATTTATTGATTTATGATGAATAATCATTACCTATCATAACTTAAATGCAGAAAAAACATTTTTTAATCTTCATCATTAATCATAAATTAAAAAAAAACATGTAAAAGTTTCATTCAATGTCGTTATGTGCAATATATACAACTACAAAGAACAGACATTTCTTGAAAATAAAAAAACTGGTTTTTAAAATAACAATTGTTATTTAAAAATCAGTGTATCAAAAATCCATTATTATTCATCTAGAGATATTATTATTTTTCTCTATATTATTTGAATTAATCTATTAATATCATTACAAAATAAAAATAATTACACACAAAAAACTTTTTATTTATTGATACATTAGAGCATCGATTATCTGAAACAATTCAGTACTGGGGTTGTTCGGATAACTTATTTTTCAGATAACTGATAATCTATAAAAAAATATATACAGTATGGTTTTGTGTTTAATATATTTTGTACCACACATCTTACACATAAAATAGTACATTAAAGTAGGCCTACAGTTTAGGTTGGCAGGGAGGGGGAGAATGCTGCAGCCACAGAACTAGCAGAAATTTGAATTTTCTGACTGAAACAATTTCGATTGATCGGTATTCGGATAATCAATGCTCTACTGTACTTTCAAAAATAAAATTATTTTCATACTTTTTTCCAGTTAATTACTATTTTGTTAAATCTTAAATGCTAATTTAAAAAATAAAATTTAATATAATATATGGTACATTATCTGAGTTAATATGGACTAATGGTATCTCAGATAACCAAAAATTGGATAATATGGACTGATGCAGCAATTTTGGATTGAAAATTACAAATAAATTATAAAAGATTTGTGTGTTATCAATTTTAAATCTCTTTTTTTGTCTTAGTGATTTTAATTATAAAAACAATATTTTATACATCATTTATTATCAGCTAATACATGCAATATTTGTAAGAACTAAAATGTGTATTATTGTATTTTAATATGAATGGTTCATCTAACATTGAAGTTAAAATAATAAAAGGAAATAGTTTAAAACAATAACTGGTATTATAAAATCATTTGTTTCTATCTTTAAAATGTCCTTTAGAGTTAGAAAAATAGTATATTAACTTACAGATTTGTCTCAGAGAATCATAGTTCTACTGTAACTTTTAACAAAAATTGTAACAAATGACTAAAATATTTAACTAATATTAAAAAATGATGTTTGATTGTTAATTATAAATTTTAGGTCATCAACAAGAGCTAAGAAAGCATTTTCATCAACTTTTTCCATAATACAAATACCAAAACAAAATAGATTTTATTAACTGGAGAATATTTAGTAAAAATATATTTAAAAAAATGACTAAAATCTTAAGACATCTTCAAACTCTGTTATAACCATACAAACAGGATATTTTTTAAATAACTGTTTCTGTCTCATGTATGTGTGCATATATATGTATATAAATATACTGTAAATATAAGACAAAATGATGGTTTGCAACTGCAAACTTTCATACTCAATATTATACTATCTGCATACATGAGGACAAAAGAAAATGTTGATGCACAAACACACTATTTTATATTATAGTAAAGTAATGCATTTTAAATGGGAAATAAACATGATCTTTTTTGGGGGCTTACAAAAACCCCCATTTTTGAAATATTTAATAAAAAACAAAGGTTTAATATAGTCTGTACTATTTTCAAATTATTTCAGTTAATCTAGATAAATCAGCTTTCAATTAAGCCAGATTAACAAGATTCTTCTATATTTTATTTTAAATTATTTTCAAAAATATTTTTGTAGTTTATAAACTAAATATATAACAAATGTATGAATAACAAATATATAGCAAAGAAATGTATTTCAAATTAAAGTATGAATAATAAATCAAAATTATGTTACAAAAAGTATCATACTTTAATTCAAAATACATTAATTTGACATACTAGTTAAGTTTTGGAACTTAATAAACTAACATAACTGTTCTTAGCAACAAATTCTCAGACTATAAATACTATCCAAACAATAAATGATACAGATATTAATATGATACAAAATTCTATCAGTACATGTGTGTGCATGAGTTTATATAAATATGAATGTTGTTAAATGTTAGAATGTTTTTGTTATATAATGAAAATATACTGTTGTTGTTCAAATCTTAATTTATGTTATGTGTATATGTATGTATACAATACAATAAAACTTATTTTATTTAGTAACATTTTTACACACATTGTTTATATATAAAGTTTATAAAACTACAATATATTTGTAAGTAACTGTAAACTGTTATATATAATTGTAAAATTTATATAATCATGAAGTACTGGTTGAATAGCTGATAAAAATTTGATAGTAATGGAATCTTCAAATGGTAAAGAGGGAAAAAAATGTCAAAGATGTTTGTCAAATAGAATTAGCAATTGCTAATAGTTTCTAGAAACTTTCCTTTGGAACAACAATAGCAATAACAATGGTAATGACATAAGTATTCATAAAAATAGTAAAAAACGTTAACATATTTTATTAAGATAAACTTTTCTTCGTAATTATCAAAGATAAATGTCTGAAAACACTAAAACTCTACTAAAATAAAGCCTTGATTAATTAGTTTTTTACCATAAATTTTATTATTTTTTTACTGTGTATACATTGAAATTAAACTTTGTTAAGCTTTTCTTTTAAAAAAAAAACGAAAATTTTTATATTGTAAAAGTGAAAAGTTATTCTAATAAACAAATTTACAAAAGTGTTTCATAAAAAAAAAAAATAGGTAAGAAATCACCACAATAACCAAAAATACAACAAAAAGGATGAACACTTTGTAAAATAAATGACAAAAATAAAATAGAATTTACAAAATTGAACTAAAAAAAAAAAACATTTTTTTGATTGGATGTTGCCTCTACATTGTCACTTGCATATCATAGAATCTGTCATGTTACTTAAAAAATAAACTTTGATGCATGTGATACAGCATCCATTTCTTTTTAATTTATAGCTGATGCATAGTTGTTGATGCAAGTAAAAACATCCAATCAAATATTCTTTTCAGTTCAAACATAAACATGATAAACATAGAAATTTGTAAATTCTGTTTTATGTTTATCATTTATTTCATTGGAAACATGACAATGGGCAATAAAGTTAGTTGAAAATGTTAGTTTTCTTAAACTGTTCGTCCTTTTTTACTGGATTTTTGTTATTGTGGTGACTTCTTTCCTGTTCATTCAGTTTCTTAGTTTTTTATATAAAAATCAGATATAACATTAATAACAATTTAATAAAGATATTGGGCATGTTACTGTAATTCTTATGTTGGTATAAATTTTTAGCTTATAAGTTTAAAAAAATAAAATTTACAAAAATGTATGTTTTAACTTTCCTAAATAAATTGACTGTAAAAATGAAAAATCAATTAAATCTTTAGATTATAATAATTAGCTAAAAATAAGTATTTTTTGATATTTCAACTTATATTTTAAAACATAATGACAGTTTTTAATTTAAATAAATTTAAAGCACAAACCTTTCTAATGGTACTTTGTGTGAACCAGAATGAGACATTCTATACAAGTACAGAAGAAATTTCTTAAATGTATCAAAAAAAGGCCATCTTGATAAAATGCATATGGACTTATTAGTATGGAGGGACTTCTTTCTTCTATCTTCTTCAGTCACATAACCCAGTTGAGACTTATTAGCTAAAGATAATTTACTTTCAGGATACCTTTCATAAAAAGTAACAGCTGCACCATAAACCTAATTTAGAAAATATACAAAAAATATTTCATTTCAATATTTTAAAAATATTCTATGAAAAATTAGCCTAATATAATCTTTACTAACTGAAAAACTTATAAATATATTACTCACTTTCTCAGCTGTATCTGAAGTTAAAACAAAAGTTGAAATAACAGGAGTTGGTTGTTTCGCTGCTCTTGACCAACATTCAATAGTAGCTCCCATAGGAAGACAAAATAATGGAACAGATGCAGGTAAATGAAACGTCTGATAATCTTCCAGAGGAAAACGACCAAGTATAGCTAAATATACATATTTAAAAATTAAATTAATTACTTTAAAATTTAAAACATCGTTTGGACAATTCTTCTAATTAATTATTTATCATTATTTGCATTATCAAAATGTATTGAAGAAAGAATAAAAAGCATCTAATGGATTTTAAAATGCTGTTCATTGCAAACAAGCTCAATTTTAATTAAATGTCCTAATTTGTCCAATGAAGTTTTCAATAACTTAAAAGTTCAAATTTAGATAAACAACTATTATTCTACATTTTTATACTATTAATGATGGGTGTATTTGTACACAATTGGTTTTTAAAAACTATAAGTCTATAAAGACTGCAAACATTCATCAAACTTGAGATAAATAAAATACTATAAAGATTCCATCTGAGTAAAATAAAACATTGAAATATTTCAAAATATTTTTCATTTTTTTAATGTTATAGTTGTTTATTGTAATTTATTAATTTTAAGCTCAAAATCATTTGCAATATGAATCTTCTATTTTATGGATCAACTTTTCAAAAAACATAATTTTCACTGAAATGGCAAAAGAGAGTATGGAAAAAATTGTCAAAAAATAAGCATTAAGAAGTTTTGACTAATGTTTTTACTTCATCCTAATGAAGTGAAGCCTTAAGTAATATGGCAAAACTTTTTTTAATACAATATTATAATTGTTTGTTATATTTAATTAAGGCTTATTCATGTTTTCCACCTCTTGGTTTTTTGATTCAAAGTATACAATAATTCAAAATTTATTTACAGTAATCATTAATCACTGTTTTTACATTAAGATAAAATATGTTGTAATCACATATAATTTAGAAAGTAATTAGAATATAAATTAATTTGACAAAACATAGTATAATTAACAAAATACAGCCTTTCAGAAAGCATTTCATTCTATCTTACTTAAAAACATTTAAATTGTAAAATAAAGATAAATACTTTTTACTTTAAAGCAATAAAAATTAACTGAAAAGTACAATTGTTCCTTATAGGTATACAGATTGCAATAATGATGTGTGCTAAAAATAAATTGATTGAGCCATGTAGGTGGTAGCAATGCCCATTTTTCAAATATATAATCTTAAATACATGGAGGTTTTATATTAAAGAGACTGCTATATCATTTGGTGCATCTCTCAAATATTTTATTTATGATTTATTTTAAAGCTAACTGGTTATTCCATTTTTGTTAAAAATTTAAGCATTCTAGATATTGTTATACCACATATACTTTATGTACTCTTGTAATATATCATTTCTGAAAATAAACTCAAAACTGGCTGTATCTCTTTAAAAAAATAAAAACAACATTTCAAACATCAATTAGACAATATATTTCTGTATTCTAGTCTAATCTTTTTCTTTTGGCCTTAACTTCATGACAGTTTTTTGACTGACCAGTATATCTTCAATCACAAATCTAATTTTTAACAGGGGGCCATGGCCCCCTGGGGGTCTGTAAGTTTTCCGGGGGCCACCAAATTATGCAAAATTTCCTTCAGAATATAATAAAAAGAAAATTGATGTATAACTGAATATCATATTGAAAAGTGAAATAAGAAAGATAAAGTTATCGCATTTAGTTTTTTTATTTATTTCTTATTTTTTCCTACATACAACTCTGTTAGTACAGAAGAAATAAATGCAAATATGCTACTTACACCGCACTATTTACTTCTTTTATTTCAAAGTAATTCTAAGAAACTATTAAAACTATTAATGCTTGGATTTTGCATACAAATTTATGCAGAAAATCCTCCCGTTTTCAGCAGCAATGCAAAATTCACTGCCTTTCGCAAGTACGTATTTTCAAATATTTTTTGTTTTTTCTATGAATTTTTAAATGTTTCTTATTTTATTTTTTTGTTAAAAATTAATGATCTTTTATGTTTAACTGTGGAGTTTGAATGTTATTTAAATAGATAATAAAATAATAAAGTTATGTTTTATATTTATTATATAAAAAAAAATAAAGCAATAATAAAAAAATCAATTTATTATAGATAATTTAACAAATATAAATTATTATTAAAAAATGGGAGTCACAAAAAAAATTATGAAATATTTGGTGGGTCGCAAGTATAAAAAGGTTAAGAACCACTGATGTAAACTAGTATATCCATTGGAATGTAATGCCTCTCCAAATCATTAAATTCTCCATAAAGCTCCTTGCACTTATTTTAGGACCAATAACAGCTTACTAATTCTTTCTATATCTAATATTAAAAATCAGCTCAGAGATTTAATTTGGATTCATTGTAAAAGAAAACTCCTTTTAATCTTGAGTCTAATCACAATTTTGATGATTTAACGCTCCTTTGCCATATATAAAAGATATCATGTATGTAAATCTTCAGATCAGAGTAATTCTGAAACAGCTAGTCTATATACTGCAAGCTGCAAAGGAAAGTAATATGATGACATCTGTCTATGATGTCTAAGTTCAACATAAAATATGGTAGTATTACTTTGAAAACCTTGTAATATTTATTTCTTTACTTAAATTATAATACTGTCCAGTGAAAAATAATAAAATATAAAAATAATTTTCATTAATACAATTTCCAAAATATTTAAAACTTATTTCAGTATTTAAGATATACTTACCAGGTTTAAAACAAATCAAATCAGGTCTGTTCATTGATTTCTTATAACATAAAAATACATCAGAGCCCATCTATGAAAATTTTATTAATATATTAATTAAAGTTTTGTGTCTTAATGTATACTAAGTTTTAAAAAATATACTCACCACACCCTTGTTTAAATTTTTACTTATTTTACAAAATGCATGTGGTGGAGTTTCTCCCTAAATACATTAATTTCAAAATATAGTTTTATAAATATTAAAATCAGAAAATTTTGAACTTGTATATAGATTTTTTTATATCATTAATGGAATATGAAAGTTCAATTTAATATATATACAGATCAACAACTCTTATCTGAAATCCTTGGAACCAGACACTTTTCAGGATTTGGCATTTTTTGGTTTTCAGAATGGTAGTACAATAGAGTCTCGAAAACTCAGCCTAATGTGGACCAAAGGGTGGCCGAGTTTGTGAAAATGCCGGGTTATCAGGAATGGGGTTAAAAAAAAATAAGTATGAGTGTTTCCTCAGAAAATACTGTACTGTACTTGTATGTATTGTTTATTTGAGAATACAACAGAAAATAACCTGCCCAAATACCCTTAAACAAAGGAAAAGTACGTCCTTTATGAAGGCATAGAGTCTTTACTACATGAAAATGAAAATTAATGAATACACTGTGTACAGTAATTTACCTGATAAGACAGACCTCAGAAAAATACTTTATGAAGCATAAAGTAGTCTATAATGAAAATTAATTAACTAAGGATTTTTTTACCCTGCCAAGGTGTGGCTGAGTTATCCGGAGTGCCGGGTTATCGAGTGCCGAGTTTTCGAGACTCTACTGTACTGTATTTAAATACCATATACTGGCATCTATAAAACTAAAGATTCCCTAAGGTTCTACTAATTACCAACAAGACCAACGTGGATATTCAAGTCGCTGAAAACAAATCATTTTTCACACATTTTGTTTCTATATCCTTATTTCTTATGAAAAATAACTCTCTCCTGTAATTAAAATAAAATCACCTAAAAATAAATAATATATCCATGAGCATCAGAGATACATCTGACTTGTAACAACCTTTGGTGCTTTTGGAGATTTTCAGTTTTTGGAATTTCAGATGAGAGATTGTCGATCTGTATATATATAATTAAATAATCAAACAGTTTTATATTAATTTTTACAGAAAGCAAAACATACAGAGAACGGTTAACAATAATTATCTAAAAACAGTTTACCGAAAGATTAAAAAAAACTTAAAAATTAAAAAATGTAATTTATTAATCTGAAATGTCATCCAATTGTGAATATTAACAGGCTTTAACTAAAAACATAATAATCAAATAAAAGTATGATAAGGACTGAATTATAGAATTAAATAGTAAAAAGTGTATTAACAACCTGTCTACAACAATATAATAATAAATATACATTTTTAATTATGATATTAACTATGAGATATACATAATTATTACTTGCAAATAATAGTGTATGTATACATACACTATTACAAAAAGTAATACATACAAAAAGTAAAAGTCAACAAGCTTTCCACTCTTGTAAAAACACTGTTTTAAATCTGATGAAAAACTGTGAGAGGGGTTCTTTCACAATTTGACAAATGCTAGCACAATTTTGTTAGTCAAATGAATAGTTTTATTTTCAACAGTGACTTGACTAGCAATGTATGGGAGCCTTGAAATATATATAAATAATAATACACATGCTCTTTTCTATTGTTAAAAAAATTGTCATTTAACTTAATCATTCAAATTTTTTGATGTATATAAAATTGTGTTGTGATTACTCTGTTCTATAACCTTATATTAATATTAATAAATCTATCAAAATTATACATATAGATATTGTTGATTATTGTAGAAGTTTGAAATTGATTTCAATCACTGAAGGAAATTTGAAGTTTTTATAGATTTTTAAATATTTACCTTGTTTGTTAATATAACACAAATATCAGTGACAACCAACTGATTACAGGGAGCATGTTCCATGGCCCTTCGATATGTAAGAAAAGTCCTTGAACCGCTGTTATTTACATTTGCAGGACAACCATAAAAAGTTGACAAAACTACTTCACTATCAGACATANTATTTTTCTCTATATTATTTGAATTAATCTATTAATATCATTACAAAATAAAAATAATTACACACAAAAAACTTTTTATTTATTGATACATTAGAGCATCGATTATCTGAAACAATTCAGTACTGGGGTTGTTCGGATAACTTATTTTTCAGATAACTGATAATCTATAAAAAAATATATACAGTATGGTTTTGTGTTTAATATATTTTGTACCACACATCTTACACATAAAATAGTACATTAAAGTAGGCCTACAGTTTAGGTTGGCAGGGAGGGGGAGAATGCTGCAGCCACAGAACTAGCAGAAATTTGAATTTTCTGACTGAAACAATTTCGATTGATCGGTATTCGGATAATCAATGCTCTACTGTACTTTCAAAAATAAAATTATTTTCATACTTTTTTCCAGTTAATTACTATTTTGTTAAATCTTAAATGCTAATTTAAAAAATAAAATTTAATATAATATATGGTACATTATCTGAGTTAATATGGACTAATGGTATCTCAGATAACCAAAAATTGGATAATATGGACTGATGCAGCAATTTTGGATTGAAAATTACAAATAAATTATAAAAGATTTGTGTGTTATCAATTTTAAATCTCTTTTTTTGTCTTAGTGATTTTAATTATAAAAACAATATTTTATACATCATTTATTATCAGCTAATACATGCAATATTTGTAAGAACTAAAATGTGTATTATTGTATTTTAATATGAATGGTTCATCTAACATTGAAGTTAAAATAATAAAAGGAAATAGTTTAAAACAATAACTGGTATTATAAAATCATTTGTTTCTATCTTTAAAATGTCCTTTAGAGTTAGAAAAATAGTATATTAACTTACAGATTTGTCTCAGAGAATCATAGTTCTACTGTAACTTTTAACAAAAATTGTAACAAATGACTAAAATATTTAACTAATATTAAAAAATGATGTTTGATTGTTAATTATAAATTTTAGGTCATCAACAAAAGAGCTAAGAAAGCATTTTCATCAACTTTTTCCATAATACAAATACCAAAACAAAATAGATTTTATTAACTGGAGAATATTTAGTAAAAATATATTTAAAAAAATGACTAAAATCTTAAGACATCTTCAAACTCTGTTATAACCATACAAACAGGATATTTTTTAAATAACTGTTTCTGTCTCATGTATGTGTGCATATATATGTATATAAATATACTGTAAATATAAGACAAAATGATGGTTTGCAACTGCAAACTTTCATACTCAATATTATACTATCTGCATACATGAGGACAAAAGAAAATGTTGATGCACAAACACACTATTTTATATTATAGTAAAGTAATGCATTTTAAATGGGAAATAAACATGATCTTTTTTGGGGGCTTACAAAAACCCCCATTTTTGAAATATTTAATAAAAAACAAAGGTTTAATATAGTCTGTACTATTTTCAAATTATTTCAGTTAATCTAGATAAATCAGCTTTCAATTAAGCCAGATTAACAAGATTCTTCTATATTTTATTTTAAATTATTTTCAAAAATATTTTTGTAGTTTATAAACTAAATATATAACAAATGTATGAATAACAAATATATAGCAAAGAAATGTATTTCAAATTAAAGTATGAATAATAAATCAAAATTATGTTACAAAAAGTATCATACTTTAATTCAAAATACATTAATTTGACATACTAGTTAAGTTTTGGAACTTAATAAACTAACATAACTGTTCTTAGCAACAAATTCTCAGACTATAAATACTATCCAAACAATAAATGATACAGATATTAATATGATACAAAATTCTATCAGTACATGTGTGTGCATGAGTTTATATAAATATGAATGTTGTTAAATGTTAGAATGTTTTTGTTATATAATGAAAATATACTGTTGTTGTTCAAATCTTAATTTATGTTATGTGTATATGTATGTATACAATACAATAAAACTTATTTTATTTAGTAACATTTTTACACACATTGTTTATATATAAAGTTTATAAAACTACAATATATTTGTAAGTAACTGTAAACTGTTATATATAATTGTAAAATTTATATAATCATGAAGTACTGGTTGAATAGCTGATAAAAATTTGATAGTAATGGAATCTTCAAATGGTAAAGAGGGAAAAAAATGTCAAAGATGTTTGTCAAATAGAATTAGCAATTGCTAATAGTTTCTAGAAACTTTCCTTTGGAACAACAATAGCAATAACAATGGTAATGACATAAGTATTCATAAAAATAGTAAAAAACGTTAACATATTTTATTAAGATAAACTTTTCTTCGTAATTATCAAAGATAAATGTCTGAAAACACTAAAACTCTACTAAAATAAAGCCTTGATTAATTAGTTTTTTACCATAAATTTTATTATTTTTTTACTGTGTATACATTGAAATTAAACTTTGTTAAGCTTTTCTTTTAAAAAAAAAACGAAAATTTTTATATTGTAAAAGTGAAAAGTTATTCTAATAAACAAATTTACAAAAGTGTTTCATAAAAAAAAAAAATAGGTAAGAAATCACCACAATAACCAAAAATCCAACAAAAAGGATGAACACTTTGTAAAATAAATGACAAAAATAAAATAGAATTTACAAAATTGAACTAAAAAAAAAAAACATTTTTTTGATTGGATGTTGCCTCTACATTGTCACTTGCATATCATAGAATCTGTCATGTTACTTAAAAAATAAACTTTGATGCATGTGATACAGCATCCATTTCTTTTTAATTTATAGCTGATGCATAGTTGTTGATGCAAGTAAAAACATCCAATCAAATATTCTTTTCAGTTCAAACATAAACATGATAAACATAGAAATTTGTAAATTCTGTTTTATGTTTATCATTTATTTCATTGGAAACATGACAATGGGCAATAAAGTTAGTTGAAAATGTTAGTTTTCTTAAACTGTTCGTCCTTTTTTACTGGATTTTTGTTATTGTGGTGACTTCTTTCCTGTTCATTCAGTTTCTTAGTTTTTTATATAAAAATCAGATATAACATTAATAACAATTTAATAAAGATATTGGGCATGTTACTGTAATTCTTATGTTGGTATAAATTTTTAGCTTATAAGTTTAAAAAAATAAAATTTACAAAAATGTATGTTTTAACTTTCCTAAATAAATTGACTGTAAAAATGAAAAATCAATTAAATCTTTAGATTATAATAATTAGCTAAAAATAAGTATTTTTTGATATTTCAACTTATATTTTAAAACATAATGACAGTTTTTAATTTAAATAAATTTAAAGCACAAACCTTTCTAATGGTACTTTGTGTGAACCAGAATGAGACATTCTATACAAGTACAGAAGAAATTTCTTAAATGTATCAAAAAAAGGCCATCTTGATAAAATGCATATGGACTTATTAGTATGGAGGGACTTCTTTCTTCTATCTTCTTCAGTCACATAACCCAGTTGAGACTTATTAGCTAAAGATAATTTACTTTCAGGATACCTTTCATAAAAAGTAACAGCTGCACCATAAACCTAATTTAGAAAATATACAAAAAATATTTCATTTCAATATTTTAAAAATATTCTATGAAAAATTAGCCTAATATAATCTTTACTAACTGAAAAACTTATAAATATATTACTCACTTTCTCAGCTGTATCTGAAGTTAAAACAAAAGTTGAAATAACAGGAGTTGGTTGTTTCGCTGCTCTTGACCAACATTCAATAGTAGCTCCCATAGGAAGACAAAATAATGGAACAGATGCAGGTAAATGAAACGTCTGATAATCTTCCAGAGGAAAACGACCAAGTATAGCTAAATATACATATTTAAAAATTAAATTAATTACTTTAAAATTTAAAACATCGTTTGGACAATTCTTCTAATTAATTATTTATCATTATTTGCATTATCAAAATGTATTGAAGAAAGAATAAAAAGCATCTAATGGATTTTAAAATGCTGTTCATTGCAAACAAGCTCAATTTTAATTAAATGTCCTAATTTGTCCAATGAAGTTTTCAATAACTTAAAAGTTCAAATTTAGATAAACAACTATTATTCTACATTTTTATACTATTAATGATGGGTGTATTTGTACACAATTGGTTTTTAAAAACTATAAGTCTATAAAGACTGCAAACATTCATCAAACTTGAGATAAATAAAATACTATAAAGATTCCATCTGAGTAAAATAAAACATTGAAATATTTCAAAATATTTTTCATTTTTTTAATGTTATAGTTGTTTATTGTAATTTATTAATTTTAAGCTCAAAATCATTTGCAATATGAATCTTCTATTTTATGGATCAACTTTTCAAAAAACATAATTTTCACTGAAATGGCAAAAGAGAGTATGGAAAAAATTGTCAAAAAATAAGCATTAAGAAGTTTTGACTAATGTTTTTACTTCATCCTAATGAAGTGAAGCCTTAAGTAATATGGCAAAACTTTTTTTAATACAATATTATAATTGTTTGTTATATTTAATTAAGGCTTATTCATGTTTTCCACCTCTTGGTTTTTTGATTCAAAGTATACAATAATTCAAAATTTATTTACAGTAATCATTAATCACTGTTTTTACATTAAGATAAAATATGTTGTAATCACATATAATTTAGAAAGTAATTAGAATATAAATTAATTTGATAAAACATAGTATAATTAACAAAATACAGCCTTTCAGAAAGCATTTCATTCTATCTTACTTAAAAACATTTAAATTGTAAAATAAAGATAAATACTTTTTACTTTAAAGCAATAAAAATTAACTGAAAAGTACAATTGTTCCTTATAGGTATACAGATTGCAATAATGATGTGTGCTAAAAATAAATTGATTGAGCCATGTAGGTGGTAGCAATGCCCATTTTTCAAATATATAATCTTAAATACATGGAGGTTTTATATTAAAGAGACTGCTATATCATTTGGTGCATCTCTCAAATATTTTATTTATGATTTATTTTAAAGCTAACTGGTTATTCCATTTTTGTTAAAAATTTAAGCATTCTAGATATTGTTATACCACATATACTTTATGTACTCTTGTAATATATCATTTCTGAAAATAAACTCAAAACTGGCTGTATCTCTTTAAAAAAATAAAAACAACATTTCAAACATCAATTAGACAATATATTTCTGTATTCTAGTCTAATCTTTTTCTTTTGGCCTTAACTTCATGACAGTTTTTTGACTGACCAGTATATCTTCAATCACAAATCTAATTTTTAACAGGGGGCCATGGCCCCCTGGGGGTCTGTAAGTTTTCCGGGGGCCACCAAATTATGCAAAATTTCCTTCAGAATATAATAAAAAGAAAATTGATGTATAACTGAATATCATATTGAAAAGTGAAATAAGAAAGATAAAGTTATCGCATTTAGTTTTTTTATTTATTTCTTATTTTTTCCTACATACAACTCTGTTAGTACAGAAGAAATAAATGCAAATATGCTACTTACACCGCACTATTTACTTCTTTTATTTCAAAGTAATTCTAAGAAACTATTAAAACTATTAATGCTTGGANTTGTTAAATATTAATATCATTAAAATTTCAAGGTTAAAATAATAAAATAAAATTTTATTTATGTATATTTTTCTAACATATACTTCAACCTGATACATCAGTGTTATGAAATAACCTGCCATATTATTTGTTAGACTATATTAATGCTAATTAATAATCACATACAAAACAATATCTGATTATTACTTAGCCTTAATATAGCCCAATAAATACTCCAACAGATAACTTAGTAATATGGTTTTTTTTTTATTAAAAACTATATATCATGCATACAATCTTCCAGCAAATATGTATTTGCATTAAATACAAAACAAAATGTTTTCAGCCTCTTTTAGGAACCAGCATCAAGTGTCAAATTTTACAGAATGTTAGAGATTCTAATCTTACAGCATTTTTAAATATTTAAATATGTAGATTGGATGTCACTTCAACAATTTTACTGATTCAAGAAAAAAATTCACATAAAAAGGCATTAAAGAACATTTTAATATCCTACGAGCACTTTCGATGTATTTATAAATGTCATCTTCAGGAAGAATTGGAACCAAATAGATTTTCAAACAAGTTTTTAAATTAGAACAAAAATGGCATTAGCCGCATAGAACATAACAAGTTTAAAGATAAAGAATTAGATTTAAAATACACGTAACAGTGTTGTGCATGTGCCTTACTGTGCAGAGAAAGTAGGGGTATAGAAATNTTTATATAAATAAATATAATTTCCTATATTTTATATAAAGTTCAAATATCAATTCATTAAATCATATAAAACAAATAATATAAAACTTACAAATTAAATTAACAAATACAGATATCCCCCATATAACGTGGTAGTTAGTGTCTGAAAAAGTGCCGTGTTATGCAAATCCATGCTATACAAAACAAAGAACTATAGGGTTAGGTTCCAAAAGTTAGCAAAAGTGTACTATTCTACTATTCTTTTTTGTAATTAAGAAAAATATGTTTATTAAAGCAATCAATAATTAGCAAACTAGCAAAATCAAAAGTATTGCACATTAATATTAATTTTTTCTTCACTGCTAAACTCAGTTAAACAAGGACATTTTCTTTTTGATAAAATATCATTATCTTCTGAGCTTTCCTGTTGACCTTAACCTGAAGTATTGACAACATCTTGATTTTTCTCTACTTTTTTCATAAAATGTGATGCTTGCATTTGCCCAAGAGATCTTTAAAACTTTAATTTTTTTTTATGTAGTAACTTTTAATTTAATTTATAAAACTAAACACAGCAACAGTCTTTCAGGCTTATTTAGAGCATGGCTCCTTAAACTTTTTTATTCACGACTCCATTTATGATTGTGATTTTTTCGCAATCCAAAAAATATAAAATAAAGATATATACAAATTTGCAAAAACAATTATGGTGTACTACCACAGTTCACTCTTGTGTTACAATGGAACAGAGACAACTGAATTCATTGAAAAGCGACAACACTACACTAGTTCACACTACAATCAGTGTTGTTGAATCGTTGCCTCACTGCACCAGAAGTGACACAAAGCGCAACTCACAAAACCTATGACACAAAGCATGCCATTTTCAAACTCTCACAAATTATTTTCAATATTTTGCATTAAAACCTCGTGACCTTGGGGTCGCGAGGTTTTAATGCAAAATATTGAAGCTACTCCTATGGGGTCGACTACACTAAGCGACTCCAAATGGGGTCGCGACCCATAGTTTAAGAAGCCCTGATTTAGAGCACTACACCAATGACAGTGACATATGATTTATAGGAAAGCTAGAAAAGGAAGTTAGGATGAGAAGAAAAAATTATACAATCAGTTTTCATTTACAGAAAACCGAGCAAAAAGCATGAAACAAAATTTCAATACTCTGAAATTCATGGACAAATATGAGACAATATGCATACTTGCTTGAATAAAGAAATATAAAATTAGGGTTTGTACTTAAAAACTGATGTTTTGTACAGGATGTCTCCAATTCTTGAACCATTTTAGAGTAAACCATGATATAGGAATACAGTGTTATGCGAGAGATACCTATATTATAATAATAATAATAAAAGAAGAATAAGTGTTTTCAAGATTTTATATCTCAGTGTCAGGTCATCAAACAATTCTTTAAACAATCAATTAATTCTAAATTACATAATTTAGAATATAATGAAACATTAGAACATGTCTCAAAACTTTCTTAACAATATACAGATTAAATCTCATTACAACAAATCTGTTGAAACCACACAATTTATTTTATTATATTGAAATTTCACTATAATAGATAAGTAAAGAAAAATTATAAACACTTTTTTTTATTCAAAAACAGTCCCAAAATACTATCAATCTTTACAAATTTTTTACTAAGAAGTCTATTAATAAATGAAGTAGCCAGGGCAATAAAATATTATAAAAATATTCACAAATTAGAAGAAATGAATGTTTTCATATCTTGTCCTTTTCAACATTTCAGGAACGCAAGTCTTTATGGCAGAGTTGACCTTTCAGTCAATAACCTATTGTTTCTGAAGTAATGAAAAGGACAAAATATAAAGACATTTATTGTTTCTTTTAATTTGTGAATATTTTTACATTTTATTACTGTCCTGGCTACTTCATTTATTAATTAACTAGCAGATGAGCCCAGCAATCTCAGGCAAAAAATAACAACAAACATTAAGATTATTAGATTCTTTTGTACTTCTAATCCTTCTACAATATTATATTATAGTATTTGATTTCTACTTACAAAGATTATTTTATGTAAGAGTTTATCACACTGAGTAACCAATCAAACACATTTTAAAAATTCTTTAACTACAGAGGAATAAAGAATTTTTAAAATGCATTAGATTGGTCACTCAGCATGATAAACCTCAGTACAGATAACCTTTGTAGTTATATAAATCAAATACTATAATATAACAAACATTAAAATGAAAACCATATAAAAAGTTTGATTATTTAAGTCTACCATTGTCTCGCTAATTGTGATACTCAGATGGTACGAAATGTCCCAAATTTAATGGTCAGGTAGACAAAAATTGAAAATATATCTTAAATTTTTCAGATATTATAATATTTTCTAATTTTAACTCTAAGAAACGATACCATTCACAGCCAAATATCAAACGATAAATCGCCAACAAATCAAATTTCACAAAAAAAAAAAAAAAACTGAATATTTAAACTTGGCATCCTCAAAAACCACTTAAAACATATTTTGTATAGGCTGGTAACCTTCTATTATGTAATTTTCCTATTTGAATGAAACTGGTCCACTAGTCCAACAGAAAGAAGGAACTGTTGCGGAAGTGGGTTGAAGTAATTCAACCGAAAGTAGTCGTTGAACTCCTCCTGGAAGAAAGGATGGTCAACAACTACTCGTTAATACTGGTCTACTATTAATATTTGAAAAGAGATTTGTGTTAGACAGGTTGTGATGGCCCCGCATATGATCGAAGTTGCTAATCTTAACATCCAAAAGACTTTATATAAGACTTGTTTAAATAAAAAATATCTTGTAAAAATGCAAGAATAATTGCTTTTATGTAATAATAAAGTGTTTAAATTTTGGCAACTGACTGTATAAACTACATGAGAAGTATGTTCTCGTAAATATTGCATTTATAGAAAAATTATTGAGCTGCAATTTGAAAAAAATTGTAGAACTATAAATTCCAACTGTTGTTCCCTGTTTGTCTGTCTTTATTTAATCTCAAAAAAGGAGTTACATGAAAGTTGAGACAAAATATAGAACACTTAGGGGCAGGAGGCCCAGATTAACTGTACAAACTTCTGCTTTGAAACAGAAGTCACCTTATTTCAATTTAAAATAGTCCTTTGAATGAAGTTAGATAGATGCCCAACACGATTCTATTGCTTACAGGAGAAGTATGATGTACAAGGGCAAGACCACACTAAAAGAATTGAGAACATTGTGATGAAAAGTTGTAGCCTGGCATTGTAACCATGTCACAATAAACACTTGTTAGAATTAGTTTTTTATTTGGTTACAGCAACGTGACACTTGAGCAATCTGCCGAGGGATACATCCCAAGAAGACTTTTATAAGAAGATGGACCCTATTTAAGTGTTACTAATGTGAACAAATCCTAAAAAACTCCATGTGGCTAATCCGTCAGTGAGATGCAAACTCACAACCAACTACCGGTGTTTTTATCCACATAGCCAATGGTGGGCATGATTTCTATTAATACTTACAGTAGAGCCTCGATTATCCGACCCAATTGGGGACTGGAGTTGGTCGGATAATTGAAAAGTCAGATAACCGAAAAGTATGAAAAAAATCCATTATTAGTGTAGTATATTATTATATCCCATGTAATTAGTATATCGCTATTAACCTACTTTGCATTGAATTTTCATCGATGTTAAGCCTAACAAAAATTTTTTAAAATAATAATCGTCGCTATTGTATCGTTAAAAATTAGAAAATTAAGCCTCGTTTAAATACTGGCTCCCTTTCATGGTCGAATGAGTGTTGCCAGCTAAAACACGTAAAAATAATATTAAAGTAGCCGAGACATAGCCAAATATTGTAGCGCCACATCACTAGCGGACATTTGAAACTTGCCGACTAGGACGGTCGGTTAACCGATGTGGCGGTTAATCGGGGGTCGAATAATCAAGGCTCTACTGTACTTAATTACATTTAATTATTAGAGTTACAGTAAAAAAAGTTTAATTAACATAATTCATTATCTAAGTAAGAGCAATTTTCATATATTCATATGTGAGATCAAATAATAACACAAAGTAGTTTGCTACAAACATTTGTTGATTAAGTTTAAATTATAAAGCATTAAGTAGGTAATAATAAGGTTTTAAACTCAATGTTAAAATTATCAACTGTTGCACAACACCATCCTAATTTTGTCCCAAAATTTTATTTACTTGTCTGATTCATAAAAGTGTCTTTTTCTTTCTCTTACTCCAGTGAATGATAAAGACAAAACTATTACTTTAGAATAAGAAAATAAAATATTGGAATGACATCTGTCAGTAATATTTCAAAAATAATAAATGAAAATTTAAACAAAACAGTACTCAAAAGAAGGTTATTATTAATAAAAGGAGGGCAGGAGGACAATATTGTTCAATGGATGATGGTTGGCAACCCAAATGAATTACATTTCTGGTTTAGATATTATTTTGAAGCTTATTTAATGTAGATTAATTCTATTGCATCTATTTTGCTATTTAATTTCATTTAAAATAATAAGAAGCAAAAATATGCCTGATTTTTCTTATTATTCCAGCTATTGATCTTACACCATCTAGTATAAAAACACTTCTGAAAATAACTTCTAAACTTGACATTCTTTCATTGATTGTTGATTATTTTCTAATTTTATTCATTAACAGAAAGATTGTCGTAAATTAAATTTTGGTTAAGAGGACCAATGTCATTTCTTTCAAATAAAATGGCCCGAGGAAGAGCTCTTTACTTACGAGTTCCTAGGTAAAGAACTTTAACTCAAATAGGAGAAAAAAATGAAAAATTAAATTTGATTTATGTATCAAACATCGTTTAAACGTTAAAAACATTGGACTAACTTTTACACTGCCACAGAATATACTAATAATGATTTTATTTATAGCTTTATTTAAAAAATAATTATTTATATAATTTACGTGATGTAAACGTAACGATTTCTGTATCGAACATCATTTAAACGTTTAAAAATCAGAATGCACTGAAGTTCGAAACTTAGAAATTTTCAAAGGATAGAACTGTTTTCTGCGCATTCATTCCTGATGGTTTCTAAAAGACGGCCAAAAACACTTTAACATTAAAATTTCTTTGTTTATTATGTGCTGGAATTTGCATTTAGTTGTCAGTTAGTTGATTATGATTTCTAATTACTTGTTATATCATTGAATTGGTATGTTAGCATATCAAATTTATTAGTATATTAGCATTTAATAAAAGTGTGTTGATTGAAAGAGGAGCGAAAAATTTTAATGCACCAGACATAAAACTGTGCAACTCTAATTGAATATACCCAGCTAATTCATATTCTAATTCAACAAGAATTTTCAAAACAGATGCTGCTGCAATATTATAACTGCAGACTCAAAATATTGCAGTATATAATTTTTTATTCATATAATAATTGAATAAAATTCTGCATAATGACAGTCATCACTACATCTGCATCTTTTCAACATGAAGAAAATCAAACTGTTATAACAAATTTTTATTTATTATCATTTTTATTGTTTTATATTTAATAATATAAATTTATATCACTTTTATTTTTATATTTAATTCATAAAGCTGAATTTCATCTTTATTCAAAAAGCAGACAAATATGTTATCATAAACAGAAATAAATAGCTATATTAAATTTAACATTTTCAAAGTATTCTCCCATTGTCAAAGATTTGAATGTTTTATGTTTAGAAATTTATAAAATTGGAAACATGTTCTAAAAATGTTATAGTTAATAAATCTATTAATACTCATGACAGTTAATATATGAATGTTTTCCTAAAAAAATAAGTTTTTTAAATTCATCTAGATATTAAAATCATTTCTAAAAATTTTTTGCCTATTGACAGCAGTGATTCAGAACTATTCTAAATTATTTTAAAGGTGTATATAAGTATCACATAAAGCTTGTTTCAAATGAAAAGCAAAAGCAGAATACAGATACATATATTATGTTTAAAGAATGATATTATCATCAACTATCTATATTTTATCAGAAATCAGAAATTGAAATCAAGAACTGAATTTTTAAAAATGAACTAAAAATAAAATTTTAAGAGCTTTTACATTAATGATAAACAACATAGGTTTTTTTCCAATTACTAACTTGAGAGCCTGAATTACTAAAAATAGCCTGAAGAAAACTGCTACATTTAAGAGCTCCAATTAGCTTATCAACATATAAAAACAATACACTTTTTAAATGTTTATTAGTTTCTTTATTAACACATTTAAATAAATAATTTGAAAATTTTAATTTATAAGTGTAAATTTTAAACTTCTTATTTTCTCAGTCAACTTATTCAAATTTGGATCATATTTATATATCTTAACTACTGGCTTTCAAAATTTTATATACTTTATTATTTGTTCTTAATAAAATTAATCAATACAGAAAAATGGAAAAAAGACAATAATATACAAAAAGAATAATTACTGTTAAATCATTAAAACTTAAATAAAATTTTTGTTATTATTTTCTAACAATCTACAATTTTTCCAAATGAAAACCATAGTTTATCTCAAAACTATTAATCCCAAATCTCTAATCTAGATGATAAAGTTATTTAATATCAAACAAAAACTACTACTGAATACAAATTGATATATATTCTTTATATAGCTTATAATATCTGCAATGAATTTTAATTTGCTACATGCATATAATAATGCATATTAATTTTTGTTACAATACTAACTCATGACTTATAATCATTATTTCCCAAATTTATTCATTCTGTACAAATAATATAAAAACTGATATTAGCATATCATTATTTTTTCATTATAAGAATGATAAACAAAAAAAAAATCATTTTATAAGTATATCAAACATCCCAAAGCCCGATATATATATAGGTACATAACCAAACGATCGTCTTAAATAATCGGGCTATAAATCTGCTAATTTAATGATTAATACTAAGTAATTTGCTACTAGAGGTAGATGTTAGGTACCATCTCTTATCTAAATTAATAATTATAATTTTAATAATTTATTAAATAACTTAAAATCATCTGGAAGAAAAGAATTGGCCAGGGCGGTGCTTGAACCTGTAATTTCCACTTGCCATGAGATGCACTTAAAGTTGCACCACCCAGACCCCAAGCAAGTAAAGCATTAGTTGACTGAGTGCCGTGCCATTGCAGAGATGTACTTAGGCCATGGGCACAGAAGTTGTCCCCAGCAGCACTGTGATTAACTACGTAAGGTTATATCTAAATTTAAATACATCTGGAAGCAAAGGCTTGCTCAGGGTCTGGGTGGCACAAATGGCAAGCGCGTGGCATAGCAAGTGGAAGTTGCAAGTTCAACTGCCTTGAATCAGTTCTTTTCTTCCAGATGATTCTAAATTATTTCAGAAATTATTAAAATTATAATTATTAATTTAGATAAGAGACAGCACCTAACATCTACCTCTAGTAGCAGATTACTTAGTATTAATCATTAAATTAGTGGATTTATAGCCCGATTATTTAAGGAAATCGTTTGGTTATGTAAAAATCATTTTATTTCTCACAAGTCAAATTATTTTATAACCCATATAATATATAAACAATTTATAAATATAACAAAATAAAGCAGAAACAAGAAAATAATGATAATAACTAAACAAAATATGCCATCATATATGAAAATTTATTCAATGTAAAAAATTAATAAATAGAAAACTTAATGCCTATAGAGATTTCTAATAAAATCTGGTATATTTTTACATCCTTAAGCATTGATCTTTTTATTTCAATCACTTATTCATATTAATAAATCAGCCCAAATGTGTTTTATTTGATTACACCTCATATATATCACATAATAACTTACATTGATCCAATGGGAAATCAAAGTCCAATATATGTTCTTTGATTACAACTTGTTTTTTGGGAACTTAAAGAGGATTCTTTATATGTATTATAGTTATGTTTTATATGACATTATCATCATCGATTGGCAAAAATCATGTCTTACTGTTTGATAAAAAGACATGTAAGAAATTATTATATTTATTAAAACTACCATATATTTATTATTTTACATAAATCAACCTTATGGTCTAGATTTCCATCATTACAAAAATTTCTATTATTTATATTTCTTTAAGTTTCTTGTAGAGACCATCTTCCTTTTTGATAGTAAAATTCAGATAAAAATGATGTAATTGTGATATTCTAATATTTATCTTTGTGTTATAATAATGTATATACAAGAAGTATTGAAAAAAATGTTACATAAATTTATAGTACATGTTTTAAAAAAATTATTTAAAAAGGCAAGATCGCTTTATGAAAACAAATAATGCCTAATTTCATTTCTAAGAATATCAAAATTCTAGTTTAAACAGTTTTTTAAACAACTGTCTTATTTACTTTTTCATTTCTTAATTAGTTCTTACTTGAAAAATAATAATTTATTTCAACAAATATTTTAAAATATTTTTTTTACTCATTGTTAAATATTAATATCATTAAAATTTCAAGGTTAAAATAATAAAATAAAATTTTATTTATGTATATTTTTCTAACATATACTTCAACCTGATACATCAGTGTTATGAAATAACCTGCCATATTATTTGTTAGACTATATTAATGCTAATTAATAATCACATACAAAACAATATCTGATTATTACTTAGCCTTAATATAGCCCAATAAATACTCCAACAGATAACTTAGTAATATGGTTTTTTTTTTATTAAAAACTATATATCATGCATACAATCTTCCAGCAAATATGTATTTGCATTAAATACAAAACAAAATGTTTTCAGCCTCTTTTAGGAACCAGCATCAAGTGTCAAATTTTACAGAATGTTAGAGATTCTAATCTTACAGCATTTTTAAATATTTAAATATGTAGATTGGATGTCACTTCAACAATTTTACTGATTCAAGAAAAAAATTCACATAAAAAGGCATTAAAGAACATTTTAATATCCTACGAGCACTTTCGATGTATTTATAAATGTCATCTTCAGGAAGAATTGGAACCAAATAGATTTTCAAACAAGTTTTTAAATTAGAACAAAAATGGCATTAGCCGCATAGAACATAACAAGTTTAAAGATAAAGAATTAGGTTTTAAATTTTTGCTGGATGATAAAATTTTCATTAAAAATTAAGACATAGTCATTTCCAAAAAGAAATATGATCATCACCCAAGAATTTTTGGAAGTGACTACGTCTTAATTTTTAAAGAAAATTTTATCATCCAGCAAAAATTTAAAAATTAAAATTTAATAGTAATTCGCCGCCAGAGGGAGGATAGAAGATAATCTACATTAAACAGTGCAAATTTCCAGTAGATATAAAGAAACTCCCAAACGGAGAAGGATGAAATAAGCAAGACATCATAAGATCATCAAATCCAATTTTTAAAAAATTTATTACTTTTTAATTGGTTGTTTCTATGTTTCAAGGAACTTTTTCCAGAACGGCCACGAAGCCTAAAAAGGAAGGTCAGGTCGTCTGAAGTTTTTACTAAGGAACATTTAAAAGAAATATGATGATCACCCAAGAATTTTTGGAAGCAACTGTCTTAATTTAAAAAACAAAAAAAAAAATAAAGAATTAGATTTAAAATACACGTAACAGCATCGCACATGCGCCTTACTGCATAGAGAATAAGAACGAATTTTTTTTTTTTTTCATTTGTTAATCATCATTTCCCCTACTGGGGATCAGCATCACCCTTGCCCCGCTATCTGCACCACAAGGGAGACTTTACTTTTATTCATTAATCTTTAAACCGTGTTACATTAAACAATATAAAAAAGTTTGTATAAGACTTTTATACAATAGGCTACTTGCCTTAGAATTTATCATTTGACAATCATTGGGGTACAACTCGCACCCCTTTAATTCACGACAATAACTTTCGCGTGAAGGACTTCAATTCACCCACAAGGTCTTTCTGTCGTAATACCATGTATAAGTCAATACCATTAGTTTGAAATGAATAAGAACGACATTATCAGTTTAAAACATATTAATTTAAATTTGCATAGCATCATTGTGCATATGTCTTACATCACAGGAAATAGGAATGGCAATTAGCCATTTTTAACAAAAGGTTTAAAAATAATAAAATATAGTCATGCATGCACCTTACTGTGCAGAGAAAGTAGGGGTATAGAAATGGAGCTGATGTAGGTGTTTTAGCTATTTGTATAGACTGATCCAAATCCCAGGCAACTCAAGGGTGGGAGAGTTGCAAGGAGACAGCAGAGTGGTAAAGAGGGCCTCCCAAATGTACATCAAATTGCGTTCCTCACAGCACCTGAGCATCACCACACAGTCCCAAAGAGGAATGTGGTGGTGCTGCAGAACCATCTTGGATAGTTCGGTGTCACAGCTGCCCCCTACGACAGAATGTTGTGCTCTGTTATGTGGCTGGATAGCAGAAACATACAAAAGAAAACAATTTTTAAAAATTGTTTTCTTTTGTAAAATGTAACACATACATGTTAAAACATACAAAAAGAAAACAATTTTTAAAAATTGTTTTCTTTTTGTATGTTTTAACATGTATGTGTTACATTTTACATATACTCTACAAATTATTATTACACAATAAAAATTAAACAAATAAAATTATTATGGCAAGAAGATACACACACATAGTTATCTGTAGTATCTTCCTGTTGTAATAGTTATCTGCTTCCCTGTAGAGAGTTATCAACAAACGACTACCATGTGGTGGATATTGTCTCAGTCTTTTATTTTATAATGTGGCTTTTTCACTTTCATGTCAACTGCACTGAGTATGGAAAGTTAATTTATTATTTTAAAAGTTTGATTTAAATACAATTAGTTTATATTTTTTGTAATAAATAAAAATGTTATTGTTTATACAATAAGGTACATGAATTTTGATGTAAAGCCTTCAAATATATATTTTAATCAAAATAGTTTGATTAAAATATAAATTTGAATTAAAATTACCAATTAATAAATGGCTTTAAATGAATTGTAATTGTAAATTATTGAAAAATTTGAATTTAAAATTTAAGTTGATAGTTTTTCTTTATTAGATTATTTCTTCCTCCTCACATTTAACAAGCTTGAATTAGTAGTTTATTATAATTATATTATTTATAATTAATAATTTCATGTAAAATAGCTTAGTAAAAAAAATATCTAGCATTGTTAATTTATCTTTAGTTTTAAATTCAATTTTCTACCAAACTGTTAGTAAGATTAATACTGTTGGTTTATGGTATTATAGTAACTGAATAAATTTAATCTTGCAAAACTCTATAAAACATTATTATAAACATAAATTTCAACAATCAATAATAATAAAATCAAAAAAAATTGTAATAGTTCTACTTGATTTAAAACGTTACATAAACAACTTTATAGAACTATAGAAACTAAATTGCCCAATCCATTATTAATGTTTTTATGTTAATAATGGATTGGGAAACTTTACTTTGAAATGTTATAGAAGTCACAAAAAATAAATGTTTTTAGAATCCTAATTTCAGCTTCAGATCTATTATATTCAAATAAATCCATTACATTCAATTATAATCATAATTCAAACAAAGTAACATTAACAACTGTTTGTTACTTAAGTGGTATATGAAAAAAAGAAGTCATAAAGAACTACACAGACAGAAATATTTTTAAAAATATATATTTAAAAAAATGTTTATACTATATTTGCTATATATATTTAGTAAAATGTGTAGTATATATTAATTTTTACAAACCTATAAAATTTTATAAAAATAACTTATGCTTTCTTTTTGTTTTTAGTTGGAATATTTAGCCACAAAATGAAGAAAATTGGTTCAGATTAGAGTTTAGATTAGTAAGAGTGCATTATGTATATATAATCAGACAATATTTCTATTAAGAGTTAGTAAACATTTAAACATATCACTTACCCAATATCCACTAAAGGCGGTTTTTCTCTCCCTCTTTTATAACATAAATAAATACTTGGCGAACGAAGACTTCCATGATTTAAATCTGCTGGAAAACCTAATGGAGTAGTTTCAATACATTTAAAGCCTTCAGGAACTACTTCACCTTGACTTCTAATAATTACAGTTATATCTGTAATAGGTAGTAATGAATTGGTTGTTTTTGTATTGTTATCTCGTGAAAATTCTTCTAATGGTGACGGATTGTCCGGAAGTCCAGCAATCACAAAATAATCTGCTACTCTCTTGTCATCCATTGATATAGTTTTTGACGTCAATTAATAATACTGAACACTGGTATCATTGTATTTTTGACAATAAATATCCATACTTGATAATTTCTCTATCAATCTATAATTAAAAAATGCATACTTTTTAAAAGATTTAAATGAATAATAATAAATATATGTCATAACAAATTTTATTAAAAAAAAGAATTGAAAATTAAATATTATATTAAATTTGATTAAATTCTTAAAATCCATTCAAAATTTTAAATATATCATCATCACTCATATAAACTTTATATAAGTTTAAATAATTACAATTCATTATTTTATGAAACATATTTGATAACATGAAACATACAAATCCTTATATGCATATTCAAGTTTAATTCTTTAATTAATTAATTATATATAAAAATCTGAAGTATATTAAAGTATTTTAAGATGAAGTAAAGACAGATAAATTTACTTCATTCACTTAAAAGAGAACTAGAATTGCAATTATTGCAGTTTGAGAATGGCATAACATGTGCTGAAAACATTTGCATTTATATAATTTCTATGTACAGCCAATTAAAATATTTTAAGGTTGAATTAATTTTTTATTAATGTTATTGTCAAATACAGTAAAATCCATCTAAAATAAAATCTCCACAAAACAGAAACCTGCCTAAATAGAAAATAAATCTCAAAATTGAATATAAAACATTATTATAAGACAAAAATCTAACATGAAAACAGGAGACTTTCTGGCAACTGCATGTCATAACTTGGACAAAGCAGGATTCTTCAGTTTAACACCATCTAAATTTTATACCATAATTAACTTGGAACTCAAAGTCAATCACATGCAGATCAGCCAACAAAAATCACAGAGTTGAACCAATCAGTAGATAGAGTGCTAGCCAAACTTTGAACCATTTAGCAAATGAAATGTAGAGTCCAACCACTCAGCAGATTCCAGCCAATTAGAAGATAAGGTCCTAAAATATGACATATACACAGTGTAAGTTCAACAGCCACTCGTGCTAATCATTTATTGACAACTCATTTTTTTTAGTTCTCATTCTAAGTCTTGTACTAACAATTTCATGAAATCAAGTCTTATAATATTTGAATTGCCCTTATAGAAATTATATAAAACTTAAGTATTTATTCCACAAACATCTAACGTTTAAAAAAAAATATGGCCATAAGCCACCTATGCATAGCAATGGTTCTAGTCATTTTTTGAATATAGGTAAAGCTGTATTTTAACACCCATCTGCAAGGTACATCAAAGACCACCTGAGAGGCATAATCAGACTTAAATTCCAGAGATGTAGTCGTAGTTCTAAACAGGACAATGGGGACCATTATTAACTGAAACATTGTCATGTATGATATCCTGATGACAATTTAAGTAGAAAACTTCTCTTACCAGAAAAATTCTATTACTATTCTATTTATTCTATTTACAAGGTGAGGACTAATAATGTTTATAATACAAATAAAATTACAAAATATTTTATGTAATCAGTAGTTACTAAACTCCACTAAAAAATAAATGAAAAAACAACATATTCTCTCTCATAATCTGAAATAAAAGCATTAATTATTGAAATCCAATTTTAGCACCTCTCCAACATTCTACACTTAGGCAACAGTCTAACGTGCCTTCTCTATGTATGCTTCAGACTGATACTAGCTATGATTCTTCTCATGTACAGCATTTAGAATACTTTTTATCCAATGTGTCCACTCCACTTTAGTGAAATTGTAATAACTGCTTATTTCTGGTATCCTCTGATCTGGATTGGCATTCTTAGAATGGTACATAATAGAAATTAGAAAGATTAATCTAAATTAGTGAAAATCTAATAACAATGGCAATAGGTGATTACAATATTCCTTGTCAGGCCAAGGAAGTGCAACAATGTGATCAAGACATTCCTAGGAACCCTAGCAATGTGTGGCCTTGCATCATCTCACTGGAAATTGCTGTTTGCAGCCCTACCTTAAAAAGCAGCATGAAGATGCAGGATTTCCTAAACATACAGTGTCATCAATGTACAGTACCTCATACCACTACTACAGATAACTGTCATGTGAGATTGCTCTCCAGACCAGCATGCCAGCAGTGGGGCAGCATTCCAATCAACAGTAAAAATGGGACTGAAGCACTTACTACAATCTAATACAGTGACATATACAACAAAACTAGAAAAAAATGCCAAGTATTTACAAACTCCTTTTCTTTCCAGCAACACATTTTTACTGAAACTAACATTTTTAACCTCATTCATAGGTCTTCCTAAGATTCACAAGCTGAAATGGAACACTCCTATAAAAAACATTTAAATGTAAGTATGGTACACTAAAAAAAAATCTATAGATTTTTAAAAATTTCAAATTACATTTAAACTCATATTCCATCAGGAAAGGTGAATAAAATACNAGACAGATGGACAACAGTGGAAATTTATAGATCTACAATTTTTCCAAATGAAGACCATAGTTTATCTCAAAACTATTAATCCCAAATCTCTAATCTAGATGATAAAGTTATTTAATATCAAACAAAAACTACTACTGAATACAAATTGATATATATTCTTTATATAGCTTATAATATCTGCAATGAATTTTAATTTGCTACATGCATATAATAATGCATATTAATTTTTGTTACAATACTAACTCATGACTTATAATCATTATTTCCCAAATTTATTCATTCTGTACAAATAATATAAAAACTGATATTAGCATATCATTATTTTTTCATTATAAGAATGATAAACAAAAAAAAAATCATTTTATAAGTATATCAAACATCCCAAAGCCCGATATATATATAGGTACATAACCAAACGATCGTCTTAAATAATCGGGCTATAAATCTGCTAATTTAATGATTAATACTAAGTAATTTGCTACTAGAGGTAGATGTTAGGTACCATCTCTTATCTAAATTAATAATTATAATTTTAATAATTTATTAAATAACTTAAAATCATCTGGAAGAAAAGAATTGGCCAGGGCGGTGCTTGAACCTGTAATTTCCACTTGCCATGAGATGCACTTAAAGTTGCACCACCCAGACCCCAAGCAAGTAAAGCATTAGTTGACTGAGTGCCGTGCCATTGCAGAGATGTACTTAGGCCATGGGCACAGAAGTTGTCCCCAGCAGCACTGTGATTAACTACGTAAGGTTATATCTAAATTTAAATACATCTGGAAGCAAAGGCTTGCTCAGGGTCTGGGTGGCACAAATGGCAAGCGCGTGGCATAGCAAGTGGAAGTTGCAAGTTCAACTGCCTTGAATCAGTTCTTTTCTTCCAGATGATTCTAAATTATTTCAGAAATTATTAAAATTATAATTATTAATTTAGATAAGAGACAGCACCTAACATCTACCTCTAGTAGCAGATTACTTAGTATTAATCATTAAATTAGTGGATTTATAGCCCGATTATTTAAGGAAATCGTTTGGTTATGTAAAAATCATTTTATTTCTCACAAGTCAAATTATTTTATAACCCATATAATATATAAACAATTTATAAATATAACAAAATAAAGCAGAAACAAGAAAATAATGATAATAACTAAACAAAATATGCCATCATATATGAAAATTTATTCACTGTAAAAAATTAATAAATAGAAAACTTAATGCCTATAGAGATTTCTAATAAAATCTGGTATATTTTTACATCCTTAAGCATTGATCTTTTTATTTCAATCACTTATTCATATTAATAAATCAGCCCAAATGTGTTTTATTTGATTACACCTCATATATATCACATAATAACTTACATTGATCCAATGGGAAATCAAAGTCCAATATATGTTCTTTGATTACAACTTGTTTTTTGGGAACTTAAAGAGGATTCTTTATATGTATTATAGTTATGTTTTATATGACATTATCATCATCGATTGGCAAAAATCATGTCTTACTGTTTGATAAAAAGACATGTAAGAAATTATTATATTTATTAAAACTACCATATATTTATTATTTTACATAAATCAACCTTATGGTCTAGATTTCCATCATTACAAAAATTTCTATTATTTATATTTCTTTAAGTTTCTTGTAGAGACCATCTTCCTTTTTGATAGTAAAATTCAGATAAAAATGATGTAATTGTGATATTCTAATATTTATCTTTGTGTTATAATAATGTATATACAAGAAGTATTGAAAAAAATGTTACATAAATTTATAGTACATGTTTTAAAAAAATTATTTAAAAAGGCAAGATCGCTTTATGAAAACAAATAATGCCTAATTTCATTTCTAAGAATATCAAAATTCTAGTTTAAACAGTTTTTTAAACAACTGTCTTATTTACTTTTTCATTTCTTAATTAGTTCTTACTTGAAAAATAATAATTTATTTCAACAAATATTTTAAAATATTTTTTTTACTCATTGTTAAATATTAATATCATTAAAATTTCAAGGTTAAAATAATAAAATAAAATTTTATTTATGTATATTTTTCTAACATATACTTCAACCTGATACATCAGTGTTATGAAATAACCTGCCATATTATTTGTTAGACTATATTAATGCTAATTAATAATCACATACAAAACAATATCTGATTATTACTTAGCCTTAATATAGCCCAATAAATACTCCAACAGATAACTTAGTAATATGGTTTTTTTTTTATTAAAAACTATATATCATGCATACAATCTTCCAGCAAATATGTATTTGCATTAAATACAAAACAAAATGTTTTCAGCCTCTTTTAGGAACCAGCATCAAGTGTCAAATTTTACAGAATGTTAGAGATTCTAATCTTACAGCATTTTTAAATATTTAAATATGTAGATTGGATGTCACTTCAACAATTTTACTGATTCAAGAAAAAAATTCACATAAAAAGGCATTAAAGAACATTTTAATATCCTACGAGCACTTTCGATGTATTTATAAATGTCATCTTCAGGAAGAATTGGAACCAAATAGATTTTCAAACAAGTTTTTAAATTAGAACAAAAATGGCATTAGCCGCATAGAACATAACAAGTTTAAAGATAAAGAATTAGGTTTTAAATTTTTGCTGGATGATAAAATTTTCATTAAAAATTAAGACATAGTCATTTCCAAAAAGAA